TTAATTAAAAACTGATGGAATCACATCCTTAAATTTAGCTACAGCACTATCAGACAGACTTGTATAGATATTTTTGCCTAATGGTGTGTAGTTTTTTTATTTTTTATTTTTTTATTTAGAGAAACAGGGACAATGTACAATTAACCTCAAAGGGGAAGATGCATTGTACCGGGTTTTAGCTCAAGAGCTAATTTTCACCCGTAGTCCCTGGGCAGGCTGATGTTAAGTTAAGATACATAAAAAACATACATGAATAATAAGATTTACAATGACAAAATAAAAATGTACAAAAGGAAATGTTCACACCTTTCATATACAGACCTTAGAGCACACACTTATATACACACATACATACATCTGGTCACATATGGGAACAAAATTGATTTAATAAAAGCCATTTCTTTGCCTGGCGTGTGAACGTGTAAGAACTTGTACTTTTAAACAACTCTGTAGGTAACATATTCTACTGACGAGCGGCCACACCAGAAAAAGCAGAGTTTCCAAATGCTGTCCTGCGTTTAGGGATCCTGCATTCCCCTCGCACTGTAGATCTAGTGGCTCAAGTTGTTATTTCAGAGCCCAAAGAGATAAATTGTTTTAGAGGAGGAGCAGCGTTGTCATAAAGGATCTTATACATCAAACACAGATTGGTATGAATTATCAAATTTTCAAAGCTGAGAAATTGGTATTTTACAAGAATATGACAGTGATGAAATCGTCTGCTTTTCTGATCGTGGATCTTTAGAGAGGTTTTATATAATGACTCAAGTGGCTTGAGGGCAGTTTTAGTAGCCTGTGACCAACTTGTCATACAATATCGAAAATGAGTAACTATCATTGCATTCAGATAGACTCCTGAGGCCTCAATTGTAAGGGAATTTCGAATGTATCTGAATTGTGCCATATTAAATTTTATTGTATTTGATAACTTTTTTATATGTTTTTTAAAGCCTAAATTTGGTTCCAATATGACACCTAAATATTTTACCTGTTCTTGATTTGAAATGATTTGTCCTTCAATTAAAATATTAGGGTAGATTTGTATTTTAGAACGATTTCTGAAAAACATTGAAACAGTCTTATCTAAATTTAGAGTGAGGCATGAGTTTTTCAGCCACAAAGAAACTTTCTTAATCTCTTTGGTCAGTTTTTGAGCGACTTCTTCCGCAGTGCATATAGCACCGTATCATCAGCATACATGATGATTTTACTCTTACACACAGTTGGTAGATCATTTATGTAAAGGGTAAAAAGCAGGGGGCCCAGAATGGAAACTTGTGGCACTCCCATGCTACAGGATCTTAATGGTGATTTTTTGTTGTCAACCACAACGCATTGTTGTCTGTCATTAAGGTAAGATTGAATCCATGCTATTGTATTTGTGTCAAAAGAAAAAAAATCAGATAGTTTGCTAATGAGAAGCTGATGATTAACTGTATCAAAGGCCTTTCTCAAGTCCAGAAAGACCGCCCCTACCACACCTCCACCATCAAGACTGGATTTAATATCTTCTATCAAGTAGCAGCACGCAGACTCTGTGGAGTATCTTTTCCTGAACCCAAACTGGCAAGGATGTAATGCATCAGTGTGGTCGAGATGCTCTACTAGTTGTTCTGCCAGCACCTTCTCAAAGATCTTAGAGATGGCTGGCAGAATGCTAATAGGTCGATAGTTTGACACACAGAGCTTGTCTACTGACTTGAAAATCGGCTTGACTACTGCTTTTTTTAACGCCAAAGGAAAATGTTTTTCCTTTATAGATTGATTCACAGGTATTGTTAATACAGGAGTTAGAATAGTTATATGTTCTTTTAAAAGTGATGTATCAAGTCCAAATATATCCTTTGCTTTACTATTTTTTAAATTTGATATTATTTTGGAAATTTTGTCTTCATCTATATTCTGCAACCTACAGTGAAACGCATTACCATCCCCATAATCATCTCCGCAGCAGTTCACTTCAGGAAAAGTCTCCGCGAGATCTAATACAGAATCCAAGAAATAATCATTGTAATGTTTAGCCAGAATAGAGCCCTCATTTTGAACAATTCCATTGATTTTGAGTTTTAAATGCTCCTGATTTATTTTTTTCCTTCCCATTAATTTATCCATGCTTCTCCACAGATTCTTACAATTACCTTTTGCCTCTTTGATTAAATTTAGAAAAAAATTTGCTTTTGCTTTTCAAAGCAGCATGGTAACTTTATTTCTCAGAGATTTATAAATGTAATAATCAGTGGTTAATTTCGTTTTAAGAGAAACCTTGAGTGCTTTATCTCTCTGTTTCATTGTATCCCACAGGTATTTATTAAACCATGGGAGCCTCTTTTTATTTGATTTTCTATGTTTGAGCTGTGTATGTTTATCAATTTTATTCTTTATAGCAGTTATAATATTGTTGCATGTATGTACACAGCTTTCTTTATCAATTTTGGAGGCCCAATCAATTTCATTTAAATCATTTTTAAAATGTTCTTGATTTTTTTTGAGGAATATGAGGAAATTTGCATTGTTTATTTGATTGTTCTTTGTTTATGTATCTTGATTTATTTAATTTCCTGGCTATTAGTACAAAATTATGATCGGATAGTCCTGTTATTAGGTTATATGTTTTAACTATCCTGTCTGGTTTATTGGTGAATATTAGGTCTATCAAAGTTTGAGACGTTTTTGTTATTCTAGTAGGTTTTTTAATCAATTGTGTCATTTGTATTGAGTTTGCAATGTCTTTTAATTGTTTTCTCTTGCCTTTATCAAGCCAATTTATGTTGAGGTCACCCATGAGCAATATTTCCTTTCGTTCATATGTTTTTAAAATTTTTGTTAAACCAGTATAAAAATCGCTTGTTGCATTTGGTGGGCTATATACACAAAGTACAATAAATAACATTTGAGGCGATACACCAACACACTCTATAGTTTGATCTGGAATGTCTATCTGATGACTGTCAATACTGTCTTTTACGTAAATCAAGACCCCGCCCCCTTTCCCCTTTCCTCTGTCCCGTCTGTATACTTTATATCCCGGAACCATAAATGCCGATACAGGAGTTGTAGCTGTAATCCAAGTCTCAGAAAGACACAGGTAATGTAGATTTGATCCCAACAGTAGATGTTCCAACTGTTCCGTTTTAGACATTACGCTACGTATGTTAATATGTCCTCCGAAGATTCCTTTCGGCTTCGTCAATGGGTTCCATAGGACCGACGCGTGGTTTACTGTCTGAAATAATTTCATCTGTCTTTGTTTTGAAACGGCTATAGTCTGCATAGCGTTTAATTTACCACTTTCATTTGCTGGCTTAAACGCATGTAGTGACAGACAGTTACCTTGTTGCAATGTGTTGATAAACGTGGATGCGCATGGATGCGCACCGTTAGCAACGTTACCTGATATCATCTGCGCCTTATTAAAAGAATGTAGCATGTGGGTCAGAGCGGTCTCAGCCACCTGCAGTGGTTGTTGTAGATCCATCGGCCCTGGATTTACTTGAATATTCCCGCATAAAAGTAGAATGATGCAGAGAAAAGTTGTACGATCCCGGTAGACTGTTGTTTGAGCCATACTCCATGCTCTCGACTTGAGTTGCTTATTTGGAGCATTCGCACGCCCATCATCAAGAACTTTGGAGAAGATGACATACTGGCTCCATAAGTCGAGGGGTGCAACAGGCCTAAGTGTACCACTTGCTTGTGAGATTGATCGTTCACTGGCAGCAGTCCAACTCCCACACATTTGCATAGTGATGATCGTCGTCAAATAGAACGATATAATAAGCACATTTAACGCCTTAACTTTGATTGACTTTGATGGCCAAGATATCCAGGTTTTAGGGACAGATCTTGCATCGAGTGGTTTTTCAGATGTCTTTAGAAAAAGCAGAGCATCAGCACCTGCCAAGCTGCTACCTGCTGCCGCCATCTCGCCATCTTGCCACCCTCTCTGAGAAAGCCCTTAGTAGTTCAGCAGTACAAAGTCAAAAGTTATCAAACAGTGGACAGATAAAAAGGGATTCTGTGGGAACACTCTGAGAGAAGCCAATGGAATCTAACAGAGAGATAAACGCAGTACTAAAGCTGTCATTCTCATCGTCCACATGAATATTAAAATCCCCTACAATAATGACTTTGTCCGTTTTAAAGACTAAAGCTGACAAAAACTCTGCAAATTCAGATAAGAATTCAGAGTACGGACCTGGTGCTCGGTACACTATAACGAAAAGAATTGGTTGTAGTGATTTCCAACTTGGGTATGAAAGACTAAGAACAAGGCTTTCAAATGAGTTAGAATTTAGTTTAGGTTTAGAGCTGATTAGTAGGCGAGAGTCACCCAGCCAGGTTTCAGTAAGACAAAAGAAATCAATATTATAATCTGATATTAATTAATTTACTAGTACACCTTTAGAGGACAGAGAGAGATCTGATGTTTAAGAGTCCACATTTAATTCTCCTATTCTTTTGCACTATTGCACTGTTTCTATTGTATTTCAAAGAATAAAAAAAAACATTTTGGTAAGATTTGCATATTGCTTATCTAATTGAACAAAGGAGAGGAGCCTTGATCCTCACCTGACAGTGCCATTGTAAACTTCATGTATTATGTGTTTTATAATGAATTATGGTACAGAAACAGAGAGGCTTACATTTTCCTGTTAGTGATCATACTTATTTATTATTTATGTTAATTAACCCTTAGTCCAGATGAGCCAGCCCTCCCAGCATGTAACAAAATGTAAAATAATGCATTACAGGAGTATGCGACATCATGTAGCACTTCATTTCTTGATGTTGCTGTTGTTTGATGAACTGTTAACACTATTACGAAAATATGTTGATTCACATTACATGCATTAAAGCATCGCTGCATCCAGTTTAGGGATTCCCCAGGACAAGCTACAGATACAAGACTACACCTTCAACCAGCTAAAGTTTGGGAGTATTTTACACATTGTGTATGGATGTATAGAAGTCCATTAATCGTGTGTGTGTTTGATTTTCAGGAACCTGCTCCCATGACAGAGGATATGTTAGATGAGCAGTCAGAAGTACTGGCCAAACTGGGCACATCAGCTGAAGGTACCCACCTCCGTGCTCGGATGCAGAGTGCCTGTCTGCTCTCTGACATGGAGTCCTTTAAGGTAAGTAGGCAGACATGCACACATTAAATTTATTCATGTGCTGTATTTATCGAACACTGTGCCACAGTGATTGATGATCAGTGATGGAAATTGCAAATGAAAATGTACAGAGTAGTGTACACAAGCATGTGCAGGCACAGACAAAAAAAAAAAGAAGCATTCCCTTCTCTTTCCTTTTGAGTGTTGCTTGCGGAACAAAACATACAAATAGTAATTTTTTTCCAGATCTGGTTACAAAAAGCATGCAAATCTAATGCAGTAATTGTTTGACTCGAGAAGTTGTCAATACTACTTGGTACTGGGTTACTTTGGTCGATACCTTAAAGGTATCAAGTACCGGGGCCTAATTGCCACGTCCACGTTTGTGGAAAAACATTCTTCATATTAAAAGATGACGTAAACACAGTAAAATGACATTTACAAGCCACAAGGAAGGTCATAGTTGGAAAATAAACATGCTTTGTAGCAAGTCCACACTTGAAGCCACTGAGGCTTGCGTAGACAGGCATGTAATTGATGCGCTCGCCATACCAACATAGCCTACTAGTGTCTAGTGAAATAAAGACGTTTGCCCTTTCCTTTAAGTTCAGATTTGTTTTTTTTATACCTTGGATGGTCTTCAGGTAAATGGTTACTTATGCAATTCTGCAGAATTCCAATAACATGACAAATACCATGATATAGAGCACATCATTTAATGTAACTAATTTTAGCTAAGTTATGGGTTAGCAAACTGTTGCTACATGCTGCTGCAAAGCTAACGAGAGGACAAGACAGCCCCATAGCAGCACAGCAGCTCCTCGTTTTAGCTTGCATGGTCTAATTCCTCCTGTTCAGTAGGCTATTATCCAGTTATAAGTAAGCTTACACGTTTGTTTATCGTGAATGCAAATGTATTTTCCGCATCAGCGGCATATGTGGAAGAATGGACCGTGGTGAAGTTAGTTTCAAGCTAGATATTAGTTTGTTGGATGTTTGATATGCGGCAAATATATATATATATATATTTTTTTTTAAATAAATTTATTTGATAGGGACAGATGTTATAAATATAGAGAATTTTACAACAATTTTACAATGCACAGCAATCCGGACAAAACGGATTACATGTAAGTAACTGTATTCCGTTACAGTACAGAAAATAAAGACGTAATCAGATTACAGGTACATTTTGTAAAAACAGGGATTACTCACAGGGATTACTTTAATAGAAAACAGAGTACTATTTGCTATTTACGTGTAAGTTTCCTGTAAAAACACAAAGCTAGGGAGGGATTTGTTGCAGATACTGATTGGCGTGTAGCCAGTAGTTGAATGTGGTTACGGCCCCAGATGTTACCTGTGACTGCTGCTGCAAAGCACTGCTCCATCAGCATTTTTTAAAATCCTGTAGCGCTACGTTCAAGTAAAAGAATCCCATGCCACAGACTAATTCACTTAAAATACTAAAGCTGCAATCAGCGTTGGACGGGCCCTCGCACATGAAGTGCGTCAGATAGTGTTGCATCCCCGCTTCAGATGCCGCAGCTCTCCCTATGTGGCTCTAAATTGTCACGCACCTTGGAAGCTGCATGAAATACTTGAGTCTAGAATTTGATCTTTTGTTGATAGAAAAGCCCTTAAAAAAACCCTCAAGCTGTCATTTTGGTATTTTTAGTTAGGAATCATCTTTAGTGTGTTGGTATCATTAAGTTCACACCATACAGGTGTTTAAAGTTGAAAGCAATTATCACTGTTGGTGGAGGTGGGATTCAAACCTGGGTCTGGATTCATAAGAGCTGCATTGGAAGCCTATGCTCTAACCAAGTGTGCTATACAAACTTCTGAGGAAGTCACAGTTTGCTTCTTTGTTGAAAAGTGCATTTGCTTTAAAAAAGCTTTTCAGCTATCATTTTGGTATTTTTAGTTAGTGCTTGATTAGCTAAGCATAACAATATCCATCATGTGTCTACACTCCAAACAGGAAGGAAGAACATAGCAAGGTAAAGAATTGGTGACAGGGAACCAGCCTGCAGTTAGAACAGAGAGTCAATGAGACCATGAATGTGAGTTACCTATCAATTAAGGATCGGATCTAAAAAGTTAAACCTCCACTGAGGACGATTTTGCCATTTTGAGAGAGAAAAGCTACATTTTGATAACTTGTTTGTGTTAATGGAGATGAATATGCGCAACTGGCAGCAATTTACAAAAAATTCTGGTCTACCAAATCCTTCTCTCCACACTCTAGGTGGTCATGTGACACACTGATAAAGTCTCCTAAAAGCTGTAAAACCCTTCACTGCTCCCATTGAAATCCATTCATTTTAAAATGCAAACAAATATTAATAAAGGATTTCTAAGACAAACGGTGCAGGAGAAGATAGATACTAAAAAAACATGGAATAAATAAATAAACATATAATGATAAAGAGCGACAAAAACAAAGCTACAGCTCTCACACTAACTAGGCTGCCTGTGTAGTGCGTTAATTTGAAACAATTGAGGTTGAGCTTTACTGATTTTGAAAACTTGACATGTTTATAGAATTTGAGTTGTGGATCTAAGGTTATTCCTAAGAACTGCACCTGCGCAAAGCACAGCGCAAGTGTCATTGCTAGTTTCCAACCAACACAGTTGTCTTTTTCAAGCCCACGTTGTTTAAAGAGCTGGTATTATGCTTTTTGACTTTTTCCCTCTCCTTTTAGTTATATACCTTTTTCGTGCATGTAATAGGTTTGCAAAGTGAAAAAGCCTAAAGTCCCAAAGGGAGTTCCCATCTCCCACAGAAAACTCTGCTCTGAACTGCCTGAAAACAGCTCATTTGTAGTCCAGCCGCTTCCCTTTCATCCCTGTGACGTCACAGGGATGAAAGACAATGCGGCTGCTCTGACACGCCCTCAAAAACACCGGTGGAAAAACACTGAGTCGCAGATTAGTAACTCACCACTCTGAAACTCTTGCTCCAGCCAAGCTGGTCGCCAACATGTACAGCTGAAACAAAGCCGTGTTTGCCTCTCACTGACCCGCCCTTCTCTGCTTCTGATTGGCTAGTAGGCCTTAACTAGGAATTGCACATGTGCAACAAAGATCATGTAAATGTAAATGTAAATGCTCCGTACTTGTATAGCGCCTTTCTAGTCTTTTCGACCACTCAAAGCGCTTTTACGCTACATCAATCAAAGCTAACTGTGGTGTATCTAAAAATACAACTTGGATCAAATTTATGCACTAAATTCACAGTTACTGGACTAAACTGCTTCTCCATTGAGGATAGGAGATAGGTCTCACAATGTTTCAAGTACCTGTTTCCCTCCAAAATATCTGTGAAGGAATGCAGCAAATGAAACAAGATGATTTCATTTCTGAAATTAAAACTTGAAGCTATTAACGTTGGCCTAAACAAAATTCAAGGTTCAGTCGCTACACTTGAAGAACACGTATCAGAGCTCGAGCTGAGAGTGAGCTCTAATGACAGTGGGACCTGACCCAACATGTGAAAACACTCGAAAATGAAAATTCCTACCTGAAAGAATGTGCTGAAGCTGCCGAGAACCGAAGCCAAGCTTCTAGCCTTCGCTTCTAGCCTTCGCTTCTAGCCTTCGCTTCTAGCCTTCGCTTCTAGCCTTCGCTTCTAGCCTTCGCTTCTAGCCTTCGCTTCTAGCCTTCGCTTCATTTCTGTCCCTGAGAAGTCCCAGGGCCTGATGCAACAGCTCATTGCCAAGGAGAATTTACTCACTCCTCCCGTAATCGAGTTCTGTAATTGTTCTCTTTCAAAATTTCAAAATTCCTCCAGACACAGGCCGATCCTGGTTAAATTTCTCTATTTCCAGGACAAGCTAAAGATCTTGAAGCTCTCAAGGGAAAAGACTGAGCTTGTGTATAATGGAATAAGAACAACAGCACTGCTCTTACCCTGAAACGCCAGCAGTTCAACTCAGTAAAGAAATAGCTACGGGACTTGGAACTTAAATACTCCATGATCTTCCCCTGCACGCTTAAAGTAATCCACGATGGTAAGGTGAAACTTTTTAGCTCTTATGAAAAGGTCTAAGTTTGCTTTATCTAGCTCTCCATTGACAAACTTAACTTAACTTTGACTTGACTGCTGACCACCGTTGGACACTTTTCTTTGACTCTTAGTACCTCACTTTTCTGGGCTGAGTGATCCATGACCTCTGTTTGTATTTATCGGCAGTAATAGTGCTTTGATTGGTTTATTATTTTTTTTTCTTAAACTTGTGTTAGGACTGTGAGGCTTCAGTTATTTTTTGGTGGCCCTAAATTGTGTCGTAAACTTTGAGGATCTTCTGCTGTCGCAAAGTGTTAAGTAACCTGGATAACGCAAACAGTGCTGGATGATGATAATTATAAGGAAATTAATTCCTCTAAAAATGAGAACTGAAAAGAAAAAATGTAAAATTGATTCATTCTTTTATCCATTTTTTTAGATCTACTATCGGGGCCCCCAAAAGTTCATTTAGGAAAGTTTTAGATACCAGAAGCACAGATGCTCTCTGAAGCCTGTATTATGTCTGGATTTGAAAACCCTGGGTTGACTTACCTAGCTGATAACCAGTTTCATGTGACCGCTTATCACGATTCAGATTGTTAGTTTTAGTGAAGCGAGGTAACAAAAAGATATTCTAGGAATGTTGAACTTGCTTTGTGGTACACGGCCCCCGGTGTAACTTATTTTTTTGCGTATTGAAGACTCCCTAAGACAACACTTAAATCATACATCAAATCTCAATGAACAAATAGTTTAAAGTTGAAAATCTTCGCTGTACATTGTATAATTTGTTTAGAACAAAATGAAGTAATCACCAACTGATTGAGGGCTAAATTCAAAATCGCGCTGAAAATCGAAGTAAAATATTTGAAATCACAGGCTGATCCAACTTGCGTGACTTTCATCATGGCCACTTACAATGTGACTCAGCAGTGTGGATGGCCCCCACGTGCCTGTATGTACTCCCGACGTCGTCTGGGCATGCGCCTGATGAGACGGCGGATGGTGTCCTGGGAGATCTCCTCCCAGACCTGGATCAGTAGATCAGTGAGCTCCTGGACAGTCTGTGGTGCTACTTGGCGGTGTCAAATGCACTGATGCATAACGTCCCTGAGGTTCTCAATTAGATTAAGGTCTGGGGAATGTGACGACCAGTCAGCATGCCTTCATCATCTAGGAACTGCACACACACTCTGACCACATGAAGCCAGGCAATGTCCTGCACCAGGAGGAACCCAGGGCACCCTGCATCGGCATAACAATGGCTCTGAGGATTTCATCCCAGTAATAGCAGTCATGGTTCCGCTGACGATCATTTGGAGGTCTGTACGACCCTCCAAGGAAATGGCTCCCCAGACTGTCATTGGCCCACCGCCAAACAGGTCATGCTGGATGATGTTGCAGACAGCATAACATTCACCACAGCGTCTCCAAACTCTCAAACGATAAGGAAAGGGCAATTGTCTGCCGATGATGCAGTGGATAAGACATTATGCCTTTCGTGTGAGAGATCTCGGTTCAATTCTCATTGACACATCTGCCAATGTGTCCCAGAGCAAACCTCTGACATATGTAGCAATTGTAAGTCGCTTTGGATAAAAGTGTCAGCTAAATGAGTAAATGTAAATGGCAACAACCTACAAAACCATTCCCTTTTTAGAGGTTGTCTTGCTGTTGCCTCTCTAGTGCACCTGTTTTTTCTTTCATTTGCACAGAAACAGTTGACATTGATTCACAATTGCATATGCTTCCTAACTGGACAGGTTTTTTTTATTGGTTTTACTGCTTGGAACATCAAATCAACACATAGTAACAGTGATTTTATGAAATAATCGTTCCACACTGATAATACCCCAATAAACCCTCCCTCGAATGACCAACCTATAGCCTCCAGCAAGAAAAAAAAAAAAGACAAAAAAATAAAGACCGAAAGAAAGAAAGAAAGAAAAGGAAAAACACAATAAATAAATAAAATTAAAATAAAATAAATAAATCCTCAGAGGGTGCTCAGCTTAATTGTCTTGAGAATTAGCTAATAAATAGTCTAAAAAGGGGCGCCACAGTTTATCAAAGGTCCTTATAGATCCAGCCTGTGACAGTCTGATTTTCTCCAATTTAATGCAAGTAAAGACTTCTTTCAGCCATGTATCAAAAGAAGGTGGTGAAGCATGTTTCCACTTCAAAAGTATGAGATGTCTTGCTAATACAGTAGTAAAGGCTTGAGCCTTTTGAATCGTTACTGAAAGGTTACCATCAACAGTCATCCCGAAAATGACCAGAAGTGGATTTATGTCAAGATCTATGGCAAAGGCTTCCTTCAGAATTTTGAATATCTTAGTCCAGTAATCATATAGTTTAGGGCATCCCCAAAACATATGAATGAGATCTGCTGGTGATTGCTTGCACCTATTACATGCATCGCTGACAGAGGGGTATATTTTGGCAAGTTTAGCATTAGTATAGTAGACCCTATGCAGAATCTTACACTGTATCAGGCCGTGTCTTGCACTTATAGATGATGTGTGTGTAAGAGCAAGAATACGCTCCCAATGCTCAGATTTCAAATCCCAGGTCTCCCTCCCACGCCGCTCTGGCCCTACCTGTAGAGACTGGATTATTATTGTGAATCAAATTATAAATGACAGAAATACAGTGTTTTGAATGTGGATCAAGCTTTAAAAAGTCATCTAATGGTGATTCAGGGGGGCGATTCGGAAAGTGAGGGAATAGTTTTTGCACAAAGTGCCTGACTTGAAAGAAACGAAATAAGTGGGAGTTAGGCAAGTCAAATCTTTTGGAAAGGTTATTAAAGGAGGAGAAAACTCCCCCCTCATAGAGATCATCAATGGTCCTTATGCCTTTATCAAACCATATTCGAATCCCCTCATCCATATTAGATGGTGCAAAACTGTGGTTTTTAATTATCGGAGAGAGTGTAGAAAACCTATGTAACCCAGTCTGTTTTCTAAATTGAGTCCATATCTTAACTGAGTGAGATACTACTAAATTTGAACTAATGTTGGTAGGCAATGGTAGTTGTGAGCATATAACTGAGTGCAGAGAGAGGCGTGCTGAGGACTGTTCCAGGTAGGCCCAGCAAGGGGGTTCAGAATTCAGATTGTTCCTCCAATATACAATTTTCTGGATATTGCAGGCCCAGTAATAGTGCAAAAAATTTGGGAGTGCAAAGCCTCCCTTGTTTTTAGGGAGCTCCATATTTCCTAATTCGAGCTGTCCCATTTCCCCATAAAAAGGAAATTATTTGTTTGTCCAAATCCATAAAAAAAATTTTTTTTTTTAATCTTATACCCTGAAATTTTACCAATATGGTTTAAAATGTTAAGAATAACAGGAACAGAAGTCTCTGGATCAGAAATAAAGAGTAGAAGATCGTCTGCATATAGGGATAATTTATACTCTCTACCTAGCCGATTTATACCTTTAAAAGTTACATCCTCATGAAGCCAGATAGCTAAGGGCTCAATGGCAATGGCAAAAAGCAGAGGCGACAAAGGGCAGCCCTGCATAGTGCCCCTCTGAAGCAAAAAAGGTGGTGAGACCACACCATTAGTTAAAATAGATGCCTGTGGGGAGACATACAATAGTTTGATCCAGGAAATAAAGCGATCATCAAAACCAAAGCTTTCCATTATACGAAAAAGGTATCCCCACTCGACTCTATCAAACGCCTTTTCCGCATCTAGTGCCAGAACCACTTCTGGCACATCTGAACTAGGCGTATTGAGGATATTGAAAAGTTTCCTTGTATTAAAGAAAGATTGTCTTCCAATCATAAAACCTGTTTGGTCATCTGAAATTATTTGGGGCAAGACTTGTTGTAAACGCAACGCTAAAATCTTAGTTAAAATTTTATAGTCCACGTTCAAAAGTGAGATGGGTCTATAGCTGCTACACAATAGGGGGTCTTTGTCTTTTTTGGCAATCAAAGTGATTGACGCTAACGACAGGGTGGGAGGCAGGCAGCCTTTAGAAAAAGACTCGTTAAACATATTCTGTAATGCAGGTGCTAGGGATGTAGAAAATGCCTTAGAAAACTCTGTAGTAAACCCGTCAGGGCCTGGTGACTTGCCGTTCTGTAAAAGTTTGATAGCTTCCATCACCTCCTTAGCTGATATTGGGTCACCAAGGGTCTTAGCCATGTTACTATCAATGTTAGGAAAAAAGATCTTATCCAAGGGCCATTCCCCACAAACAGAACATGAGGAAAGTTCAGAAGTATAAAGGCCCGAGTAAAACTCTAGGAAAATGTTATTAATTTTATGTGGATCATGAACCACGTCTCCCTGTGGTGACCTTATTCCATTAATCAACCTTGATGCTGCTGATGCTCTGGCTTGATGAGCTAATAATTTACCTGCCTTATCACCTAGTTCAAAAAAACATTGCTTAGATTTGAGCAACTGCACTTCAGCCTTATTCGTGGTCAAAAGATCAAATTCTGTTTGTAAACGAAGGCGTTCTTTATACAGATCTTTATTTGGATCAATAGCATACTGATGATCTAAACTTTGTAGGTCCTTAAGGATTGTATCCTGAAGTTTAATTGACTTGATATTTTACTCTGATTAAGTGTCCCCTGCCGGGAAAAAATTTATAAAAAAAATACACACTGAAATTAAACAGTTTTCCTGTCCCTCCACAGGCAGCCAACCCAGGCTGTGTTCTGGCGGACTTTGTGCGCTGGTACTCACCTAGAGATTACGTGGAGGAGGAGGTGGTCGACGAGAGGGGTAACACAGTGGTGAAAGGCGAACTTAGTGCCAGGATGAAGATCCCAGGCAACATGTGGGTGGAGGCTTGGGAGACGGCCAGGGTTACACCTGCACGCCGCCAAAGAAGACTGTTTGATGACACTAAGGAGGCTGAAAAGGTAATTTTCATAAAAAGGCACTGGCTTAACTTTTTCTGGTTATTCCGTATGTTCAGTTAAAAGCCTTCCATGGGTGGGTATGACTTTAACTCCTGTAATTAAACCTAAAAAGAAAGCATGCCCTATATCAAGTATCTTGCTGAAATTCATGTTAGCCTATGCAGACATAACAGATGTAACTGACAGAGAGCAAACAGAAGGCAGATCAGTAGGGGAAACTAAACCCTGGTTTTTGACTCTTTTTAGGTTCTGCACTATTTGTCAATACAGAAACCTGCAGACCTGACCTGCCATCTCCTGCCCTGCATACTCCATGCTGCTATTCTGAAGTTGAAGGAGGAAGGTGAATCAAGATTGTTTTATTGAAAATGTGTCATGACAACCAGTAAAACAAGGGATGTCAGTACTAGCAAACCACCACTAGACCAACACATAATAATAAGAAAAAATGCAAGATGTTTTTATGGATGACTAAATTGAACTTTGAGCATGATTGACGCAATAGGTGGTCATAATGGCACATTTTCAATCTCAGTCAAATCAGAACCCAAAGGCATCATAGTATATACTCATGTGACTGTCCATCAGTTCCTTTCAATTTCACAGTTTTCATGTGTAGTTACCATGCTTACACAATTTCTTCACTATCAAAAATAATCAAGTGGAAATGTCAATATATCCAAGGTTGTAATGTAAACTGGACACGTTAGATGGTATTTCAGTGTGACTTTTTATTCAAACTATAAACAAATATAGGCTACATTTACATTTATTCATTTAGCTGAGGCTTTTATCCAGAGTATACGTCAGAGGTCGCACACCTCTGGAGCGACTAGGAGTTAAGTGTCTCGCTCAGGAATATGTTTGGGAATGTGTAACAGTGGGAATTGAACCTGGGTCTGTCACACCAAAGGAATGTCTTATCCACTGTTCCCTTGCCAACACCTAAAAGATTTTCATTTATTTGCACAGTTAAAATTACAAAGAAATAACAGGAAAAAAAACAACAAACAATGTAACGTGCAGGGAGAGGCAGAAAACCCAAATGGGCTTATTTAATGCCTCCACCTATAGTTATATCAATTAATTGGAATAATTTAGAGACTGAGATCATGCATCATTACAACTGTTGCTATGCAAAATACCTGTCTACCTGAACTTTACCTTAAATTCCTTCAAGAGAGGTTCCTGATACAGAGATGCAGCTCCTGCTTCGGAGACCTTCACTGCCTCTCCCTCTTAAGATAACAATGTTAGTTAAAGTATGTTTTTCAGCACCTGCAGGGCAAGATTGCCTTGTGTTAATGTGGGTGAATATACACTGCTCAGAAAAATGAAGGGAACACTTGTAATCCGGAGGGCTGGATTCAAAATCACAGAGAAAAAGTAAAGAAATGTAACTGAGGCTCATCCAACCTGCATTACTTGATATTTTTATATTATATTATAATATTATATTACATCACAGCAACTCAAAATGTGTATATGGCCCCTGTCGGGTCGGAAATAAGGACCGGCCGGGCCAATGAAAGACCTGGTCCCTACCCTAACCAACGTAATAAACTCAATAAAATTACTCTATTAGATTTCTTCTTTAATCAAAAACTGCGTAGTCAAAAACTTCACTGGAGATGGTCAAGAGTCGGTGCAAAAGAGTTTATTCCAATAAAGAACACATAAACCCGAGCAACATCCCTGCAGGTCTCAGGATGGAACTGAGTTGGTGGTCAGCGAACATCGCCTTATATTCACCTTAAGCTCCACCTTGTCTCCTCCCTTCAGGTGGGCGTTACACCTTAACTCCTCCTTATCTCCTCCTTCCAGGTGGGCGTTACACCTTAACTCCACCTATAGTGTTTGCTGACCACTCCTCCCCTTTGGTGAATTTCTTATCCTCTACTGCCATCTAATGGGCTTTTTCTCGTACTGTTTTACCAAATTAACCCTTTCATTAATGTTACAATTTCCACTTTTTAGCTATTATTACATGTAATTATTGTTACCATTTATCTCTCTTTATATTTTTTACATTACTGGATTAGAAATTCACCAATATGTTTCAACTTCAGTCCCACCGTATTTTTTTTAAAGTTATACAGGCATAGTTTGACACCATTAAAACTTAAACACTTACAATTGTATTTTTTTTAAAAGAATTAATAAGGAATAACACATTTGATACATGCATAACATGATTCAATGAACAAGTACATGATTCAACAATGCCAACCATGAGGGTGCTGTGTCTCATACAAGTTTAGTTTCGGCAGTGCAAAGCTTGGTTTCATGCAGTACCTGGCCGTACCTTGCAGTACCAGGCGCCACAAATCACAATGTGTCATGATCTCATTCTTGGCCTCAGTTCGCCATGATCTCAGGCCTGGCGTACGTGACTTACAGCAGGTGCCTTGCTTCCATTGTGTAGGTTACGGTTGGCTAGGTTTTTGCCTGCGCGGCCTGAACAGCTGTTCTGCTCATGTTGGCACATTGAAAAGGCACACGTTCATAAATACACAGAGTATAGGAATAAAATATGATAAACACACAGGGTATAAGAATAAAATATGAGTTGGTACACACTCATTAAACACTCAGTAGTTAAACTTTACACTAAAAGAATAACAGCAGCGGTCAACACCTTTACCGTGTGAGAGCACAGTCATTCTTCCAGTGGCTACACTACAAACACTTCTAAGTAGTTATAACATATTGTAAACCAACAAAGTGTATAAATGTAGAAAAAGAACCTAACAAACAATCTAGGAATTAGGAATTATTCAACACCCCCACATTCCAAGATGCACTCCCAACATCATCTGGACATGTTCGTGAGTGGCGGATGGTGTCCTGGAGAGTCTGGTAAATCCACTGAAACGGCCCAGTGCAAGCTGACAGGCAGGTTAACGACTTTATCCTGTCAGTATCTCTCTGTGTTGCAGTATGAGAGTCCTACCTGAAGAGAGGCTGTGAAGTCTTCATGTTACATGATACGAGAACCACATACAACATAATTTATCAAATTGGGTCAGACTTGATGAATTTAGCGCGAGGATACACGTGACAATGTCTGGTTTTCAAAATAAGGTGTCTTTACAGTATGGAAAAAATATTAATTGGATTATATTCACAGAAAGTATACAACATATTACATGTGTAAGTTAAAAGTAACTAAACAACATCAATAAACTGTTAGGGAAATAAATTTATTCTATTTTCTATTCTTTAATTTGGGGTTGCTGGACAAAAATTAAATAAATTTGTTGCCTTTTGTTGCTGTTTCATCACCATTTATAGCTATATGGTATTATGATCAAATAGTTTACTAGAGCACAACATTGTTTGTTTTCATAGATAATCTCTTAATTTTGGCGCTGACGTCAGACCTGCCAATTCTGGTGTTTATTTATTTATTTTTTTACATTCATTTGTCCGAAGCGACTTACAATTGCCATACATGCCTCTGGAGCAACTATCTTGCTCAGGGACACAATGGTGGATGGGTGGGGATTGAACCCGGGTCTCTTACACCAAAGGCATATGTCTTATCCATTGCGCCATCATCACCCCAGTTCTTTGGTAAATGCCAATCGAGCTGCACGGTGCTGGGCTGTGAGCACAGGTCCTAATAGGGGACATTGGGCCCATCACGCCACCCTCCTTTAAAACCAGAATAACAACTTAAATATGACTTATTGGTACAGTCAGGGCCTGTTGCATGTTAAAGGTTTAGGGGTTAGAGGTGTGCCTCTCACACTTTTGTTGTCTTCGCTCTTTATTATTTATTTCACAGTTTCTTTGGCATCTATCTTCTCCTGCACAGTTTGTTGTTGTAATGGTTGATTGTTTTTTTTTGTTTGTTTTTTTTAATACCATTTTCTGTATTGATTTTGCACAGGGAAAACATATACGGTTACAATAATGTGAAGTCATAATTGTTCTCATATTATATCTGACAAACTCCAAAGTAAACTGTTCTCTTCCCCCATAAATGCTGGACCCTCCTAACGAGGGATGAATCCCGCCCAAAAATGCTCACTCACACATTCAGACACATGGAGGGAGGGGATAAGGAAAGAGAGAGAGCGGAAGCAGGTAAATAAATAAATAAAAATAAATAAATAAGTAAACAAAAGCAAAGCAAAAAAAAAATTTAAATAAAAGGGGGGGGGGTGTAAGCTCAGTCGTTTGTTTCTTTGGTGATAGCCAACGGATCAATATATTCTAAAAGGGTTGCTGTAGGTTTCCACTGAATGAAGCCTTAGCTTGACACTCCCATCCACTCCCTTCATCCAAATCCACATCAATAAATCCACAGGACCACTTGTAACAATGTATCCATTTACTCGGTTAGCAGCAAAACATGAGCACAGGGAAATTACAGAAAATGAAAATGATTTATTAACGACAAAAAAGGGGAGAGGGAGAGAGAAAGAAAGGTCAAAAACTGTGTGGCTCCACACTCTGCTTGCCTGACTGTCTACTAAGGTAACTTCACAAAATCTCGTGAGATTATTCCCCCACAATTAAAGGTGCATGTGGTTAAAGGTAAAAGGCGATAACAGTCTATTCCTCAAATATTACCAACTATCCACACACACACAATTTAGCTAAGCATACAATTACTGTAAATATTAACTGCATCAACCTGAAAATACTGTAAATATTCCCTTCAATTCCCTCTACATAAATGAATCATGTAAATTACTATTTAACACATAAATTAAAATTATTTATCAGTTAACTGCATTTAGGCTCCATGTTTTGTGAAATGCCTTAAGGGAGCCCTTTAGCGAGAATCATATTCTCTCAAGCTTGATGCACTGCAGTATCTCATGAATCCATCAATTAAGGGTGGGTGGGAAGAATGCGTCCATTTAAGGAGCATGAGCCTCCTTGCCAGCAAGGAGGTAAATGCGACAATTTGCTTTGCAGCTCTGGAAATTGTGGAGGTTGAGTGAATTCCAAAGAGGGCGGTGAGGGGATCTGGGTCCAGGCCTACTACCAGGACCCTGCTGAGTATTCAATTCAATTCAATTTTATTTATATAGCGCCAAATCACAACAACAGTTATCTCACAGCGCTTTTCATAAAAGAGCAGGTCTAGACCGTACTCTATGATGTTATTTACAGAAGCCCAACAATTCCCACCAAGAGTAAGCACTAGGTGACAGAGGCAAGGAAAAACTTCCTTTTAAGAGGCAGAAACCTCAAGCAGAACCATGGCTCAGGGTGGGCGGCCATCTGCCTCGACAGGTTGGGGGTGAAGGTGAGAGAGAGAGAGAGAGCAGGAGAGGAACAGAGAGAGAGAACAGGAGAGGAAGAGAGAGAGAGAGCAGGAGAGGAACAGAGAGAGAGAGAGAGGAACAGAGGGAAAAAGAGAGGGATGGAAGAAGAGAGAGTGGAGGGAGGCAGCCTACACAATATACACACACAGAGGTACAGACAGTAAAGGTGATGTTGCCATAAACTAAATGAAAAATGGCATAGATGTGTATAGTAATGTTAATTATAACAATCGTAATGTTAATGATTATTATAACAATAGGACTAGTAACAATGGTTGTTGTAGCAGAGGGTGTCGAGCAGGAACACAGGGACAGCAGGTGACCCGCAGCCACAGATCCAGACTCCACAGCTCCAGAGCCAGAAACACCTGCAGGAAGTGACAGGAGGAGAGAGGAGAGGGACAAGAAAGCACAAGACTACCGAAAAGGGAAGAAGTTGAGTTAGTAACATGCAATAATGGGATGAGGTTGCATACAGAGGGAGAGAAAGTAGAGGAGAGAGGAGCTCAGTGTATCATGAGAAATCCCCCGGCAGTCTAGGCGTATAGCAGCATAACTAAGGGATGGTTCAGGACCCACCTGAGCCAGCCCTAACTATAAGCTTTATCAAAGAGGAAAGTCTTAAGCCTACTCTTAAATGTGGAGATGGTGTCTGCCTCCTGAACCCAAACTGGAACCTGGTTCCACAGGAGAGGAGCTTGATAGCTGAACGCTCTGGCTCCTATATAAGATAAGAATTCAGAGTACGGGCCTGGTGTTCGGTACACTATAATGAAAAGAATTGGTTGCAATGATTTCCAACTTGGGTGTGAAAGACTAAGAACAAGGCTTTCAAATGAGTTATAGTTTAGTTTAGGTTTAGAGCTGATTAGTAGGCTAGAGTCGAAGATAGCTGCAACTCCACCTCCTCGGCCTGTGCCTCGAGGAATGTGAGTATTAATATGACTGGGAGGGGTGGATTCATTTAGGCTAACATATTCTCCATCACCCAGCCAGGTTTCAGTAAGACAAAATAAATCAATATCATAATCTGATATTAGTTCATTTACTAGTACACCTTTAGAAGAGAGAGATCTGATGTTTAAGAGTCCACATTTAATTTTCCTATTAGTTTGCACTAATTTTTATGAGTTTTTCATGCAACATTCCTCTTCTGTTTACCTCGGGGGGCAGATACCGTCACTATAGGATTTTCACTAAGTAACTCCTGAAATGGAGGAGCAGAGAAGTGTGTTAGACTCTGCCTCCTGGTCTCAACTCTGGGTTGTCATGGATTTGGTCCACTAATAAACTTGGCCAGATTTCTAGAAATGAGAGCTGCTCCTTCCCAAGTGGGATGGATGCCGTCTCTCCGGATCAGACCAGGTCTTCCCCAGAAAGTCTGCCAATGATCTACAAAGCCCACATCGTTGGCTGGACACCACCTCAACAACTAGCGGCAGAATGACGACATGCGGCTATACATGTCATCACTGGTCAGATTTGGCAGGGGTCCAGAGAAAACTACGGTGTCCGACATTGTTTTTGCATATGTACACACCGACTCAACATTAATCTTAGTGACCTCCGATTGGCCGGGAGTCATTACCGCCGACGTGAATAACAGTCTTACTGTATTTACGTTTATCATTAGCCAGCAGTTTCAAATAAGACTCAATGTCGCCCGCTCTGGCCCCAGGGATGCACTTAACTATGGCTGCTGGCTTCGCTAACTTCACGTTTCCCAAAATGGAGCTGCCAATGATCAGAGTGGGTTTCTCAGTGGGTGTGTCGCTGAGTGGGGAAAATCTGTTAGAAACGTGAACAGGTTGGTGATGACCTGTGGGCTTTGAATGCTTACGACTATTACTCCTTCGGACAGTCACGCAGCCACCCCTTTCTGGCAGCACAGGAGATGCCGGGGGACGGCTACCACAGGCTAACTCAGGCTGTTCCGCACCGACAACTGGGGACTCGCTAGCAGTACACTACAGTAGCTAAAGACTGATCTACCAAGGTGTGGAGCCGGACTTCTAAATCACTGAGCCTCACCTCCATGTCTAAAAATAAACTACACTTATTACACGTACCATTACTGCTAAAGGAGGCAGAGGAGTAACTGAACATCTGACACACTGAGCAGGAGAAAGTAGGAGAGAGAGAAGGAGAAGCCATCACTAGCTGCTAAGCTAAAGTCGCTAACGGCTAAGCTAAAGTACTGTAGCGTCAGCTACCAAAACTTTTGAACCACTATGAGATTGAACAGCCGTCACTAAAAGATGGAAAGAACTGTGAGTGCTTAGGCAAAATTACTGTAAGAATAAGTGTTTAGCGGACAGTTGGCCGCTGTAATCTAACAAATGTAACTGGTATTTAGCGAGAGCAGCACAACATGGTACCAACTCACAAGCACCGGAAACGGAAATGAGTCGACACGTACGTCAGTAACGTCCCAACGTTGGAGCTCAGTCTCCAACTTCTCCAAAATCATGTGCAGACAATGGTCAAATATTGTGGACCAAAATATACAGTACGTAATTGTAGACATGACCAGAACATGTGTATGTAGTCAGCTGGTGGCAGTCTACATCTGGTACATGAATCTCTCCTGTCTGGAAAAATCTTAGCAAGCTTTGCATTAGTGAAGTGGACCCTATGCAATAACCTTCTATATAACATTGTAGAAGGTTGTGCCTGGCGCAAATCGATGAAGTGTGTGCGAGGTCTAGTATGTTTATCCATTGCTCGTCTGACTTAGTAATCCTGAAATCCTGGTGCCAGACGGCCCTCAGAGAGTCCAAGCATACTGGGTTAATTTTAAAGAGGTGGTATCATGCTCATTTTCAGGTTCAGAATCTTATTTAGTGGCTGTACCAGAACAGGTTTATAGGGAGAGGAGAGGTGTATGCTGCAGCTCAGTGTTTTTCCACCAGTGTTTTCGAAGGCGTGTCGGACTAGCCGCTTGGCGAACGTTATATGACGCGCATTTTGCTTTCATCCCTGTGATGTAAGCAAATACAGGCAGTTCAAAGCAGTGTTTTCTGCGGGAGATGGGAACTCCCTTTGGGGTGGACTTAGGGCTTTTTCACTTTGCAAACCTATTAGATACACAAAAAAGATATGTAACTCAATAAAAGGTAAGAATAGGTGGTTACGAAAGACAGGCGCTAGACCAAACTGTTTCCTGATTTGCAGAGGAAGAGGAAGAAGTGCTGGTTACAATTGGATTGTGGGCAACTACCTTGACTGAGAGAGGTAACTGGGAGCAAACTACCGACCAAAGTAAAATGCAAGAAGAGGCTGTTTCCATCAAAACCCACTGGGGTTGTTCAGCTGGTGCCAATTTAGTGTTCAAAAAAATAAGTTTGTTGATATTCCAGGCCCAGTAGTACCAGCAAAGATTTGGCCAAGTCAACAGTCTAGTAATGGCTGAAAATTTCAAACAAAAAGCGACTCAGTAGTCGCTTTGGTGATGAGGATCACTAAATACTGTATCTGAAACTGTCCAAGACCTTCTTAAAGGAGAAGAGGGACTGAGGTATTCGCTTTTCCCAATGTTAACCTCTTTTAATACTTTTCCCCTCATTCTGGAAGACAGAGGTGCAATATTGTGCAAGCCAAGAGATGTAGTTCAGAGCAGTTTCCGCCAAACTAAATCTTACTGTATGGTTTTACAACAAACTGTGTTTCTTGACAAAATTTCCTTTTAAATTGACGGACTTCATATGTTTAATTGAGGGCACAAATTCAAACGGGATAAAAATGTGTCTCTCACCATTGAATACTTTGCATATTTTTTCCTAAATAAAGTCCCATGGGGTGAAAACAGAATGCTTATTGTGGGCAAGTACTCTGTACGTTTAATAGGGCTATTTAGTCCCTTTACATTCCAATTATGTTGTTGGTTGACAGCCTACTCACACTCTAGGGTGTCCCTGAATCAGCCATGATTGTCTAAATAAATATAATTAAGTGGGCATACCATTAATAACTGTCACTCTTACTAATACAACAAAAGCAAAAAAGAAAATACAAGTGGATGGAGTAAAAAAAGAAAGAAACTATAATAATATTTGTGAGCAGGCCTTCAAAATAAATAACAAACGTCCTTAGCCCATAAGGACGTGTTTGGGCGCAGATAAATTATTTTAAGGTAGGGAAAAAATACAGTGTGTGGCAAAGTATGGGAAGTAAATTATATAGCGCATGTTTTGTTCAATATTTTAGGGTGGGATATAACACATGGATGCTACATGGAGAACATTCCACAATCTCCATACTTTATTCCATCACTTGCTAACTAGAATCTTTTTTCTTTCTCTTTCTCTCCTCTGTCTCCTCTTGATCTCTTCCTTAACAGAGTCAGATGAAGACATTCCGTCAGTCAAAAAGACCATTCAGCAAGCTACATGTCAAGCTAGCAAGCTGCTGCACCCCCCCAACCATGACTACAAGAAGTTAGAGGTCAGTGACAGGCACAACTGGAAATGAACTTCACAGACTGCTAATTCTTACTAATATGAGACGTGTCCCTCACTTTGTGTTTATTCATACCATTGTACTTTTTGTGTTTGCACAAATGCTCTGACATTTTATGCACTGGCAAAGTTGAAACGGCAACTACTGCCGGATGAGAAAGGAAATGTGGAAGTACCTCAAAGTGCAATGCCCCTGACATCTGCTAGATGCTGGTTTCAACAAATCCTGGCTCCAACTAACTCCCATTCAAGTGTCAGATTCTCTTTAAATATACTAAGCCATTATTTATTTACCATCGGGTCATTATGTTCTTATTTGCTAAATTGAAGTCCTTCACTAAGTGCATGGTGGTATAATGGAAATTATTACTGTGTTAATAAGATTTCAAGGATTATAAAGGCTTATAGAATCAATGGGCATTGATTGGTTGCCTGCTGCTTCCTCTGGTTTCTTGACTCACAGTAACTCAGACCTTTGGAGCTTCTGTTTATAGAATAAACCATTTTTTGGGGGAGGGGATGTATGTGTTACTAACAAGACCCTCAAAGGATGCTCATTACTTGTCCTGTTAGCAGAATGTAGCAAATGTAGCTAGCCTTAGCCTTCAGTCTGCATTGCATTAGCACTTATGCATGGCCCACTAGCCAATCTATTAGCTAGAAGATTGGTTTTGTCACAGATCTGTGGATTTAGTATATTTCTACAAACAATTTCAAGGGCATTGGTATAACAAAACACAAATTTTCTTACATTTAGCAAATAGCATAAGTTACTTGGCAGTGCTGTTTTGTTTTTGCTGCATTTTTGTGTCTGAAAAGTGTTGATTTAGTAGCTCATTCCATAAGGTGACCGTGTGTACAAAAATAGAATAACTTAAAGTGGTCTATGGTAAAGTTTATGCTATTTATACAACGTTGAGGTACTGTAACTGTAATGTTATATCTGCTATACACTGTATGAAGTTACAGTGTAATGTAATCCAAACAAAAAGGCAACAAAAGTACAGCAATGTTTGCATGTAAATCCAACAACTCTTTCATAATACACATCTTTTGTTTTATTAGTTGATCAAGCCAAGTTGAGACATTGATGTCTTTATATAACACGGGACAGTTGAACACTGGTGTGTCCAGCCAACAGTTTGTAGAGCAGACCAGGTATCTTAAGAATCAGAAGGAGCTTTATTGTAGGTAGTGTTTTACACATACAACGAATTTGCTTTGGTGATAAGGTGCTACACGTAGACAAACATATAGTTGACATAAATAAATGTAGAAATATATAAATATGGAATAAACAAATGCAAGTGAAATTTGTGTTGTCCAGACGCATTGCAACGGAAGAGAATATTGTGTACATATAATGTAAATTAACAACAGAAAAATATAAAACAACAACAATTCACAACAAATATGTGCATTGTCCAGATTTGTGACCTGTACAGGAAAAACACAGGTTTGGTTATGTGGATAAGGACCCCTGCACAGTATCAAACAGACATGCTAGACTTAAAACTGTTTATTCTGGGACCATCCGACCACTCTGGCCGTAAAGGTATCACTAAGGACACGCCACAGGAAGACCAAAAGGTCAAGTAACCATGGTAACCGACCACACCCTGCAGGTTACCTTAAACATCAAAGTAAAATACAACTTTCTTTCAGTCCTGATTCTCCACCCCACGAAATGGTCATAAAACATACTCTGACTGCATCTATCCCCACACACACACAAAGACAGCCTCTCCCTATTCACACTGATGTGTAGAACTGATAACAGTGCCAGACACCAGAGAAAGCACAGCCTCAAATTCCTTTTTATGGACAAAGAATGTCTTTTCCTTATAAAGTAGTTTTGTCACTCTTTTTAGTTAAATGACAGTAACTTTAACTTAACTTAAGTAACTTTAACAGTTGAGGGGCCGTCTGGGCACCATACCATCAGAGGAAACCAACAAAGCAGTAAGGCAAAACCAAACTCTGCATTTTGTGGGGGATTGAAAATCTGCTGGCCGGATTGTGCTCGGAGTAAACTGCTTTTTACTTTAGTATTTGGGATTTCAACATTGATTTATCTTCACTGGAGGTTCTCAGCAGCTAGGTTCCGTGCACATCCGGTTCCAGTGTTGTTAGCGTTGTTAGCTCTGTCGGACTATGACTTCATATTTATACAAAAACCGGACAAAACTGGACATTGCTGGGGAAAAAAGAAAGCCAGTCAATTCGGGTGTGACGTCATTCCCAGCTCCGACCTCCGACTTGGGAGGTAAATGGAACACAGCACTATTCTCTGCGGAGCGAAGAGCTGCTTCTGGGACACGCTGCAGCCGCAGCTGGTGGACTCACGAGCATTGACTATAATATGATCTCCGGCAACGGCGCAGCCGTAACGGAAGGTAAAAGTAAACATTACTGCAGTCCAAGTGGTGGCAGGGACCTGGCGATTTTTAACGGTAGAAATGCGGCAGCGGATGCTGTAACGTTATATGGATTGGATATGCCCAACACCTGCAGTTTGTGTTCATATCTTTCTTTTTCTTAAAGTGAAAGGTGATCCAAATAAAATTTGACTGCTTTTGTGGCGTCTCTACAGGGGAGTCGTGGTGTTGGTCCGTTGTTTTGCCCTCCAGGTCACCGCGCATGTCACATGACTTAACTTATCAACGTAACTTGCGTCCATTCGTTATCTTACTCCCTTAGTCATATCCTTTCCACAATAGCCAAACTGAAGTCACATTGAAGCCTATTAATTAGGGCCCGAGCACGACCGTGTGAGGTCCCTATTGAATTTGCTAAGATTATATTTAGGGCCCGAGCACGACCGTGCGAGGTCCCTATTGAATTTGCTCGGATTATATATATATATATATTTTTCTGCAAAGTAGGCTCAACTGACATGGCCTAAACATTCTCGAAAACTAACCAAAATTTGCAAACATGTCAGAACCGGTGAAAAATTTCGTATTCTACAAGTTAAGCACAGAACGAAGCAGCCCCCGCCGCACGTTTCACCTACGTGCACGAATTTTCTGTGGTACGTGTATCTTGTCCAGGCGCACAAAAAAGTCTCTTGGAGCCATAGCCTAAACCCAACAGGAAGTCGGCCATTTTGAATTTTACGTCAAATTTTGGATGATTTACACACTTCGTACTTTAACGAACTCCTCCTAGGGATTTAGTCCGACCGACCTCAAATTTCCGCTGTGCCTTCTAAAGGCATTGAAGATGAAAAGTTGTGCTATTTGCGAGTTTTCGTCAATGGGCGTGTCCGTGGCGTGGCGTCAAAGATCAACTCTTCGCCATGACACAGGAAGTTGTTGTAACTTTAGTGTACATGCTCACATCTGAACCAAACTTTACGTGCTTGATAACTCTCCCACCCCGCTATGGAGGACCGATCCTGACACAGTCAGAAATAAATACAGAAATGAATAAGTGCTCAATAAATAAATAAGCATCCAATTAAATACACAAAAAAATAAAGTAAATTAAAGCTGCAAGCAGCGTTGGGCGGGCCCTCGCACTTGTAGCGCGTCCGAGCGTGACTCGGCCGAGTTGCATATTCTGGAGCTTAGTGCGTATTTAACCTCACTTTGTATTCACTTTAGATGTAATGAATCTTCACTTAATCACAGGAACTGTGCATGTGTACTATTTAGCTCCAGGTCACTGGACAGGGGATTCACCCTGTGATTTGAGACTGACTGTGTGATTAAACTAACTGATTTAAAATAATTAAGCAATTATTAACTAATTGATCACTAGTTACAATTGCGTAATTATTAAGCTATACCCAAGGAGTCCTAAAAGGCTTGGGCGGACAAATTTTAGGTGGCGCCACAAACAAGTGCTTATGATATAATATTTAAAATATTATTCATAATTTCCTTAACAAAGAGTAGGTTCATACATTCTACATGTGCAGCATATGAAATTAAGTAAAATTTAGACGTGTAGAGAGACATTTGTATTATTTGAAAGGGGGGAGTGTCAGTGGGGGGCCCGGGCCTTGTTAATGAGGCTAGCTGCAGACGGGAAGAAGCTGCTTTTGTGGCGAGAGGTTTTGGTCCTGATGGGCCGCAGCCTCCTGCCAGAGGGGAGAGTCTGAAACAGTTTGTGTCCAGGGTGTCGGCTGCAATCTTTTACTGCTCACCTCAGAGTTCTGGAAGCGTACAGGTTCTGAAGAGATGGAAGGTTGCAGCCAATCACCTTCTCTGCAGAGCAAATGATGTGCTGCCCTTGTCCCTGGCAGTGGCAGCAGCGTACCAGATGGTGATGGAGGAGGAGAGGATGGACTCAATGATGACGGTGTACAGTCCCTGACAAAGTCTTGTCGCTTATCTATTTTGTAGAAACACCTGCTATTAACCTGAGTTTTAATTAATCAATTGGTGTTAGAAATAGCTCATATGAAAAGCTAAAACCCTCCCAAATGATGTTTAATGCACTGAAATAAATTAGTTTCACTGAAAAAAGATTTATCATTTAAACAAGACAGAAAGGTCAAATTTTGGCAAGACAAAAGTTTTGTCGCCTATACAGAAATTTAACAAATTTAATGCAAATACAAAAATATGTCAGCAAATTAAGTAGTGGTGCTGTGAGATCCAAATTTAATATCTTGTATGACTTCCATGAGCTTGAAGGACTGCATCCATGCGGTTTGGCAAGGATGCATACAATTTATTGATGAAGTCATCAGGAATAGCAAAGAAAGCAGTCTTGCATGCCTCCCAGAGTTCATCAATAGTCTTTGGTTTCGTCTTCCATGCTTCCTCTTTCATCCTACCCCACATATGCTCAATGATGTTCATGTCTGGTGACTGGGCTGGCCAATCCTGGAGCATCTTGATCTTCTTCGCCTTGAGGAACTTTGATGTGGAGATGGAAGTATGCAATGGAGCACCATCCTGCTGCAGAATTTGGCCTTTTTTATGGTTGGGAATATAAGAGGTAGCTAAGATTTCTTGGTATTTTAGACTATTGATGTTGCCTTCCACCCTGCAGATCTCTCGCACACCCCCATACTGGATGTAACCCCAGACCATGATTTTTCCACCACCAAACTTCACTGTTTTCTGGGTGAATCACGGATCCATGCGGGCTCCAGTAGGTCTCCTGCAATATTTGCAGCGACTGTGGTGTAATTCAACAGAAGATTCATCTGAAAAATCCACCTTCTTCCACTTTTCCAGCATCCATCCTTTTAGCAGGCTGTGGCCCTTGGCAAATGCCACACGGTTTTTCATTTGTCTTTTGTTTAGTGCTGGCTTCTGGGCACTGATTCGACCATGGAGGCCATTTCGAGACAGAATCCGACACTGTTCTGGTTGACACAGGGACTTCAGGTGACCAGGTCTCGTGGAGCTCTGCTGCAGTGGAAAATGGGCTGCAACAAACGGTCCTCTCGAGCAGTTGTCTTGCGGGGCCTGCCTGACCTGGGCTTGTCAAAAATGTCTCCAGTGTCTTCAGATGTTTTTTTTATCCTCTGTACTTGAAGCTGAGACACATTGAAGGTGTCTGCCACATCAGCAGTGGATCTGGTCTTCAGCCTCTTGATAATCAAAACTTTAGTGTCAGGGTGAATCTTAGGCATGTTTGCAGAGGTCTAGTTGCTGTTGACGTGAAGGTCGAGTGTACTGGGGTTGTTTTTATACACACCTGAGACCTAATTGATCCATTATTAGTCACAGGTGAAGCTCATATGACAAGGCAACAACACTTATGTCTTTGCAAAAATTGACTCAATGGGCTTTACCAAGCTGTGAATATTAGAATACTTTTTGATGGTTTCGTTTTGCACTGAAACACAAAAGCTGTTGGGATTAAAATGAGCCATTTCTTGTAAAAAAAAAAATCTTGATTAGAAATATATTTCAGCGGCACTTAAGGTCAATTTGTACACAAGCGACAAGACTTTTGTCAGGGACTGTAGAAGTGCACCATCATTGTCTTTGGCAGGCTGAACTTCTTCAGCTGCTGCAGGAAGTACATCCTCTGGTGGGCCTTCCTGGTGAGGGAGGTGAAGTCCCACTTGAGGTCCTGGGAGATGATGGTGAATGGGAGAGGGTGGGGCTGGGCTCTTTCTGAAGTCCACGACCATCACCACTGTCCTGGCTGCACTAGGTCACCAGATGATCAGTCTCCCACCTGTAGGCCGACTCATCCCGCCCAATGAGGGTGGTGTCATTTTGTTGTAAAGATGAGATCTAATGAAACACTCTGTCCTGTGACTGATCTGTCCAGAGTTTTGTCCAGAGAGCATTGGTAACAAAAGCCAACCAGTAATGGCTAGTCTGTCACGGCTAGTTACACGTCATCAAATTTCTGCATTTAAAACTAGGCTTAAATGGGCAGTACATGTGCACAGCAATGTGCAGGACATCGTGACAAAACAACTTCCCTCATTCATGAATCTTGTTTCTCTTAAATGTGACTGATTTAAGAGAAAAATAAGACCTTGCATATGATTCATTAACACAAAATTGGGGACATAAAAACGGCATACTTACTAATCACTTTTTAGTTTTTCACAAGTTTTTACCCATTACATTTTGATTCTCTGAAATTGTGGATATAAAAAGAGCTGTCCACCCTCAAATTAAAAACAAATCCAACATGCTCAAGTACAGAGAACAAAAACTAAAATAATCCTGATATGTACGGACTGCACTATACATGTTAATGTGATGGAGTTAAAGCATACTTCATGTGAAGTTCTTTCAGCTCCTGTTCTGACAGCATGTATGTCTGACCTTTCTCAATCTGTAGGATTTTATTCACCAGTTGATAGCCATGGAGACAGTCATCACCCGAGCTCGCTCGCTAAAGGCCAAGTTTGCCATTTGTGAGGGTGAGAAAGGAGAGGACACAGAAGAGCTAAAGAAGTAAGTTACACTCATTTGAGCACCAATTCAATGTGTGTGTGTGCAAAAAATTTAAATTAAAATAAATAAAACAGTAAGCGTCTGTGTGTCTGTTTTAAAAAATAAATATTCAGCCAGGATTGGCTCCAGCCCCCTGCGACCCTGTACGCAGGATAAGCGGTTGACGATGGATGGTTAGACAATTTGGCTTGTGTGAAAATGATGGATGTTACTAATCAGCTGAGCCGCAAAGCTTTGACTGCTTTTTTTAAATGTGAAGATGAAACCATATTATCATCTTGTTGCTGCCGTTTACGTTCACCCCAAACACAATTTAAAAAATGTACTGCAGAATATTCTGGGTGTATACATGTATGTAGGCTATATATTTATATAAATAACTATATTTTTTATACAGTGGGGAGCACAAGTATGATACACTGCTGATTTTGCAGGTTTTCCTACTTACAAAGCATGTAGAGGTCTAATTTTTATCATAGGTACACTTCAACTGAGAGACAGAATCTAAAACAAAAATCCAGAAAATCACATTGTATGATTTTTAAATAATTTGCATTTTATTGCATGTCATAAGTATTTGATACATCAGAAAAGCAGAACTTAATATTTGGTACAGAAACCTTTGTTTGCAGTTACAGAGATCATACGTTTCCTGTAGTTCTTGAGCAGATTTGCACACACTGCAGCGGGGATTTTGGCCCACTCCTCCATACAGACCTTCTCCAGATCCTTCAAGTTTTGGGGCTGTCGCTGAGCAATACAGACTTTCAGCTCCCTCCAAAGATTTTCTTTTTAGTTTAGGTCTGGAGACTGGCTAGGCCACTCCAGGACCTTGAGTGTAGTACTAGTGTTTTACTAATGGTTTTCTTTGAGACTGTGGTCCCAGCTCTCTTCAGGTCATTGACTAGGTCCTGCCGTGTAGTTCTGGGCTGATCCCTCATCTTCCTCATGATCATTGATGCACCATGAGGTGAGATCTTGCATGGAGCCCCAGACCGAGGTAGACTGACCGTCATCTTGAACTTCTTCCATTTTCTAATAATTGCGCCAACAATTGTTGCCTTCTCACCAAGCTGCTTGCCTATTGTCCTGTAGCCCATCCCAGCCTTGTGCAGGTCTACAATTTTATCCCTGATCGTTACACAGCTCTCTGGTCTTGGCCGTTGTGGAGAGGTTGGAGTCTGTTTGACTGAGTGTGTGGACAGGTGTCTTTTATACAGGTAACGAGTTCAAACAGGTGCAGTTAATACAGGTAATGAGTGGAGAACAGGAGGGCTTCTGAAAGAAGAACTAACAGGTCTGTGAGAGCCGGAATTCTTACTGGTTGGTAGGTGATCAAATACTTATGTCATGCAATAAAATGCAAAATAATTATTTAAAAATCAACATCATACAATGTGATTTTATGGAGTTTTGAATTTTTTTTTAGATTCTGTCTCTCACAGTTGAAGTGTACCTATGATAAAAATTACAGACCTCTACATGCTTTTTGTTATACAACGTATAATAATAAATATACTACCTTGTACCTTGATGCCGCTGATGCCAGTCAGCTAATGCAATCATGAGTTAAGTGCTTAACCAATGCTATGCTCTATATATGCACATCTCTTTCACTGACCTGATCTGCTAGGAGTAGCCCAGTATCCAGCTTCAATTGTCACCGTTACAGCAGTTGCACAGAGTCACTGGACATTTTTACTGACTGCTCCAGTGCCACTGGAATCATATTTGATGTCTTTCTCCAGGTTTGTGAGTTCCCTGCTGGAAGAACCAGAGGTGGTGGTGATCGGAGCTGGCCAGGGTCCAGCTGGCAGTATCATCCACAAGCTGTTTGTCAACGCTCAGAGGGTAAGCAGTCTCACTATCACAAGAGGTGGTTATCTCATTGTATGGTTATGGTAGACCAGTGTATCATACCGTGTCAAAAGACCTGGGGTCTCATTTATAAAACCGTGCGTACATTCCATACTAAAAGTGTATGTGCGCACAAAAAACGAAAATGGCATACGCTAAAAAAATTCAGATTTATAAAACTGTGCGCACACACACCTTCAGGTAACCTTCCCTTTATAAATCACACTCCTTCTGGAAATGTGCGCATGTGGACAAGCCTCATATCCAGCCCTCTATACTCCCACATTCAACCATAAATAGTCAACACAAAGCACTTCATGAATATTGATGCATATGAATGAGCCTGCTTACCAGAATCACAGCAACATAGAAGGATGGAAGAAAATTATCTTTCTGACACAGATATCAAGGTACTTGTAAGCACATATTGTTTGATGCAGGGGGTTCACAAACAAGAAACAAGAAAACAAGAAAATGCTTTGGAAGAATTCTGTTTTTCCGAATTGGGCTTTAGGCAGAAAGCTAGACATTATATATTGTTGATCATATCAAACACACACTTGTCAGGTAATTCCAGCTGCTAATAGCCGCCTCCCAGAAACCCAACAGTGGCTATAACCTTGGCTGTTTGTATTTGTACCAGGATCGTGCGGTTCTGTCAAGTTGGTCTGTCTAATGCTGGACCCAGTTCAGCAAACACATCCAAGAGCACAGCTCTAGGGAATCTAAATTGACTTATTAGCCAGTCATCATCATGGGTCAGGAAATCTTGATGGAATACAGAGTGGAATTTGATTTGATGAGATTTAAGTTGGCTTATATAGATATATATTTATAGTTTAAAGGTGTGTGCAATTCATCATCACACCAATGATTTGTCTCACATTTAATTTAATTTGATGTTAAACATTATCCATATCGAACTACGATGGTGTATCAGTTAAAACATTTTTTTGTGTGTTTTTTAAGCTGAGCTTTATTTTGTGATTTGGTGATTCCAGTGCCTGAAAAACTTGCTCAAGATGCATAGAAATGCGCACCTTTTGCCGCATATAATTTTTCTATAAATCTAGACTTTTGCAGTGAAGAATGTGTATACACATTTCACAGCCATTAAGGCAGTTTTTTTGTGCATAGCAACCTTTATAAATGAGGCCCCTGGTGTTGTATTTTAGAGTATGTTTTTCATATAGGCAGATTTCATTTCAAATTTGGAAATGTAAACAAAATTGGACAGTAGTGACACAAATAGGTTGCTAGGTCTGTTAACAGCTGCAGAGAATTGAGATTTGCTTTTGAATTTTAGGACTGAGACTTGCTCAGGTTTCATCTAGTTCACCAGAAGACTGTTAGTCTGGTGTTTTGGACCAAACTTGAAGTACAAATTAATTTCCCTTTTACATGAGGCTGGCATATCTATAATGATACACCTATCCGATGCACTGATCAGTACTGATAATTCTGAATGATGTCTCTACTTGAAGGAAGTGGTGTGTAGCTAGAGCCTTATGTAATCTTGCACATAGAAGAATCGTCCCAGCCAGTTCCACACAGTGAGATGTACTGATGTTTATCTATACGTTTCTACTGCCTGTATGATAAGTCATGAAGTTGTTACTGCTAAATTTAAACACAAATTGTAAAAAAAAAAAAAAAAAAAGATTATTTATTATAATAGCTATAATAGTACTATATCTTGCATATAGTGTGCTGATGTTGCAAACCCTCTGTGGGCTGTGGAGAATATATCCATGGAAAACATGAAATCTTCTCTTCCACTGTTGATTTTCTTTTTTAGCGACACCTCCTGTTAAAGGGGACCTATTATGCTTTCCCTCATTTTCTGTCATGTAAATGATGTTACAGTGTCAGATGTTCATTTTAAACATTTCAAATAATTAGGTAAATGGTAAAAGTAATCCCTGTGACGTCACATCGGCACAGATGTCCTTATACGGTCATCTGCTCATGTTCTGCTCCAGGCACATCTCGACCACGAAGTACAGGGTCTACTCGTCCACTCCATCAATCTTTCTCATTAACTATTTGACTTCCTGTGCTAGCAGTGTAAACATCAACGCTTAGCACCCCAGTGCCTGACCTCTGAGTCTGGGCAGAGTCAGCTTAGCTAACAGGGCCACTAGTTGCATGACAGAGTTAACTACCTAATGGCAGCGAACGTTACAGTTAGCTGCAGTTAGCAGTTACTTTAAAGCTATCTGTCCATCTAGACACTCCATAAAATATGACCCATTTTCACCAAAAGCTAGCACACCGAAAAGAGGATGAGGTGGTGCAGGCTTGCAAAATAGGTGTAAAATGAAAACCTGAACTGTAAAGTCGGATTTCCTGGAAAGTCGGAAGAATCTTACTAAACCTGACCTCAAATTCCAAGATGGTTCAACAGTAAAGTGAAAGCTGGTGTAATATACTGTTTATTAGCACTTCTCTCATTAAATCAGTCCAACTTTTATCTGCACAACAAACCACAAAATGCTTCAGTTCAATCAGAAGAAAGTGGACTTTAAAGAAACTGGACCTAAAATGGCTTGTTTCAGACAGAACTGACAGGCTGCATATGTAAATGCTCCGTATTTGTTGCATTTGCATTCACCATTCATACACTGTGCTCAAACAGAAACGTCTCGGGTTACGTATGTAACCCTGGTTCCCCAAGAAGGGGAACGAGACACTGCGTCGGTTACGACACTATGGGAACGCCTCTAGGCGTAGCAGGTCTGAACGTGAATGAAATCACTCCAATCCTATTGGCTTATTGCTAGAACGGTAAGGTGTGACGGAATAACCGGAGGAGTATAAAGCACACCTGTACACACTCATCATTAGCTTAAACTATGAAGCAGGCGCTTCAGGCGGGGAGAGAGGTGCGGCGGGCCGACGCAGTGTCTCGTTCCCCTTCTCGGGGAACCAGGGTTACATACGTAACCCGAGACGTTCCCCTTCGAGGGAACTCGAACTGCGTCGGTTACGACACTATGGGAACGAGATACCCACTAAACCGTGCCGAAAACCCCGCCTGCCCCAGTGTGCAATAAAGTGGCACGACTAAGAGGAGAGCGCACGAGTGCCAGGTGCCGAAGGAAGGTCAAGACTGTAAAACCGAATGAATGTGTGCGGAGTGGCCCAGCCAGCCGCTAAACAAACCTCCTGCAAAGAGGCCCCGGAAAGGAGGGCTCGAGAGGCCGCCATGCCTCTGGTAGAATGAGCCCTCACAGCCACAGGTGAAGGTAAACCGCGCACCTGATAGGCCAGGGAAATAGTCTGAACAATCCAGTTGCTAATAGTATGTTTGGATGCAGGGAGCCCAGCCCTGGGGGACCCAAAACACACTAGCAGCTGGTCAGCCTTCCTCCAACGGGAGGACCTCAGATTGTAAATACTCAGTGCTCTGACAGGGCAGAGCAGAGCAGATGAAGTCTCCCGTCCTCCGCCGTCACATGAGGTGGAGGATGAATTGCCTGCAGCACTGTGGACCCTGCCGCACAAGAAGGCACTTTAGGGATGTATCCTGGACGAGGGTGCAGGATAGCCCTAATATTCCCCCAGGCTTTGCGGGGAAACCGAAAGCGCCTCCTCAGAGAGGTGATAGCAAGGAGAAAGGCCATCTTGAGGGTCAAGTGCTTAGCCTCAGCTGACTCCAGGTTTTTGAAGGGGGCCTCAGCCAACGCCCCAAGAACCACCGCCAGATCCCAAGTGGGAACCTTGGACCGAGTCGCAGGTCTCATCCTCAACCACGGAGGAACCCTGGAGCTGAGGAGGGTCTTGACTGCTCCGGCTGTTAGACCCGCCTCTAGGTACTGTGCCCCCTCAGGGGCCAGACCCACAGCCGCCATACGGCGGGGCAAGGGTGAAGAACCCGGGCCTGCGCCTGGAACAGCAGGTCTCTCCTCAGAGGGACCTGCCACGGCGGGCCGGGAGCGACATGATGTCCGAGAACCACACCCGGGTTGGCCAGAACGGGGCTACGAGCAGTAGGCCGACATTGTCCTGGCGGACCCGCTCCAGAACCCCCGGGAGCAGAGCGACTGGGGGAAAAGCGTACAGACGTAGCCTCGGCCACGAATGTACCATGGCGTCCAGACCCAACGGGGCTGGAGGAACGAGACACAAACAGATCCACATCTATGGGGTCGAACTCTCATGCCCACACCCCAGCCTGTGAGGGAGGCGTCTGTCGAAATGACCAGCCGCCGACAAGACCCTCCCAGCACGGGCCCCTGGGACAGGAACCAAGTTTCCTACCAAACTGATAGGGAACGAAGACACTTGCGCGTAACCCAAATCAGACGTAGAGGATTTCCCCTCGGGGAAAAACCCTTGGTCATTAGCCACCACTGCAGGGGTCTCATGTGCAGCAGTCCAGATGGTATTACACTGGACGCAGCCGCCAGGAGACCCAAAAGTGAATCGAGCGATCGAGGTCCCCTCCGCCATGGCAACGGGTGATGTTATCCCGCCGTTTACACGTTCGGGACGCACCTGCCACCATCGAGTCCACGCCGTACTGCCTGCCGTGAGGGTCTGCAGTCAGGCGACGTTCAGACTCACTCACCGTGGATCTTCGGCGGCTCTCCCCTGCCGTTCTGGGGCTTCAGGGGTCCACCAGAAGATCACATGAGACACCGACCAGTGAAGTGAAAGTGTTTTCTAGTGATGGCGTGGCCTAACTTCACCCCTTTCACGGCAGCCAATTTGGTGTCGACACGTGCCGGAGACAATTGTGCCCGCATCGTTGTCGAATCCCATACTACCCCTAGGAACGTAGTCCGTTGGGTGGGCGCCAGCACACTCTTCTTTGCGTTGAGCCTCAGCCCTAAACACAGCAGATGAGCCAGAACGACATCTCGATGCCGAACCGCCAACTCTCGAAACTGGGCTAGGATGAGCCAGTCGTCAATGTAGTTGAAAATCCGGATGCCCTGGAGCCTCAGCGGGGCCAGTGCTGCATCCATACACTTGGTGAATGTGCAAGGGGAAAGTGCCAGGCCGAATGGAAGAACCCGATACTGGTAAGCCACACCCCCGAAGGCGAACCTCAGGAACTTCCTGTGAGAAGGACGGATGGAGACGTGGAAATAGGCGTCCTTTAGATCTATCGTGACGAACCAATCCTCGGATTGGATGTGCGTCACAATGGCGGGGATGATGAGCATCTTGAACCTGAATCTCCTCAGAGACCGGTTAGAACCCGCAGATCAAAATAGGGCGCAGCCCTCCGTCCTTCTTGGGGACTATGAAGTACCGGCTGTAGAACCGGCGTCTCTGTCTGGGGGGGAGACACGTTCCACGGCCCCTTTCCTCAGCAGAGTAAGAACTTCCTGTCCCAACACCGGACCTTGCTCCGGGCGGACCACAGTCCAAACCACCCCGTTGAATTTTGGAGGGCGGGTTTTGAACTGTAGTCGAAACCCATCTATGGCAGTGCGCAGGACCCACGGAGAAATGTTCATCAGGCTCCGGCAAGCCTCTGCAAAGTCTGAACGTCGCCTGACTGCAGACCCTCACGGCAGGCAGTACGGCGTGGACTCGATGGTGGCAGGTGCGTCCCGAACGTGTAAACGGCGGGATAACATCACCCGTTGCCACGGCGGAGGGGACCTCGATCGGCCTCCGGGGGGGGTGGGGGTGAAAGACTCCCCTACCCCGGTCTTCCCTGAGCTCCGTCGGGACTGGATGACGGTCCTCAGATCGCGTCTCTCAGAAGGCTGAGAGCGCCGTCTCGCTGCCCCAGCTCCTCATGGGGGCCCCCGAGAAGCGACACTCTGCTTCCTCTCCTCTCCGTAGGAGCTCGTAGAGGGAAGGGAACTACGCCTGGTAGCCTCAGCTGCCTTGGGTCCAGACCGGCGAGGGAGGTACTGGCGGAACGATTCGCCCTGCGTCTAGCGCTCCTTGGTGCTTAAGAAACCTTTCATCAAGCTTACCACTAGCCTGTGGTGTCTGCTCCTCCTGTGGCCAGTTGATGTTGAGCTTAGCCACGGCTCTAGTCACCACCTCCAGCAGCACGTCATAGTCGGGCGCCGCCTGATGACGCCGCCCCAACACACAGAAGTCATCGTCCACTACGCTGAGCACGTCCGCCTCCTCGGAGTCGGATTGCTGCAGCGTCTCCGGATCCAAACCGCAAGCGGGAGAAGCTGAGAACGGGCTCCCCAACGAGGAAAGGAAGCGTCGGAGCCAGCGGATGAAAGTCGGGAAAAAGCCTCAGCCGTCCCGAAATGCTGTGAACCCCATGAGTGAAGCCGCCGGGTTGCCTCAGCGGCCGCAGGGCCCTCGCCACGGAGAAAACACATCCGGCCATCCTCGGAAAAGAGAGCCATGCTGTACCTCAGTACCCGCACGGAAAGGGCTTCGCAACGGGCGCAGGCAGCCCCCTCGAAAGCTGCCCGGGCATGCTCCATCCCCAAACATGAGACACACATCTCATGAGTATCTCCATCCGTGATGTACCGTGGGCAAGAAAAAACACACCTTCTGTACATCTGGTTGCCGGACATGCTGGTAGACTTCTTCTTCAGGTAAGACACACTGCTTGTAGGACTGGAGCTTTCTTCAAACAACATACAGAGTGCCTGCTGAATAGAAAAAAGCTAATGATGAGTGTGTACAGGTGTGCTTTATACTCCTTCGGTTATTCCGTCACACCTTACCGTTCTAGCAACAAGCCAATAGGATTGGAGTGATTTCATTCACGTTCAGACTTGCTACGCCTAGAGGCGTTCCCATAGTGTCATAACCGACGCAGTTCGAGTTCCCTCGAAGGGGAACTAACATTCACACACATTCATACACTGGCGGAACAGCCACCAGGAGCAATTTGGGTTTCAGTGTCATGCCCAAGGACATGCAGCCTGGAGGAGCCGGGGATTGAACCACTCTACCTCCTGAGCCAAAGCCGCCCGTGGGCCAGTGTAATAAAAAGAAGGATTTTTGAACTGTGAAGCATGTAAAGCTACTTTAGTGGAAGTAGAGCATAATAGGTCCCCTTTAATTTATGTGCCCTCAAAGGTGTGAGAAATACATTTTGCAATGTGAATGTTGGGAATCAGACTGTACCAATATGAAAATATCTGTCAAATGTTATATCCCACCAACCCCATTATAATTTGAAAGAACACAAAACAATACAGAAACCTAATAGTCGATTTCACCATTAATTTGGCAGGCGTCACCAGCCATAGCTTATGTGCATAATGTGCAGATGAGGCACTATAAAAGCAAGCAAGTTTAATCCATTGCAGCAGAAATTGTTGGTTGTTTTTTCGGCACAGCCTGCATTTCCACATCTCTCAGAAAGTAAACAACAAAATGATTGTCAAAACAACCATTTCACATTGTCAGTATGTAGGAAGAGAGGTGTTTTAGGTCTCTTCATGTTTCTGCCTGAGTGATATTTCCTCCATTGCTTAACAGGTTAGTGCAACTCTGGAGTGAAAAAATGACCACACTATTACTGCTGCATATTGTGTATGTCACAATTTTACTGAATTTCAGGTCGATTATGAAAATAACCGATTTCCCCTCAAGCCACAAACACTGCTCAAAACATTTGGCATGCTCTGAGTTAATATTTTTATCCAAACAATTTTACTTAAGTTTCCAATATAGTAGAGGCCAACATCCATTGGAAACAACTAAAAGACAATGATGTGGTAACATTCTGTCCACATATATTTCAGTAATAAATGTAGGTTATCATTTCTAATTGCTGTGGGCCGTTATCAACTTTACAAATAATAAACATCACATATCCTAATGCTTATGAAATTAGGCCCAAAACAAAGGCCTTTTATTTTATTCACATAGGCCGGATCCTAATTATACTTGGTTACAGCTCTTCTCAATTTTGTTCTGACTCATGGTATATTATTTCAACAAATAAAATGAAAGAATGAAATTAAAGAAACCAAATATCTTGGAAGCAAAAGACCCATTTATTTTCAGCCGATTACGGTTGCAATAAACAGAGATATTGTGATGCAGCTGAGAAATTATTAACTTCCTATTCTAAAATGTACATTGTAAAACAATGCTACTCCTTGGCATTACAGAATATGTGTATGCTCATGAGGTAATGGACAATCAAGCAGTTTCGCTGTCCCTCTTGAGACACAAATGTGCTTTTTCTTTTGTGTTGTCCATTTCCTCCATTCTGTCTTTTTGTGTTGTTTCTCCCCCTGCTGCTTACATCAAGCTGGCTGAGTTCACCAGTGACGAGGTAACCACATATGCTATGAGCCTGTTTCCCCCAACTACCAGTATACCCCTACCCTTCTACAGTCTGTCATTTTAACAATAAACACAAAGAAATACACACCTTTGCATACAGTCCCCTCCAAAAGTATTGGAACGGTAAGGCAAGTTCCTTTTTTTTTTTGTTGGTCACTAAAGACATTTGGGTTTAACATCAAAAGATGAGTATGAGAAAAGAGTTCAGAATTTCAGTTTTTATTTCCTGGTATTCACATCTAGATGTGTTAAACAACTCAGGACATATATCACCGTTTGTATTAGACCACAGCATTCTTAGGTGAGCAAAAGTAATGGAACAAATAATCTTAAAGTAAATAACATTTAATATTTGGTGGCATAACCCTTGCTTGCAATAACTGCTTCAAGCCTGCGACCCATCGAAATCACCAAACTGTTGCATTCTTCATTTGTGATGCTATTCCAGGCTTTCACCGCAGCTTCTTTCAGTTCTTGTTTGTTTCGGGGGGTTTCTCCCTTCAGTCTCCTCTTAAGGAGGTGAAATGCATGCTCTGTTGGGTTAAGGTCAGCTGATTGACTTGGCCAGTCTAAAACCTTCCACTTTTTCCCCTGATGAAGTCCTTTGTTTTGTTGGCAGTGTGCTTTGGGTCCTGCTGCAGGATAAACTTCCTCCCCATCAGTTTCAGTGCATTTCTCCGTGAATTGAATTCTGAATTCATTCTGCTGCTACCATCATCAGTTACATCATCAATAAATATTAATAAGCCTGTTCCAGAAGCAGCCATGCACGCCCAAGCTATGACATTACCTCCACCATGCTTCGGATCATAAGCAGTTCCTTTCATTCTCCACACTTTGGCCTTTCCATCACTTTGCTAGAGATTAATCTTGGTCTCATCAGTCAAGACTAGTCATGCAGAGCTATTTAATGTTTGGACAATCAACCTAAAAGGCAACACCTGGGCAACAAGAAAAATCTGTCAGTCACATGTTCCAATAGTTTTGCTCACTTGAAAAATGGGTGGGTTCAAACAAAGGGTGGTATGTCCTGAGTTGTTTAACACATCTAGATGTGAATACCAGGAAATGAGAGCTGAAATTCTGAACTCTTTTCTCATACTCATCTTTTGATGTTGAACCGAAATGTCTTCAGTGACCAACAAAAAAAAAGGAACGTGCCTTACCGTTCCAATACTTTTGGAGGGGACTGTATAAAATCAGCTCCAGAGTTCTGTGTACACTATAAGAAACTGTTTTCATTTGTTTTATAAAATAATAGTACTAATTAGTGTTAGTAATAGTATACTAATTTTTTATTTTTTTTTAATGTACATATTCTCATTATTTAGTAATTTTGTAAGAATCCACCTCTCCCAGGTCTAAACAACCAATCAGAACCAAGTGCAGTCTCTTAACGCAGTGCCAATCACTGACCATGCAGACACTGCTTACCTCAACATGTGCACCTCCTCATGTATGGAAGATTTTATTGGACTTTAATATTTGTAAGCCACAGAAAACAATCCACAAATGTGTACTATGATGTGCAAATATTTCACTATCTACAAATATGTATTTTTACATTAGTGATGTGTAAAATCATCTCCACTAAAATCATATCCACAAAAATACAGTGTAATTAGCAAATATATACAATTTATTCTTTACACACATATTTAAATTTCATATACAAAGTGTTATTTACGCATTTGTCGATCTATTTTTACACACAACAGTTTTTGCACATTTGTGGATCATTTCCTGTCAATTTGCAGGTCACGTTACATTTGTGATTTCCTTTTTATGCACTTGTGGAATTTTGTCCAAATCTGTACCACAGACATCTGTAAACAGAGATCTGTAAATGTGAGAGCAGTTTATTAGCTACACCAGCAGGTGGTGGTAGCGACATTGCCTCCCATGAGTTGTAAGAATATCCACCGCAGTACCCAGGGTCATCTCTGTTGAAGACAACAACAAGTTAGTAACATGCATTAATGGGGGGGTTACAGGAGATAAAGAGGAGAACAGAGCTCAGTGCATCATGGGAAGTGCTAAAACAGGAGAATTATGATCTCTTTTCCTGTTTCCTGTCAGAACACGTGCTGCAGCATTCTGGATCAGCTGAAGAGTCTTGATGGACTTTTTCAAGCAGCCTCATAATAAAGAATTGCAGTAATCCAGCCTAGAAGTAACTAAGTAACTACGCATTGGCTAGTTTTTAGACAAGATATTCCTGATTTTTGCAATATCATGTAGGTGAAAAAAGACGGTCCTTGAAATTTGCTTAATGTGAGAGTAGATAACTGATTCCTCACAGTGGTGCTGGAGGCCAGAGCAATGCTATGCAGAGGAACTCCATGACTAACTTTGGCGTGCATCGTTAACATGTACAAACTGAAATTGATCTGATAAATAGGACTTAAACCAGTTTAGAGCGGTTCCTTTAATGCCAATGAAATGTTCCAGTCTCTGCAATAGGATCTGATGGTCAGTGGTATCAAATGCAGCTCTAAGATCTCATAAAACCAATACAGAGACAAGTCCTTTGTCTGTTAGGCAACTTCTTTTTCAAGGTTAGTTATAGGTCTATAGTTTGCTAAAACCCCTGGATCAAGTTTGGACTTTTTCAGAAGAGGTTTAATTACAGCTACTTTAAAGGACTGCGGTGCATAACCTGTTAATAAATACAGATTGATCATATCTAGTAACCATCATACTCTATTACTGACTAAGGGTAAAATTTCTTTAAGCAGCCTAGTCGGGATGGGGTCTAAGAGGCAGGTTGATGGTTTAGATGAAGAAATTATTGAAGTTAGTTGGTAAAGATCCAGTGAAGCAAAGCAGTCTAAATATATATCTGGTTCTACAGCTGTTTCTAAGGTTCCTGAGTTTAGAGATAAGTCGGTGCCCGTTGAGGGCAGGTCTTGGTGAATTTTGTTTCTAATAGTTAGAATTTTATCATTAAAGAAGCTCATGAAGTCGTAACTACTGAGAGCTATGGGAATACTTGGCTCAATAGAGCTGTGACTCTCTGTCAGCCTGGCTACAGTGCTGAAAAGCAGTCTAGCAAATTTAACGAGAATTTTCCAAATTGGTGGCACTTTCAACAAGATGATCGATTTGGGAGGTACTGAAATTAGCATAGGAGTCCTCCGTTACTTTGGGACATGGTAATGAATGTATGTATAATGAATGAAAGCTGATGTGGAGTCACATCCTTAAATTTTGCTACAGCACAATCAGATAGACAGCTCATATAGAAATTTTTGCCTAATGGTGAGTTATTGCTGTAGTTTAGCAATAGAAACTTAAAAGTTTTCAAACATAGGTCAGATATAAAGGTCCAAATGAATCCTGAATGAAAATGAATCCTCAACGTCCAAATGAATATTACAATCCCATACAATAATAACTTTAAGGACAAAAGTTGAGAAAAACTCTGCAAATTCAGATAAGAAATCAGAATACAGACCAGGCGCTCGGTACACTATAACAAATAGAATTGACTGCAGTGTTTTCCAGGTTGGGTGTGAAAGACGAAGAACAAGGCTTTCAAATCTGTTATAATTTAGTTTAGGTTTAGAGCTGATTAGTAGGCTTGTAAATATGACTGGGGGTAGTGGATTCATTTAGGCCAACATATTCTTTCAGCCAGGTTTCAGTAAGACATGTCATCACTGGTCAGATTTGGCAGGGGTCCAGATAAAACAAAGGTGTCCGACATTGTTTGTGCATATATACATACCGACTTCACCTTAGTGACCTTCGACAGGCGTAATTGGGAGTCATTACTGCCAACGTGAATAACAATGTTAGACCCCAATCAAACAGAAAGCGTTTTGCAAGTTTGAAAATGTGAGGTGCCTTTTCGGTAGAATTAGGAAAAGAGCAGACGATGTTGCTAGGTAACCACCAAATCAGCTGTGCTAATCAAAGATTTTTGATTAGCACGCTCACTGTCAATGGAAAACAATTTAGAAAAGGCGGTTCTCACTGCAAAAAACACATTCTGTCGGATATAACTTAACATATTTATGTTTATCCCTACCCAGCAGTTTCAAATAAGACTCAATGTCACCCGCTCTGGCCCCAGGGATGCACTTAACTATGCTTGGTTTCGCTAACTTCATGTTTCTCAAAATGGAGCTGCCGATAATCAGAGTTGGTTTCTCAGCAGGTGTGACACGGAGTGGGGAAAATATGTTAAAAACGTGAATAGGTTGGTGGTGAACCGGGGCTTATGCTTACGACTTTTTCGGACGGTCACCCAGCCACCCTGATTTCCCGGCTGCTCAGGGGATGCCGGGGGACGGCTACCAGAGGCTATATAGGTCATCGGATGTTTCGGGTCAACGTAATGTTAATTTCTTGACAGGTGTCAAGTGTATGTTTTGTTTATTCACATTAAAAAGGATAGACAAAATATTGGGACACAATATAATTCAATGCAGACACTTTATTATAATAATAATAATAATAACAATAATATTATGTGTGTTATTGGTCTTTTCAAGAAACATATAGAATATACCCAAACTAATAGTGTATACATTGAAAGGTTAAGTTTCTTACATGTGTTTTTTAGCTTTAACTGGTGCATCAAGCTGCAGTTCTTCAAACTTACTAAACAGCCATGAAAAGGTAAACAAGAGTTCTGTAACATTTCACCTTCTCCCCACCCTCAGGCTGCCCTTCTGGCACCACTGGATGAAGACTTGGGTCATGACAGGAAGACGATTGGAGGAAGCAACAAAGTACCTGACTTTCCTTCTACAGCAGGCCGGGAAATTCTGTTGCGTACATGTGTGCCTCGGCCAGCACCATACTCCAAAGCTCTGCCTCAGCGGCTCTTCTGTGTGTTAATGAGGGAGGAGTTCAGGTTGGCAGGGGCCTTCTCCTCAGACACTTCCTTCTTCTAAGCATTGTGGTTACTTTTAAAATTCTCACATATGCTATAAACTATTTTTAACAATAAAATCCTTTGTTTTTCCTTCAGAGCTTAGTCTTAGTTTAATTTGAGAAATATACAATCTTCTGTATTGTCCACATGGTTCTCTTGTTTGTCTCTCCTTTGTTAGTTTTACTGTAACCTACTTATTACTGACCACATGCACACATTGTTGCAGCATCCTTGTTTGGGGGCACAGTTGCTGATTCCTGAAGTGAGAGGGTTTTGCACTTAAATGGTTGTTGATAATAAATAAAATGCAATCACACATCAATAGATCCTGTTCTGAAGTACAATTACATTTATTGGACAAATAGCTTTTCTTATTGCAGCAGAAGCCGGTGTAATCATTCATATGTTGGCAACTAAATTAATTGTATTGTCACATCAGCCAGTGGTAAATGCTTTGTAAGTACTACATTGATGTATTAATTGATGTTATTCATCTGTGTATGTACATGTTAAATATTGGTCTAAAATGTCCTATAACCTAAAAATAAACACTTGACCATGTGCCGGAGTACATGTTCTTCTGTTTGCAGATAATTATTTACATTTGATAGCAGAACTGCAAGAGCAGAGATGAACATATCTTCAAAACTAGTGAATGTTTTTATTCAGACATGATGTCATGCTACATATCTCAAGCCAACACACTAATGGACACTGATATTAGGCTTGGCTGGTATCTATGGATCCAGCTTTCAGCTACGATTCGTCAGTTTGCGACCCATTCTCAGTCCCCGACTCGTCCTATATAGACGCATGGTGGACAAGGCCTATCGGCGTTTGTAACGCACTTTAATTTTACGTAAGGCTATTTCTTTTCAGGTCGCATCGCATCTCATACTCAACTGTGGGGAATATGAGCACTATATTACAGAGCCTCAAACATTGATAATTCTACGTCAGCATCCAGGAAGCATTTTGTTTTGGGCTGATCTGAAGCAGCTGGTTACCTCTTCGCAGCGCAACTTTCTAAATTCTTCCATCTCACGAAGAAAACAAAGGTCGGATCGAAACAGTGACTGAACGAAAACATTTAAATCCGTGTGTGATCAACAGCTCGCTGAATTAACTAATGCTGTGTAGGCTACCATTGGATGTACTGACAATTAGGCTATGAATTAATTTGAGAAATCTTAAAAACCGCAGGATTCTCAGGAAAGCGTTCCTGTTCCAGTTGCTAGTGAGTTACAAACTGATTATACAGCTGCAGTCTCGGGTACTCCACTTATGTTGAGATCGTATTCGTTTTAATTCTCCGTTTGTAAACTAAAACGCAGTAGTGTGGATACTGACTGAAATAAAAAAAAACATGTCAAAAAAGACATCCAAAAATCCAAGTTGTTACATTACCGCGGTGAAGTTAGTTTTAAGTTGGATATTCGACAGACATTCACCCAGGATCCAGTGACGGCTTTTTAGTCAGTTCACCCAGTGACGGTTGTATAAGTGCGGTTAGCTCACCTCTGAATAAATTACAATTGTGAGAACAGTGTTATGGGAAAATCATTATTTATTTCAATAGCTTCCAAGTCATGTGACACAGGGACTTCAAACCAATGCCGAATTGTAGTACTACACTAGGCAAATGAGACACACCCCTTCATATTTGATTTGAGTGCATATTCGAATTTATATGAATATTTATTCATAATTTATTGAAAAAGGTGCTGTTTTTTTTCAATAGCTTCCAAGTCATGTGACACAGGGACTTCAAACCAATGCCGAATTGTAGTACTAGACTAGGCAAATGAGACACACCCCTTCATATTTGATTTGAGTGCATATTCGAATTTATATGAATATTTATTCATAATTTATTGAAAAAAGTGCTGGGTTTTTTCAATAGCTTCCAAGTCATGTGACACAGGGACTTCAAACCAATGCCGAATTGTAGTACTACACTAGGCAAATGAGACCCTTCACATTTGATTTGAGAGCATTTTTTATTTTATATGAATATTTATTTATATTTTTTTCTTCAATAGATTCCATTTCAAATGATTCAGGGACTCAAAACCAATGCCGAATAGTACTACTACCGGTTACACATATTACACACCTCTTGTACAACTGCAGTTGTACCACACAGAGTCAGTCATTTTCTTCCACAGCATTGAGCAGATTTCAAAGAAACACTTTATTTACACAACAGACATTCCCAGTTTCCTTTCTTTGCCTCTTCATATTGTGTGCTGTCCATTTCCACACACTGAGCATGGAACCACCGTTCACAGCCATCACACTGGACCTGTGGAATTAAAATAAATCTTTCGTAACATATTTATATATATATATATATATTTATTTCAATGTCTGTTGCTTAGATGTAGAGTGGTTGTCCAGTACATGGAAGATATATGCCCCCTCTGTATTTGCTCAGAAGGCTGTGCCATTGTTGTGTGAGTGTGTGTGAACGAGTATTAGTGGAGCACAACACGAGTGCTCATCAAAGACTGAAAAAGTAATTACAATATATTTATTTAATTAAAGTATATTGTAGGTATACTGTATGCATGATTTACTGCATGTACATGATGCTTCTAGGAGTTGGAGATCTAGATCTCTCCTCTTTATGGTTCACATAAAATTGTTTTTAACATAAAAATCAAATGGTCCAAACAAAATCTCCTTAAAATTCTCCTTTAACAACAAGCACACCACAGCTGCTTCCGTCTTTTTGAACTTTACATCCACCCAGTCTGTTTTGCTGTGGCATGTCCTTCTCATCCTGAAGTATTCCCTGAATAAGTAAACGTTAATACACTTTAAACAGATACAGTGTGTAGGTCAAAAGATAATATCCGATCACAGACATTTGGTACCACTAAACCAATGTTTGAATTCATCTCATCATTGCAAATGCTTGAGGGACGGGGAGAGGGCAGTCATAAATATTAGGCTACTTTATATAAGTAATAAATTAATTTCTAAAGGAAGCTTAAGAACTCTACATTCCCATGCCAAATTCTTGTCAACCTCAATAGAGAAGTCATAGAAAGCATCCTGACTGGAAACTTCACCACCTGGCATGGGATGTGCACGGCCCAGGACAGGAGGGCTCCGCAGTGGGTGATTATAAAAAACAGCACTTTTTTTAAATAAATTATGAATAAATATTCATATCAATTCGAATATGCACTCAAATCAAATATGAAGGGGTGTGTCTCATTTGCCTAGTCTAGTACTACAATTCGGCATTGGTTTGAAGTCCCTGTGTCACATGACACTGTTCTCACAATTGTAATTTATTGATGGTCCCTAAGCTAACCCCCGTTGGTTAAAAGCGAGCCATCAGAGGTGAGCTAACCGCACTTATACAACCGTCACTGGGTGAACTGACTAAAAAGCCGTCACTGGATCCTGGGTGAATGTCTGTCGAATATCCAACTTAAAACTAATTTCACATATTTACATTTACTATATTTACTCATTTGGCAGACGCTTTTATCCAAAGCGACTTACATTTGAGGAACAACATACAAGCATCAACAGAGCATCAACTACAGATCTACAACTGACAATACATACAATAGCTCACAGTACATATCACATCAATGGGGTAAATACCTAGGGAAGGAAGTAAGAGTTAACAAAAAGTGCAATCAAAACAAAAAGAGTGCTATCAATACAAGATAATTGTAGAGGATAGAAGAGCACAGGAAGTGCATGTTAGGAGTTAGAGGTGTTATAAGAGTAAGTGTTCTCGGAAGAGAGGAGTTTTCAAGAGCTTCTTGAAGTTAGAGAGCTGGTCATCAATCATGACACCCAAGTTTCTCACCACCTTGGGTGTGATGTTATGGTGGATAGATTGCTTGGCTGGAATGACCAAGAGTTCAGTCTTAGAGAGGTTTAGTTGAAGGTGACGAGCCTTCATCCATGCAGATATGTCCGAAAGACAGTCCGTGATCCGCGCCGTGACGGTAGAGTTGCGTATCGTCTGGTAAGAAAAGCCGTGCGAGTGAACAATCGGCTCCAGTGAGGTGGTGTAAATTGAGAAGAGAAGGGGCCCTACTGAGCCTTGGGGCACCCCTGTGGAGAGGCAGTGGGAGGAGGATAATTGTCCTTGCCACAAAACATTGTAGGAACGCCCTGAGAGGTAGGATTCGAACTACAGGAGTGCTTTACTCAAGATGACCATTGCTGAGAGAGCGGATAGCAGGATCCTGTGGTTGACTGTGTCAGAGGCAGCTGATAGGTCAAGCAGGATAAGAACCGAGGATTGGGCTGCAGCTTTAGCTGACCTTAGGGCTTTTGTTACAGACAGAAGAGCCGTTTCAGTAGAGTGGGCACTCTTAAAACCAGACTGGTATGGATTGAGGTCATTCCGTGAGAGGAATTCTGAGACCTGTTTGAATACTGCCCGTTCAATAGTTCTGGATAAAAACGGTAGAAGACTGTAGTCAATAATTAACATTTATGTCTAAGTTGGCAGACTTAGTGTGTGTGAATAAGTTTCTGATGACATGTAGAGCAGCCACTATCATCACTGTATAAATGACAAGTGTAATAAATCCCATCTGGAGTTTATCCAGATATGACACTTAAAATAACTCTTGCATGCATTCTTTTGTTCAACTCTTATGCTTGAAATATGACTAAAACCGAAGATTTATCAAAGTGAAATTGATTGTATGTATACTGTTAAACCTTTCAAAGTAAGCCCTGCTGTATATTCATGGTTTCTATCTTTGACATGTTGGATTTATGGAAAAAGACAAAATAGTCAAAGTGAGTGAGATATCTTTATTAGACATAAGACATACTGGAATTATTACAATATAAGTAGTGCATACACTGTCACTTCCTTCTCCTTTTCACTGCAATTAATCACCACATTAGCCCAGTCACCTGACCCTTCATAGACCAGATTAGAGGTCTCAGTGGTCAAGTTGGCTGTTGTATAGTGGGACTGCTTGCTGGGGTTGGTGAAGTTCATAGGAGTCAGAGACAGCTCCAGGAGGACACAGCCTATCAAGATCAAACGACCTGCTGTTCAGATCAGTTACATCCACATACAACAGGTGCCTAATGGTCATTCACAGCCTACAAGCTGATTTGGGAAAGGATGCAACATTTAGTGAGACATTTACACACAAAACCTATTCAGTACATCACTATGGGTCTATCAAAATACTGTAACTAGTTTTCACTCTCAAGGTGAATACCTTGTGTACAGAGAAGTCCATCATTTGTTAAGGAGCAAAGCAACTAATCAACTCAACAATGTGCTGGCATCAATATGTTTATCAGCTGGGAAAAGTTGGCCTTGACTGACCAAATCTACATTTCAATGTGTGCCTTTAAGTGTGATAGTATTTCATCAACAGGTCCCTAAGTTAACAAGTCATCTCTCTGGCAAATGAAACATCTTGATATTCTACAATTGGTTTGTGAAGTACTGCAGGATAAAGATACTCTGTGATAATTGTAATAATGTCATGCTGGTCACCATGGTGAATGAGAGATGAATAATGTATTAAAGGGCAAAACCAGATAACATGATTTGTATGTTTGTTGCATTGAAGCTGCAGTTTATTACAGAAATACAATTGCAGACCAAATTGCTCTGTGTTAATCATTTTAGAGGCTCGCCATCATTTGAGTGAGTTTTGGTTTAGCTCAGTTGACAAAAACAACAACATTACAAACATAAAATCACTCAACAGAATATGATTGCATCCTCTACACAATAGGTACATTTGTTTTTGAGAATTTAAAAGTAAAATTGTTGTATTACCAGTAATAACTAATTAGCATTGGCAGTGCTGGGTCAGGGGTAGTTTTACCATGGCAAGTTTGTGTGCCATTACTTGAGCAGAGTAACGGACATCTGCAGTAGAAGACTCCTGCCCTCCTTTACACACATAAACATGCATTAGTGTGCAATTATGAAATAGACTTTGGGCTGAGTAGCATAAATGTGACAAAAGCTTCAAAAGCAGCTGACTTAGTATTTGCTCACCACAGCTACAGAGCCAGCCTTTCATGCTATACTAGATTACTGTCCAGTTCTTTTAATTTTAGCAGTAAATGTGGAACATGATGACTGAAGTGTTAATCATTTAAAAAACATTAAAGGTGAGGGACATGCAGTTGGAGGCTATGTTCAGACCAACATCAGAGCTTCTTGAAGAAAACACAGCACCTTATTTCAATTAATGACAAATTAGAGGGCTCTGACAAAAAATTTTTGTCACAAAAAAAACAACAGTTGAACCTGGCTGTTTTAGGTCTGAATGCTCAGTAACAGTAGTGGTGATCTTTTCTGTTTGAACAGATTTAGTTACAGGAGTGTGCTTGCCTTGGTCTACTCACGGTGGCATTATCCAGAGCCTGTGAAACAAGTTGGTATGTGAATTATATTTAATGGGAGGGAGGGATTAGCTTTTGTTTCAAGTTAGTCTATTATTCTAAATTAGTCTACTGTCTTACTGTGCGCTCCACTGACTGAGCAAAATTCAAAACTGACAGGCTTTAGAATATGCAATTCAAAGGTTTTTGCATTTCTCTATATGAAAATAGCCCAAGTAAACGTATTTAGAAATTACTAATGATTTCACTGGAGTCTTGATTAGAGAAAATTGTTTAAAATTGGTATCTCTACTACAAAAAAGGCTGAATTAAACATGGCAACATAATGACTCTTAACTCAGAACTTCTACCGGCAGCACATTTTATTTACCAAATAGGAAGATACCAGCTAAGAGCTCTGGGGAGAGTGTCCACAACACATTTGAAAAGGTGCAATAAAGAGGAATAAGGTGCATTTGGGATATTAGGGCAAAATGACACAGAATGTAAACATACTGTGTCCAAAGACTTACTTTATTATTATTACTGTATAAAACAATGTTAAACCAATTGGAGTAAGTGACCCATTTGGGGAATTTTGTGGAATTAGTGCGAAGGTGCAGTCGGTATGAGGGTGTGGTTGGGTATGTCTAGCCCTCCCTTGCCGTGACACGTGGATCTGCCAGTGAGCTGTGGATGATGTTGGTAATAGACTCCACCCCCTCTCCTTCCAGGAAGGTGCGGTGGTCTCCTTCGATGATGTGTACTGACACCTCGCCATCACAGACCTTAAGAAAGACACACCAGTCAGACAGAACTTATTAAGCAGTTAAGAGATTTGAAGAATGAGAAGGTTTAGAAATGTCATATTTTAATAATTAAAGTTAAAGTGCATATTTTTATATTCATAAAGCATACTATATATTAAAAGAAGAGTAAAGATTTTTTGTTAACAGGGAAAATAGTGGACCGCTTTAGGTATGTGTGTATGTATGTGCTCCAAAACACACCCAGGAATATTAATAATTTTACTTTGGTGTGGTAAAGCTACTGTAGAACCCAAGATTATGGACTCATTCACTGCGCGTACACATCAATAGATCAATACACATGATGGAGAAAGCAGGAATACCAAGAACCACTCTAAGGGCTAACAGCCTGGTAACATGCCTCAGGTCTTAAAATGCTTTTAAAATAGTTTAACAAAATAATCTTAGCTTGAGATCCACTTTTTGTGCATGTGTATATACCTCGTTGAGCTTGTAGTCAGCCCCCAGGTTCTGTTCATATTCACTGCTGGTTTTGGCACGTAGTAGTGTTACATTGCCGTGGTATTTGGTCGCAGGGACATAGCCATCAGCAGCCTTCAACTTGTAGTAGAAGGCAGTGGCTGCAAAGTGCAGTGAGTCCCGGCTGATGTTCTTGTGGCTGGAGGTTATTAGGTCCACCGCCACGTTGACACGGGCTTCCAGGTCTGACAGTGGAAGAAGCGTCTCCAGAAGCTGGAGAATCAGAGATTTGGAAGGAGACAATAATATGAATTTACTGGTTTTCATCCTGTGTACTACGAAGCGAGGTATATAGGCTTAATCTAGGCTTAAAACTTATCTAGTTATTCTATACACAAGAAATCCCTGTGAGCCAAAACCTCAGATTGAACACTGTTTTCAACTGCTTTTTCTACCAACAGCTCCGCTCTATGACACACGGAATGAATATATTTTATATACATGGTTACCAACATCTTATTCACTGTCGTAGTACAGTTTATCACCAACGTGCAGTCAACGTTTGTCAACCCTAACTTTCCTTGATAGCCCTTAGTTAAATCTGAGTAGGTCTGTATGATTGTTGCACTACTTAAAGACAGTTTTTCCATCTACATTATATTTTATTTTGACATTATATTTTTGTGCTGTTGTACAAGCAAACCCAAAACTTATTTCAGCCCTTTGTCTTAGCACTGGGTGGAGCTAATCCAAATAAATCAAAACTTAATATTCGATTCGTCTCTACTGTAATTACTGTAGCTGGAAACCTATTACTAACTCATTCAAGTGTAATCATTTCAGGACTGAATGAGAAACTTCTGGTAAGCTAAGCATGTAAAAGTAATCAGACCTCTGATTGAAACAAGTTTCCTAATTCCAGGTGAAGTAGTTCGCCTTTTTCCATTATTGTAATTTTACACCTAAAAAAACCTCAACATTCACAGCCAAACAGTGTGAGAATTCAGTGTATTATTACATTGCTCAAACACCCAGAGACTTGAATATTGTGATGGATGAAAATCTTTAGTGAGTGTGTGTGAGCATGTTGTTTACCTTGTTGTACTCGATGCCAGCGAACAGCTGGATGAAGGCACACAAGGCTTCAGTTTCAGCCTCAGATTCTTTACCTGGTGTCAACTTGGCCCTGTAGGTCTACAAACCAAACGTTAAGTTAACCAACCTAGTTACTACTCCAGGACATCCTTGTAAAAGAGATTAAAAATCTCAATGGATTTCTTTCCTGGTAAAATAAAAAAATAAATACTGTAAACCTCTGTTTGTTCCCAAACTACATCATTAAATGCACCTATTTAATTTCTGTATTGAAACATCACATCATACTGACATCACACTTCTCATTAAACTAAATATTGGTGTGTACTAGCTCTGTTCTCTAACCTGTGTGTATGCTGCCACATAGGAGTGTGATCCATCAAATAAAAAGAGGTCCTCCACAGGTAGATTCTGGGTCTGAAGCTGAGAGCACATTTCAAATGCCACACAGGCACCAAAGGAGTATCCAGCAATCCGAAACGGCCCGTCTGGCTGAACCTGTCTGATACATTTCACATAGTAGGCTGCCAGGGACTGGATGCTGTCCAGAGGAGCAGCTGGTGGAGAGGGGATGAACTAAGGTGAGCTTGGTTGGGCATAATAAGTTCAATGGAAAAACACATTCACAGCTTTAAATCCTCACACTGGGAGATAGAGAAACACACACAACACAAATTTTCCTGACTTTTTGGGCATCCTAAGCTACTGAAAAATGCATTACAAAAGAGGAATAACAAAAAACAGCACTATGAGTGTCAGGATCATGCTTGGGCCCTAATTACTTTCATTCAGGGGCTCTTAAGACACACACCATGCCTAAGTAAGTGTGTTTGTGAACACCAAATACCTTTTGTGCACTGCAGGCCGTAACAAGGAATGCTAAGCTTGAAAGCAAGCGTCTTAAAGGCGGCAATGGATCCCTCAATGGGATGGACCAGGAACAGTGGCCTCTCTTGGCTCTGAACCTTGTTGAGTGGCGTCACAGTGGGGCCATTGGGGTTGACTAATAACTGGGTCAGATCAGACAAAGAGCGAATGCCATCCCTCTTAGTTGTAGTGTGGTGAGATTCTGGAAAGTAGAAAATAAAAAAAATAAAATAGTTTATGCAGTTTTAAAAGCCACATCCTACAATTTAAACACTGCACACAAAGAAATGCTCTCAGTATTGACATTACATTTCAGTATATGGTTGTTTTTTTTGCCAATTTAAAAGTAGCTATCAAACGAAGGTTAAAATCAAGGGCAACTGGACTTGGTTGAAGATACTGGAAGATGTTTCGTCCCTCATCCAAAGGACTTCTTCAGTTCTGACTGACTGGCAGGGAAACTCAGCTATTTAACCTCAGTGGGGTCGTTGGCCCGGGTCATCGATACCGCTGGTTCGTTAGTGTTCCTTGTTGCTGTGACGACAGTCGTTACAGTCGTTAGGACTACCGGTGGCAAAGACTGAACGACCACCGTTACGTTTGTTGAGTTTCCTGGGAAGTGATGAAAGGACAGCATTGTAAGTGGGGGATAAGTGGTGGCGTAGACCCCCTCCCCTGTTCAATGACGGCTTCTCAACCCTGGTGTAGATGCTTCCTTGACACCTCTTTCAAACCATCCATCTTCTCTGTCTAAAATGTGCACCTGGTGGTCCTCAAACGAGTGTCCTCTGTCCTTCAGATGTAAGTAGACTGCAGAGTCTTGAGCTGAGGAGTTGGCCCTTCTGTGTTGAGCCATGCGTTTGTGTAGTGGTTGTTTAGTCTCCCCAATATACAGGTCTGTGCATTCCTCACTGCATTGGACCGCATACACTAGATTGCTTTTCTTGTGTTTGGGTGTGCGGTCTTAGTGCGTTCTTGGGTTTAAAAAACACAGGGATGTTGTGTAAGTGCCCCCTGCAGGTGGTTCTGTTCCTTCTCTCTGGCTTTGGCGCTTGTTGGTATGTTTTCCACTCTGTGGTGCAGTGTTCTCATGACCCCTAGCTTGTGCTCCAGTGTGAATCGAAGAGTACGATACGTGTCTGGAGTATCAGAGAAACTCAGGAGGATTTTCAACAAACACAACATCCCTGTGTTTCTTAAACCCAAGAACACACTAAGACAGATGCTGGTACACCCCAAAGACCGCACACCCAAACACAAGAAAAGCAATCTAGTGTATGCGGTCCAATGCAGTGAGGAATGCACAGACCTGTATATTGGGGAGACTAAACAACCACTACACAAACGCATGGCTCAACACAGAAGGGCCAACTCCTCAGGTCAAGACTCTGCAGTCTATTGGCCTCAGGTGAAGATACCAACGATGGTCGTTCAGTCTTGGCCACCGGTAGTCCTAACGACTGTAACGACTGTCGTCACAGCAACAAGGAACACTAACGAACCAGCGGTATCGATGACCCGGGCCAACGACCCCACTGAGGTTAAATAGCTGAGTTTCCCTGCCAGTCAGTCAGAACTGAAGAAGTCCTTTGGATGAGGGACGAAACGTCTTCCAGTATCTTCAACCAAGTCCAGTTGCCCTTGATTTTAACCTTCGTTGGATAACTATGACCTGGATGAATGAGAATCTTCATAGACATCTTAAAAGTAGCTCTTAATACCATTTGATCCACCTGGCTTGCTATTGGCCAGCTCTCGTAGCTTGTTTATGGTGAGCAGGCGGATCTCTCTCATGGACATGATGATGTCGTAGTCACGCTCCAGAGTCTGCCGAACTTCCACACCCATTAAGGAGTCCAGGCCCACATCAGCCAATGAGGCATCAGCGTTCAGGCTGTTCACATCTCGTACGCCTGAGTGTGAAAGGCACAGTGAAAGTTCAGTGAGCTTGGCCTGATCAAATTTAGCTCATGAAATAAAAAAAAGTAGCAGACAAAGAACAGACTTGTCTCTCTTTGGTATGACAAACAGTGATGCAAACTGAATGATCCAGATCATTTAGGCCAGTGTTTGCACTGTTTTCAAAATGCAATTTTTCTTTTTTAATAAGATAACGAAGATAATATTAAGGAGTCTCTTCGTTTATTATGCAATTTACTATCAATTTCTTTGAAAGACTCCTGGAAACTTGAAACCATGGAAAATAGAGACAGTGTTAAATTAGTAAATTTCCAATTAATTCCAATCAAGTATTTCAGTCTGTAAGTGCTCAAACGGAAACTAACATTCACACTCATTCATACACTGGCGGAATAGCCGCCAGGGGCAAATCGGGGTTCAGTATCTTGCCCAATGACACTTTGACACGCAACCAGGGGGAGCCAGGGATCGAACCGCCAACCTTCCGATTAACGGCCACTTTCCATGTTTTTTCCCATGAACCATACAAGTATTTTAGTAGTTTAACTAACTCTATTTTAGACCTCTGAAAATATTTTTTGGTTTCCATTCATCCCAGAACATTGTTAAAAATCAACTTTCACATTTTTAAAACTTCGGTTATATTTTACAATAAGCATCATCCATGCTTTTCCTAAAAGTTACATTTCTTTGTTTAGCTTGGCTCTTACCCAGAATGTGAGCTACAGCATCCACCAAGTCTCTTTGGCTTCCTGCCTCGCTCTTTACCACCGTTCTCTCTGCCAGTACAAAGCTAGACATCACTGGCTGCTGCTGGCACAGGAAGCGGTCCAGCACCTCCAGGCAGGATGTGATGCGCTGTGGTAGGGTGCCACCAATCACTGCATCATTGCCACCCATGGTCTCCAGCACCACGCCCACATCACCAATGGCACCCCACTGAACAGCCAGTCCAGGCAGACCATCGTAGTGGCGCTTTTCGCACACACGTTCCATGGCCGAGTTGGCGTAACCATAGTTACTTTGGCCAGCATTCCCACGGCCACAGCTGACTGAGGAGAAGGCCACAAAGTAGCTGAGGTCTGGACACAACTTTCTTGTCACCCTGGAGAGGGAATGGAAGAGAGTGCATCAATATCCAGAGAGAAGTTAATAGCAGTCCCCGATTTAAACAGAAGGATGATTGTGTGCGTCATACTTGTCCAGGTTAACGATGCCCTCATATTTAGGTTTGTTGACATCAAGGAAGAGCTGAGGAGTCAGATTTTCCAACATGCCATCTTTCAATACCTGATAATGACATACAAAACATGCTAAGGATGTTTAGGTCAAAGTTGAATCTACTTAAACAGAGAAGCAGTTTTTGAGTGATAACACCAGCGTGGACAGTCTTAAATGTGAGCAATGGAAATAATCACAGTAAAGAAATAGTGTCAAATTACACTCAGTGATGCATAAATATAATAAATAAGTATGTAAAGTTGATATTTAAACCATGAATGTGAACATATAAATAAATAATAAAAAAACATACTACATTAACAGAAATATTTTTCTGTAAAAAGTCTACAGCCATGCTCGCACATTGTGAGGATGTACATAGGGACAGTGGAGCTTTGAGTAAAATGCAGCATACTAATTGACACCGACAGTACTAACATACTTAGTACTATCGGTGTCAATAAGTAAAAATGTTTACCATGCTCATTAGCTTAGTTTAGCATGCTAAATTAGCACACAGCTGTGGTGGATGGGAATATCACTAGTTCTGTAGGTCATTCAATTAAATTTTATTTATATGCCAATTTACAAGAAACTTTTCATTGTACTTATGTATAGAAGGTCTAGACCATACTCTCTGCAATATTAGTTAGTTTAGTTAAGTCATAAACCCAAGTACTGAACAAACACACATTTTAACCTAATGATGACACTAGAAGAAAAGTCAGTGCATCACAAGTTAGTAAAATTCATCCTGAAGGGAACGCTATATCTGAACAAAATTTTATAATTTCACTGAAGGCCAAAATGCTGACCTCACAGTGGTAAAGTCAGGGGATCACAAAAGTCCGTAGGCTTCATCCTTTGAGGAACACAAATGTCTGTACAAAGTGTAATGGCAATCCATTCAATTATTGCTGCTTGAAATTGCCTTCCACAGAGTCATGCTACTAGCGTGGATAAAACTTGACCAAAACAATCTGCGTGCATTGGGGGACTTGCAGAGTGTTGTGTAGGTAGGACTGGACTCAGCATCGGTATATTTTTATGTGATGTTCATAGGCACCCCAACCTGTCGAGGCAGATGGCCGCCCACCCTGAGCCATGGTTCTGCTCGAGGTTTCTGCCTCTTAAAAGGAAGTTTTTCCTTGCCTCTGTCGCCTAGTGCTTGCTCTTGGTGGGAACTGTTGGGCTTCTGTAAATATCATCACAGAGTATGGTCTAGACCTGCTCTTTTATGAAAAGCGCTGTGAGATAACTGTTGTTGTGATTTGGCGCTATATAAATAAAATTGAATTGAAAATTGAATTGAAATAGGCAGTATTTTCTACATACACAAACAAAAAAAAAAATCAGGGTTCACAATTTCTGATTGAAAATGCCACTTGTGGCCTAAAAAAAGAGACCGAGCTGAGGGGGACTGATGAGCTGGCTTGATGTGTTACCATGGCTAGGTGGAAGATGCCGCCCACTGGACCCAGTTGGGAGGCCTCAGCGATGAGTTGCTCCGTTTCCTCTACTGTGCCGACATCATTGGTTGACACCAGCACTTCCACATCCTGACCTTGCCATTCACGCACTTGCTTCGCCTGGTAACCTAGCAACAGTTAAAGTAAAACATTTGTATCATGTACAGAACAGCCAGATTGGTATGTGCTGGCAGACAGACCAGTGGTGGTATGTGCAAAGCCGATGGGAACAAGACTGAAAAGCTGGCGCAAATTAAAACTAATGTGGGTCACATTAGTTGTGGGTCATCCCTTTACCAACACTGTCAAATTAGTGTTTGGCGTCTTATGTGAGTTATTTAACCACTTTCCATATGCATACAAATTAACATGCATTGAAGTAGAATCACTGCTAGTTCTGACTCCTCAAGAAAAAAATCTGGATTACTGAAGTTCACTTTCATTTTTAAGGCCCCCTACTGGGACCATGTTAGTATTTTAAATAACAGCATTACTTGAACATTCATTTCAATCCACTGTTAGTGAGGTTACATAAATAATGTTATTAGTTATTAAAACTTTGCACTTAATAATATGAATGTGCTTGATAAAATGGACGGCTCACATAAGCCAAAGTGCATAGTTTAAAGTGATAAAAAAATTATTGTATGGATTCAGTATTATACTTTCAATACACAGTATTTTAATCCTCAAATGACCAACTCTGTAATCTTACTGTCATCCTGTCTTATTGCTGTGAAATCCCATCTCTACCACCCCATATGACATGAATACAGCACAAGTGCACTAAAATGTATGACTAGTCAATGTCAAAACTGTCCTGTAGTAGTCCTGCCGCATTCTGACAAACTTGGTGCATTTATGGGTGTGTGTATGTGTGTGTGTGTGCGCGCCCACCCTTAGGTAAGATTAAAAAGTCTTATTATTTTTACTGTATTGCTGACAGAAAACAGACAGGTCAGTTGTTTTTTATTTTGTATTCTCTGAAAGCTTTCTATCAGTCTACCTCACCTTTGTGTTAGGCTGAGTGGATGGTTATTATTAAGCTATTGTTGTTGGATTTGCATGGTTCATTTCTACCCCTCATTAATAATTTAGTAAATAAATGTCTTCTTTTTTGCACTGAATCCTGACGAGTTACCTGCTAGTTCAACATAGTGAAATGAAAAATTGTGTTGTGAATTGTCATTTCTCTCGTTACGTGCCAAATGTCATCATCGTCAGCTAAACAGTTTTGTGTATGTTTAAACCAAAAATGGGGCCAACAATCCTGTGCAACTCTATCTTTCTACAGCTCTACAGCTGAGTGAGCCAATCACAACTACAGCTGAGTGAGCCAATCACAACAATAGGATTAGATTAAAATGCATTCAGTAAATTAACCCTGCCCACATATTTAAATTAATCTGGAAATAAAAAACATGACTCAAGATAAAGCCACTCTAATTTCTTCCCTTTATATGGGGTGATACTTTCAGTTACTGCTTTAATGAATCTGAATGTAAGTGAGAAGTGACCTCAGCAGACTTGTGGTTACTGAGTGACTTACCATTCCTGATACCTGATCTGGAAGTCAGCACCAGTTTGCGAGCTCCTCGCTCTGTCAGCCACTGAGCGAGCTCCAGACCAAAGCCCCCCAATCCACCGGTGATGATGTAGGAGTGGGAGGCGTGGCAGAATGTGCGACAGATAGCTGGAAAAGACAAAGGGGAAGCAGTTTGGACTGCTGCTTCCCTCTCCTCAGAACAGACCTGTGTGAAGAGAAGAACCAGTGCGAAGATACATACTAGTGTAGTCAGTCACATAACAATCATGTGAACTTAACCAGAAACTGAGGTGGAAAGTATTAACTGAAATATCTAGGATTACCAGTGTTTCTTCAGTTTTCATTTTACTAGGTTTTTATTCATTTTTAAGCTGGAACCAACAGGAATTTGAGTAATTAAGTATTTCAGTGTTCTCTTTCATGGTCCATTGTAAACAATCTATAGTCCTTTCACACTATCAAAGGCTAACAGTCGGTGGTGAAACTGACCTGCAGGACGACCTTGCCAATGTGCTTGCCCTGAGCCATGTATCTGAATGCTTCCTCCACTTGGTCCCTCTCAAACACTGTGGTCTTTAGAGGTTGAACTACACCTCCAATAATGCCTTCCTTCAGCAGCTGGGACACTTCCTCCCACTCTTGGTTGCCCTCTTCAAACAGAGCATCCAGCAGGATGCCGTGGAATGTCACATTCTTCAGGAACAGAGCCATGCCTGGAGAGATCACAACAACACAATGACACTGTTCAGTGCTGAAGGTGAACCAGGCCTTGGACACATAAAATCTGTCTTGGTATAAAAAAACTTTTACATATTATGCTGAGCTGATTTATGCTGAAAATGAATGTGACATAAGTGGACTACAGACCCATTGTGTTCAGTGTGTGTTTGTACGTGTGCTTTTCTAAGCCCATTTTTTTAAATTTTTCTCTTTTTCTTTTTAATTTACAGTGCTATGAGAAAGGAAAATACATTTATGCATAATTCCTCAATAAATTGTCATGAAAGCCAATATACTAAACAAAACTATCCCCCATTCATATACAGAAAAACACAACAGATGTCTGTCTGTGAAGATTCTCAGTCATCCAGGTCATAGTTATCCAACAAAGGTTAAATTCAAGGGAAACTGGACTTGGTTGAAGATACTAGAAGATGTTTCATCCCTCATCCAAAGGACTTCTTCAGTTCTGACTGAATGGTAGAGAAACTAAGCTATTTAACCTAATTTTGTCAGGATCATCGATACCGCTGGTTCGTTAGTGTTCCTGGCTGTAGTAACGACAGTCATTATTTTCGTTAGGACTACCGGTGGCCAAGACTGACGACGATCGTTGGCATCCTCACCTGAGGCCAATAGGTTACGTTTGTTGAGTTTCCTGGGAAGTGATGAAAGGACCGCATTGTAAGTGGGGAATAAGTGGGGGCGTAGACCCCCTCCTCTGTTCAACGATGGCTTCTCAACCCGGGTTTAGATGGCTTCCTTGACACCTCTTCAATCTTCTCTGTCTAAAGTCCAGTTGCCCTTGAATTTAAAGGTCCAGTGTGTAATATTTCTGATGCTCTATTGACAGAAATGCATTATAAAAGATCCACAACTATGTTTTCAGTGGTGTATGAAGACCTTACATAATGAACCATTATGTTTTTTTACCTTAGAATGAATGTTCTTGGTGTACATGAGTATGTACTGTACATACCATAAACCTTTGAATAATAGCCCGGGCTTTTAGTTGCTAAAATCACTGAATTGACCTTGCCTATATTTGAGACAGGCCATTATTTCCTTTTGCACAAAAACTGAAATAGGCTACTATGAAACAGTTTATTTATTTAAAAAAGTATGAATATTACTTGTATATAAATGATCAAATAAAACCAATACACGTTATTCATTTGAACTAGCTCCGACATTTGTATTAATGATCTAAGCAGCTTAGAAGCAGCTAAAGCGGGGCAGGAGGCTGTCAAGTAATAACGTACATGTATTACAACAATGCGTTCATTGTGAATTGTTCCTATTATATCGTGTAAGTTACACAGAATCAAAAAATGTGTGTATTATACCTGCCCAGATTTGACAGAGTTGAATTATGGATGACAACTTAAACTCTAACTCAAATTCATTCTCTGCTCCACAGCACAGCTTCACGTAATATAGTTGATAGTTTGCTTCAGTTTACCAGTCTGTGCTTGTTTTTGTATACTGTACATTGTCTGCTAAGTAGCAGAAGGGAATTACAAACCACGTCATTTACAACCATGTTGTAATGTGACCATTAAACCTACCTTGCATCTTGAGAAGGATTACAAAGTTTGGAGCAAATTGCGTGTTTTAAAGTATCTTAATTGCCTCCAGTTGACCATGTTGGTTTAGTGAGCCAAACTACTAATAACTATAATCTTCACCTTATTATTGACACTGGCCTGGACCGGTCTCTTTCACCTCATGCAGTACTGTACCTCATGCACTTGTTTTCTCTGGAAAAAGGCAAAAGAGCCTTAGGTTTCCTACTGACCTAGTGGGGAGTTGTTGGACAGGTCATATTTGCCGATCTCTAGGAATCGTCCATGTCTGGCTAGGCAGCGAATACTAGCCTGCAGCTTTTCCTCAGCCAGAGAGTTCAGCACCACATCCACACCTGAAACGCACACACACACAAAAATACTACATATGTCACAAAAAGTGTATTTACTTTATGCAGTGGTACCAACTCATTGCTTGTTCAACAAACACAATTGTTTCTTACTAAAAACACTCAAGCAGTCTTATATGCAAACGTCTCAATCTGTAAATTATGTAAATGACAATCTTTAACTACTTAAATTAAACTAGCCATTTAATCGTCAATTGTTATATTAGTTTCAGCTGGAGAAAATACACTATTCTGTGATGTCATTTGACTTGTTTATTTCAGGAGCCTCTCAATCCCAGAAATCCTACAAATCCTAAAGAGAGAACACATTGAAAGTGTGTGAAGCATGGTATGTTGAACACAACTTGTTGCAACAGAAAGAGGTATCTGACCTTTTCCCTGTGTGTGGAGAAGAATGTGCTGTTCAAATGAGGTGTCTCTGGAGTTAGTGAAGGACTCTGCTGAGAGCTGGGGGAACCTCTTCTGCAGATAAGTCCGCTTCTCCATTGAGCCTAACGATACCATACACAAAAACTTATAAAATTTTACAGTTTAAAGATTTTTACAGTTATTATCTCATAATAGCAACTCAATACACTTAGTCTCACAATCACAAAAGATGTGTATATCAAAATTATGACCTAATATTATTGCAAATGAGATCTCATTACGAAAAGACACAAAAAAAATTTGAATGACAAGAAAGTGGGCTTTCATATAAATTGAATAAACCACAGTGAATAAGAAATCCTATTAGAGCTCATTTTCTGTCACTATGTGTAATGTGAGTGTTAAATACTAACCAACTGTCGTGAAGACTTTACATTTCTTGCTGAGTGCTATGGCGATGGCAGCTTGGCCGACCCCCCCTGATCCTGAGTGGATTAGAACAGTTTCTCCAGGGCGGAGCCTTCCACGCACCACCAGAGAGTAGTAGGCTGTGGCGTAGACCACTGGTACCGAAGCTGCCTGCTCCAGTGTCCTGCATACGCACAGGTGCATCATATTATTTGCCACATTAACATAGCAAGGTTTATTGAGCCCAGCCGAGGAGATACAGTGCCAGCATACAACATGTGAACACGTTGAATGCCAACACCACATCTGAAGGAGAACATCTTTTGGTCCCTTTTATGTTTCTACAGTTACATGTAGGGCTGTACATAACAATTATTTTTCAGACATTAATTGGGCTACTTTACTTAAAACTTTAAATGTTTGACATGGATTTATTTCAATATTGAGTAATGCAGTATGATAATCAAATGAATTTGTGTGGGGCAAAGAAAACAACTCAGTGCAGACAGTCATAGAATGTCTTTAATGTTTAGATTCAGCTGTTTTCTTGCTCATACGTGGCTGTTATTTAAAAGAGAAAATGGTCGAACGTTAGATGACACGTTAACGTTACCATGACAGCAGCGGGGTAGAATTACTTTTAGATTAGATTACTTTTAACATGAAGCCATTGAAGAAACACTTAGAAAATCATGCTGATAATGTGCTGTGCTTGTGTGGAGACAAAGAAAACATGATTTGCGGTGCTGCCGTCAGTGCTCCACAAGTTCATGTTGTTTCACGTATTCGTGGACAGCAGTTCTACAGCAGTGAAGCTATGTCCAGTACAGAGCTCGTGGAGCAACAGGTTGTTGAGTGTCGAAAATACTCAAATAACAAAGTTTAGACGGTCAAAGGTGCGGCCTTGTAGCTGGAACTTGTCCGGGTGAATCCCTGCTAACACCGGATGCATGCGACACTTCGACGCACGTAATGCGAGTCAACGTATTTACGTAATCGGTTACGTCGACGAATCACCCCAGCCCCAGTTAAATGAGAGAAATAACTAGAGCTGGAAGGTCAGTGAACACTTGTAGGGTCAGCTAATGACTCTAATCTAGATCTGTCTTACCTTTCCTCTCTTACATCAATCAAGAGCCCTTAGAATCGAACAAGTATATAAGTATATCTTCTTTGGACAGTAACATCTGCACTGCTCTGTAAGGATAAAATTTTGAGCTGCACTTCTGGCCATACCCAGAACAATGCTGTCAAGATAGGTGCTTTTCCTTTGACCACTTCTGATTTACCTGATAGGGGTGTGGCCAGATAACATTCTTCAAAAGTGTGCTTTCCATTTGATCTAGGTCGGCCATCATCAAGGACGTTTCAATCCCTTAAATGTGTCTCAGATGAAACAGAGGTGGTTATAAACATAGCGGACTACCAGGTAGGTCAACACACTACTTACAGACACAAACACATATGAGACACTGAGGCGAGACCAGCGGATACAAGAAAAAGGCCATAAAATGTCTACAACAGCTACAGAAAGAAAACATCATGTGTGAACAGTACTTCCGTTTGTATCCTGGAAAAGCCATTCCATTAGAGCTGTGCGATATGGCAAAAAAATTCATATCCCAATATAGGTCATTCCATATCCCAATAACAATAAATATCCCAATGCAGAAATTTTTTGTAAATTCTATGAAATATTATAAACTCATGATTTTTCTCTGCATCATAAAGGTGGGTTAAGCTATTCTGGAGAAATCTAACATCAGGACAAATAACATTACCATGATACAGAAGGGCTGGGCGGTATATATCGGTATATGAGGTATACTGATATAATTTCAAAAGAGATATAAGATTATACAATACTGTTTATACCGATATAGTTTGATGTTAATTAATTTTTCCATAAAATCCTGCCAGCGTTTGCTCCTCTCTCTCTTTATCTTAGGTCTTTATCAGCCTCTGCTGGCGACCCATAGAAGCTACACATGCATCCATACTTACGTATTCGTCTTGTCGAGATTGACAAAAACAGCCCACTTGCAGCCCTCAATATTTCAATGTTTTGGAAGCTTTATGTTATTTGGAACGTGGTTGTATGGAGAGAAATAATGTTTTGAAGATAACTTAAACCGTAAATATGGCCAAAACATGGACATTCGCCTGGGATATTTTTGAAAGTTTGTGTAATAGCTGTTGTATAAGAGTTTCTTTTCATCAAATTTAAAGTTACAGTTGCATTCCCGGTGTATTAGAAGATATTCAGGTGCATTATAATCTACCTTATGATGGTTTATTGCATATGACGACCAGCTACATTGAGGGGTACTATCTCTGGGTACTATCTGCAATGGAAATCTGAGCACGGCCAAACCGAGTCGAGGAGAGTTGAGCTGGTACTTGTAATGGAAAAACGGCGTGGGAAGCTGACGTGTTTGCAGAAGACGTACGTTAGGTCTGTGAGTGTGAAGAGAACTGAAGGAGGCAAATTTAATAAGTGAGTGATACTTAAGATGGAGAATGAAGTATAATTAAAACAGTGAAATAAGAAACAAGCTAAGTTACTAAAAATAGTAAAAACATGCCCGCTAAAACTGCCCCGCCCCCTCCCCAGAGCTTAGCAGAAAATAAAGATAAATATTTTATACTGGAATTCTGCCTAACAGTACCGGGATATGACTTTTTGGCCATATCGCCCAGCCCTATGATAGAGTAAACAACAACACAGTAAGTAATGTAACTAACATTAGCTAGGTTGTGGGTGAGCAAGCTGTTGCTACTTGCTGCTGCAAAGTAAACATTAGAAGACGAGATGGTCCCAGAGCAACACAGCTGCTCTATACAGCCGCAATACAACTCTCCTGCTGCTCCAGTTAACATAACAGCATGTCTTGGTCAACTAGAAAGTAAGCTTAAAGTCCGTGGACAAGTCATTTAACGTTACCTGACAGACACATCATGCTGAAATTGCTGGAATAATGTTGTGTGGCTCATGCACTCTCTTTGGTATGAAGTCCTCCTGTTCAGTAGTAATCAGTTATGAGTAAACTTTACTCTCCTCCGCGTTTGTTTATTCCTAATGCAAATTTCTTCCCTGCAACGACAAGTGTGGAAGAACGGACCGCGGTAAAGTTAGTTTAAAGTTGGATATTAGTTTTACGATGAATAGTCTACAGATGTCTGTCGAATATCCATCTTTCCAGTACAACGGAGGATTCTACAGCTAGACGTATGGCTGTGCCATGGGCTCACCAGTATCCCCAATTGTGGAGTGGAGAACTCCTTCAGAGGAACAGCACTGAGTCACTGGTATGTGGATGACACAAAATTAAGTGCAAGCCTTCAGAGAACACATCAACTCCGTGGATAGTAACATCAAGTTCACACAAGAAGATATCCATAACAGCAGTTAGGCCTTCCTGGACTGTGCTGTACACATCAAAGAGGACAGGAGCCTGCAAACTGAGGTGTACAGGAAACCTACACACACAGACCTACTTTTCGATTCCCACCACCCACTGGAGCACAAGCTAGGGGTGATCAGAACCCTGCACCACCGAGCTGACAACATACCAGCCCAGCGCCCAAGCCAGAGAGAAGGAACAGAACCACCTGAAGGGGGCACTTACAGCCTGTGGAAACTTTGTGAAAACTGCCACAAGATCCAGGAAGAATAACACTACGGGGAGTGAGGAAAAGAAGGTCGAGTGTAGCTACATTGTGATTCCATACGTGTCTGGATTATGAGAGAAACTCATGGGAATTTTTAAACACACCACATCCCTGTATTTTTTAAAACTAAGAACATGCTAAGACATATACTGGTACACCACAAAGACCGCACACCCAAACACAAGAAAAGCAATCTAGTGTATGCGGTCCAATGCAGTGAAGAATACACAGAGCTGTATACTTGGGAAACTTAACAACCACTACACAAATGCATGGTTTAACACAGGTCAAGACTCAGCAGTTTATTTACACCTGAAGGATAAACGACACTCGTTTGAGTACCACCAGGTGCACATTTTAGACAGAGGATGGATGGCTTGAAAGAGGTGTCAAGGAAGCCATTTACACCCGGATTGAGAAGCCATACCAATTCTTTTTGTTATAGTGTACTGAGCACCTGGTCCGTACTCTGAATTCTTATCTGAATTTGCAGAGTTTTTGTCAACTTTAGTCCTTAAAATGGACAAAGTTATTATTGTAGGGGATTTTAATATTCATGTGGACGTTGAGAATGACAGCTTCAGTACTGCGTTTATCTCTCTGTTAGATTCCATTGGCTTCTCTCAGAGTGTTCATGAACCGACTCACTGTTTTAACCACACCCTCGACCTTGTTTTGGTGTATGGTATTGAAATTGAACATTTAGTGGTGTTCCCTCAGAATCCCTCTTTGTCCGACCACTGTTTGATAACTTTTGAGTTTGTATTGCTGAACTACACGCCATTGGGCAAAAATTTCTATACAAGATGTCTGTCTGATAGTGCTGTAGCTAAATTTAAGGATGCGATTCCATCAGCTCTAAATTCATTATCAAGTCAACTCCTATGCTAATTTCAGTCCCTCCCAAGTCGATCATTTTGTTGATAGTGCTGCAGGCTCACTGCGAATGACACTCGACTCTGTAGCCGCTCTGAAAAAGAAAATAATAAAACAAAGACGGTTAGCTCCATGGTATAATACTGAAACTCGCAAATTAAAGCAAATATCGCGGAAACTTGAGAGGACTTGGCGTTCCACCAAACTGGAAAATTGTCCTTTAATTTGGCAAGATAGTCTCAATAATCTTAGTCTCCGTAATGCCAGAGCAGCGTACTCCTCGTCATTAATAGAGGAAAATAGGAACAACCCCAGTTTTCTTTGCAGCACTGTAGCCAGGCTGACAAAGAGTCACAGCTCTATTGAGCCAAGTATTCCCATAGCTCTCAGTAGTTACGACTTCATGAGCTTCTTTAATGATAAAATTCTAGCTATTAGAGACAAAATTCACCAAGACCTGCCCTCAACTGGCACCAACTTATCTCTAAACTCAGGAACCTTAGAAACAGCTGTAAAACCAGATATATGTTTAGACATTTAGGAGAGGCAGAAACATCAGATATATTGTTGTCAGTTCCATGTATAAAGAACCCACTCAAACTAATTGGCTTTCACTACAACTTTATGGGAACTATAGGTGTGGCAAATGTGTACATTGTTCAAACACATTTGACACTAAAACATTTAACCATCCACAGGAAAGAAATACAACATAAAATAATTTATTTATTGTCTATCTACCCATGTTGTGTATGTTTTGAAATGTCCTTGTGGCTTAATGTATGTGGGCCAAACTAAACGGAATGCAGGGATTGTGCTTGTCACATGACCTGCACAGGATCTACTTAACACACCTGTAAGTGCTTTTGTAATTTCACTGTGTGAGCCTGAAGAAGCAATGGGCAAAACGCGTTGCTCACAAATAAAGTAGTAAGTCAGATCAGTGTGCTGTAGTTTGTTTTTGATTTTTCATGTTTACACTGCTTTGCTTCCCTCAATCTTTACCAACTAACTTTAATGATTTCTTCATCTAAACCATCGGCCTGCCTCTTAGACCCCATCCCGACTAGGCTGCTTAAAGAAGTTTTACCCTTAGTCAGCACTTCTATACTAGATATGATCAATCTATCTTTATCAACAGGCTATGTACCACAGTACTTTAAAGTAGCTGTAATCAAACCTCTTCTGAAAAAGCCCAACCTTGATCCCGATGTTTTAGCCAACTATAGACCTATATCTAACCTTCCATTTCTCTCTAAGATCACGAAGAAAGCAGTCACCAAACAGCTGTGTGACTTTCTACATAGTAATTGTTTAGTTCATCATAGCACAGAGACAGCACTGGTGAAAATTACTAATGACCTCCTTATTTCATTAGACAAAGGACTTGTCTCTGTTCTGGTTTTATTAGATCTTAGTGCTGCATTTGATACAATTGACAATCAGATCCTATTACAGAGACTGGAACATTTCATTGGCATTAAAGGAACCGCTCTAAGCTGGTTTAAGTCTTATCAGTTCGATTTCAGTTTGTGCATGTTAACGATGAATCCTCCATGCACGCCAAAGTTAGTCATGGAGTTCCACAAGGATCTGTGCCCAGACCAATCCTCTTCACTTTATATATGCTTCCTTTAGGCAATATTATCAGGAAACACTCCATAAACTTTCATTGCTATGCAGATGATACTCAGTTATATCTATCGATCAAGCCAGATGAAACTCAGTTAGCTAAACTTCAAATGTGCCTTCAGGATGTTAAAACCTGGATGACCTGTAATTTTCTAATGTTAAACATGGAAAAAATTGAGTTATTGTTCTAGGGCCCAAGTACCTCCGTGATGCATTATCTAAAGATATGGTTTCTCTTGATGGCATCGCTCTGGCCTCCAGCACCACTGTAAGGTTTGATCTTTGATCAGGACATGTCTAAGTCTTACATTAAGCAAATTTCAACGACTTTTTTTCACCTACGTAATATTGCAAAAATCGGGAACATCCCGTCTAAAAATGATGCAGAAAAACAAGTCCGTGCATTTGTTACTTCTAGGCTGGGTTACTGCAATTCCTTATTATCAGGCTGCTCGAAAAAGTCCGTTAAGACTCTTCAGCTGATCCAGAATGCTGCAGCACGTGTTCTGACAGGAACCAGGAAAAGAGATCACATTTCTCCCGTCTTAGCTTCTCTGCATTGGCTTCCAGTAAAATCCAGAATAGAATTTAAAATCATTCTTCTCCCCTACAAAGCTCTTAATGGTCAGGCACCACCTTATCTTAAAGAGCTCATAGTACTTTACTACCCCACCAGAGCAATGCGCTCCCAGAATGCAGGGTTACTTGTGGTTCCTAGAGTCTCCAAAAGTAGACTAGGAGCCAGAGCGTTCAGCTATCAAGCTCCTCTCCTGTGGAACCAGGTTCCAGTTTGGGTTCAGGAGGCAGACACCATCTCCACATTTAAGAGTAGGCTTAAGACTTTCCTCTTTGATAAAGCTTATAGTTAGGGCTGGCTCAGGTGAGTCCTGAACCATCCCTTAGTTATGCTGCTATAGGCCTTGACTGCCGGGGGATTTCGGGGGAAATGAGACGTTAAACTGATGTTGTGACTCATTGTGCTCATTAAAGATCAAGCGATCTTTAATGAGCACTTTAATAATCACATCACTTGTCACAAAGAGTACGGGGTTCCACTTGTTTCCCCAGTCATGACAAAATTCCCAAACTGGCTTTCTCCATCAGGCCATCTAATCATCCAAAGCAATTGGCTCAATGTTACCCTACCTCCCTCAAGTTGATGTGTGGTAAGCGGTCTGGTGCAAAATGGCTGCTGATCATCACATAAGTGGGTGCCACACATTGGTGGTGGTTGAGCCACCCCACTTCACTCTAAAGTGCTTTAAGTTTCTATGGTAAAGCGCTCTATAAATGTAATGCATTTTTTAAGTATTATCATTATTAACATTAGCTGGCCGGCTAATGCAGACCAGTTGCTAACGTTATCCGGTGCAAAATACTATAGTTCCAAGCTGTCCACTTTACAGCAAAGTGTTATTTCTTCAGGTTGTCACATGAAAAGATATAATAAAATATTTACAAAAATGTGAGGGTGTACTCACTTTTGTGAGATATTGTACATGCTGGTTTCTTTAAAGTTGCATGTAATTGCTGGTATAACTTTGACCTACCAGCAATTTATGGCAATTTTGGTTAGCTATTAATTTATTATTAATTAGAGTTCCAAAGTGATACATTTAGTATATTTGTTTAAACTAGATTAGGCAACCGGTTACCAGTTTTCTCTTCTTTAAGCATGGTGCCCTAAGGTGAATTCTATTATCATTAAAAACAGTAATAAATATAGCCGCAAGCGGTGATTCACGGGTTCAAACCTTTTTCTGCCATCAGGGCGGCTGTGGCTCAGGAGGTAGAGCGGGTTGGCCGTTAATCGAAAGGTTGGCGGTTCAATCCCTGGCTCCCCCTGGTTGCATGTCGAAGTGTCCTTGGGCAAGATACTTAACCCCAAATTGCCCCTGGCAATTCCGCCAGTGTGAATGTTAGTTTCCGTTTGAGCAATTAGTGTGACTGGTGAATGCATGTGTAAAAGCGCTTTGAGTGGTCGAAAAGACTAGAAAGGTACAAGTATGGAGCATTTACATCGTGATTTCAATATACTTTCACTGCATTACACATTATAACATCGTTATAAACACATCCCGTGAGTTCTGTAATGATGGGAAAAACTGTTGTTGATTTATAGTCTGATTTGTGTCATGCTACACCCATTTCTTGCATTTGTAGCATACCCAAGTGGTCAGTTTGAACAACTCTCAATGTATGTGTAGTGTCCTTATGTAGACATATCCTTGAAGTTATTTGTGATTTGTAGTCTGATTTCCGTTATATCACCTGCAGTTTGTTTGAATTTTTTTCGTTATATCACCTGGGGTTTGATTTGAATGAAACTTTGAGGGAATGTTTAAAGTTACTTATAAGGACATATCCTGTGAGATTTGTGATGTATGGAGAATTAATGTGTGATTTAAAGTGTAAATTGTGTTAAATGTTTGATCCGTCAATCTCTGGATAAAAGAAAGGTACGACCTTAACTCCGGACTATTGTGGACACTGTGGAGGGAAGGCTTCCAAGTTTCTCTGTCAATCTTATGTTATTTTGACATAAATTGACTCCAAAGCACCACTAGAAGGCATGTTTTGCTTGTAAATACATTTTCTGTGACATCTACTCTATTGTTGAAAAAAATAAACAGCTGAAGAATTATGCTGTCAAAGACTTAATTTCATTTAAAGACTGATTGCATTTATAAAGACTGACAATATACAATTTTGAAAGTCACCACTGTAAGTTAGTAAGGACTTCACATTTTGTTAGTGGCATTAAGTTCAAATAACTGCTGTGTAAAGTTCTAAGCTATGATCTATTACCACTGTGACCCGAGGCAGGAATCGAACCAATGTCTGGCACAGGAGGTGGTACTTTGAGGACTGACACTGTACCACTACGCTATTGAATTACTCCTTTTTGTACAACAATTTGAAGTACTGTTGATGGGAAAGTGCATTTGCCTTAAAAATGAAGCTTTTCAGCTGTCATTTTGGTATTTTTAGTCAGAGCTTAAGAAGCTGAACATGACAATATATGTGCATGTGTCCACATACCAAACAAGAAGGAAGATTTTGCAAGTTGAAGAGTAGGGTGAGAGAAGGAGAAGTCAGTCAGAAATTTCTAATGGAGTCACTGAGAGCACGAGTGTAGGCTACCCATCAATTAAGGTTCAAAACTCAAAAAGTAAACCTCCACTGATGAATATTTTGGCATTTTGAGAGAGAAAAGGCATGAAACTAAACATGTTTTAACAAACACCAATTACAACTTGGAAAGATCTTTTCTACAGTTTAAAGCTCAAATGGAGTCTGTAGCTGTACATATTCCGGAGCAGTAAGCTCTTTTATTTGAGTAGGTTGGAGGAAAGAGGAGTTGGTTTTGTTTGTATGGAAGTTCCAAATAAAAGGAAACAAATATGTATCAAAAGGTTTTCTGTTTTTTTAAACCATTTGTTAATTGAATTTACAGGACAATTGCTATATCATAATATATACAGGTATTCTGATATATACGAGATGTGATTTGGGCCATATCACCCACCCCTATTTGTAATCATACATTTCCCCAAAGAACCACTATGAAACTGTCTCTCAATGTGGCTACAAATCCACAGCACCAGATCTTCACCTTGGTTTCCAGGTTTTTCCTTTCATACACCCCATCAACCTTCTGAGACAGCACAATGGCTTCCACAGAGCAGCTGCTGAGAGCAGCTACTGCAGACAGGTACTGGACAACAATTCCAAATCACATCTCAGACTCATCCTGCTCTGATTGTAATGTGCACAATCAACACACCCATACAAAATGCACACACACACCATATTTAAAAATGTAACACGTACCAGCTGGAGGGAACATCCCAGAGAAACCGTTTGTCAGCATCTACACTTGTAGCCAGGCCTTTAGCAGGCAGCAGCCCCATCACACGCCGACCAATCGGGTCATAACCGGAAAACTCCATACCTAACATGCACTGCTGCAGAGCAAGGTCACCTATGCAATGAACAATGACAGTAATGTAGTGATAGTTTTAATTGTGGGTGCTTGAATTTTGACCTGTATTTCTATTTTTGTGTAGTCTACATTAACAGTGGTTAATAGTACTATTGTTATAAGAACCAAGAAAGTACAAGATTCCTTGTGTGTCTTATACACACACACACACACTTTACCTGGAATAGCATCTGGTGGCAGTTTGCCGGTGGCCAGCATTATATCTCTAAAGTTGAGTGAGCTGTAGTAGACACGACACAGTTGCACGTTGGGGTTGCTGGTCACAAAGTGGCGGAGTGGGGAAGCAATCCAGCGCAGAGAAGACAAGTCACCTCGAGTCAACACATTGACGTATGCCTGCTCAGTCAACTCTTCTTTTAAATCTGAAAACCGCAAAACACAAAGAAATGCTTCACTGGTAGCCATGGACATCACACATTCTGAAAATAAAACAAGTTATAGGCATTAAACAGGTCTGAATATATCCTTTGTCAAATTAACTAACTCAAATATATAGGTTGTGTGAAATGACAATAAGCAATATTTTGGTACCGTGACTGATGAGCTGATGCCTGAAGACGCCCCAGTGTCCGTCTCTGAACACATTCATGACCAGATCCCCTTCTAGCACTGACTGCATAGACTTATGGGCTGGCTGGAGGCTCGGTACTGCAGAAGACTCGTTTAGATTGGACACAAACGCACAGCTGGTGACAAGGTAGGAGAAATGACATAAAAAGGGAACACACTAAAAAAAACACAATACATGAATGTAAGCGAGACAATACCTTCATACAAGATGGCCACTAAATGAATGTTGGTAAGAACTGTGTGAAGTCTGATGTGATAATACACAAGCATACACTGGTATTTACAACTCAAACCTGCAAACCCCAAATTTAAAATTGCAGTACTACTAAAGTGCCCATTATGACAGGCACAGTTGGCCCAGTGGTTGTGAATTGTATTTACCTATTACGCTTACAGTAGACTGTCTTTAGGCCTAAATTCTGTTACTGTGACAACACCAGTACAGGATTGTGTAGGGTGAGTGTATATATCCTACCGTATTCGGTTGCCACCTGGCTCCTGCAATAGACAGTTGACCATTCCCACAATGCCACAGTGAGGCTTGGAGGCAGTCAACCACACTGGACAGTCTGATGACTCTGCAATCATCGCCTGCAGCACAGATCCACATAGTAACCCCCAGTTATGACTAATGTCACATTTGTAAATGATGACTGAAGTCACAAGGAAACTGTATTCAACATACTTTGAAGGTTCTGATATATAGGTATGACATAAAATCCTGTTTAGTTATTCAGACTTGAAAATAGTTCATGGGGTCACTGTTAGACATTTCAAAAGCCAGACACACACAGAAGGTTATTGAACCCACCTTAAGTGTTTCCACCCACGTGTAGTCAGTTCTGTCCACAGGTAGGAAAACGGGCTGTTTGGCCAGAGACTGACGGCGACAAAGAAAGAGGGCCGTGCCATAAAAAGATTTCCTGACCGCCACCAGGTTGAGAGAGGCCTCAGAGAACACCTTCTCCCACTCAGCCTGGAAAGAAGAGGGAGATAATATCAGCAAAACATCATCTCCCATTAACCATTTAATGTGATCTTAGCATCTCGGCATACTGATCACGTCATTCACTTATTTCTTTGAACTTCCAGCTTCAAGGGTGTTAAAGTTATGTAGACTGAAAGAATGATGCTTTTATCAAACTGAGGAACTTTTCTGAGGATTTTTATCCTGAAGGACCCAGTCACTGTGATGACTGTAATGGTGTGCTCATACTGAAAGTGAATCCAGCGTTTCACGGGGCTTGATTACATACAGCTATCATTGTACTTTACTGTGAACAAGTTAGCATAGCATAGCCTGGATCTATCCGAACTCCATTCAGAAAACAAACAAAAATGTTGTTGTCCTGCTGACTTGCTGACAGACCTGACAAAGCATAAATTATTATTAAAATTATTATATTAATGTTTAACAAATCTGCATCATATTTTAGTTATTCCGGCATTAGTTTGATCTGTTCATTGCAAATAAATCACAGCAAAATGTTTACTTTGGGTTCATACAGCTGTAGTTTATTTGCGTGTTTAGGAGGGTCAAACATCGCAGTAAGTGTTGCCACTGACCTGTGTGAGCAGTCCTTGCTGGCTGCTGCTCTGAGTAGTGCCAGAGAGGAATGCAACGGTTTCCCCCAGAGTCTCTCCCTTCAGCAAGGTGTGGATAAGAACAAACCCCCTTTGTTTGGCTCCAGAAGCCAGATTTGCCACCAGCAGTGCAGGGTCCTTCCTTACAGGGCCCCAGGCGTGGTTACACACCACTAGGTCTGCCCCTCCTACTACACCTCCAGGAGCCGCACACATCAGGGGGTCCCACTGAGCTGATGTAACTGCCAGCCTCTCAAGGGTGGCCTGATGGGGGGTAAGAAGGTCCAGGTTGGTTGCTGTGGCAGTGTAATCCACACGCAGCATGGGCTGGATGTTGAGGAGGGCAACCAAGCGAGAGAAGAGCTGACTATCGTTGGAGAGAGCCTGGCAGTGGTCGGAGAGGTGAAGAGGGGTGGAGATTTTAAATATTCTGAGACTGAAGCATCAATTAGTCATTCTGCATTTAAAGGAAATTTTCTATTGGATTTTCATCTAGTTTTCAGTCTTACCTCCAGGACTTTGATCTTTCCAGGCATGCTATTTTCTATGGTGATGTCCAGGCAGTGTCTGAGGGCCTGGCTGTCGAGCAGCCCCTGCAGCAGGCTATCCTGCAGCAGACACGCCCTCTCCTTCTCCACTGTCTGTTCTAGCTCAGATCGAAGGTTCCCATTCAGCTCCAGGCTGCAAAGCAGGGCCATCAGCCGCACCAGGCCGGGCTCAGAATTTTCGGGGTTGGGTAAAGGACCGTCTGACTCCACTTGTATCCCGGGGATGGAGAGCTTGACACCATGAGGGGCCAACTTTTGCTGCAGTCTGTGGATTAAACCTGGATGGACAGAGTGGGACAAAACGTTCAAAGGACATGTATAAGCAGATGATACCAAAAAAGAAAATGCGCTGATTAGTCAACATTTTGTTGATTTTAATGGATGCATCAGTTTCTCTTCATGCATCAGAAATAACATTTGACTGCTGTTTTCATGTGAAAAAACAGCTTGCTTTTCAGTGGCTTGCTTTACAGAACAACTCAGGGATGTTCAATAAAAGAAATATATTAAACTCTGAAGAAAGCAGTCAGTGATAGTACTGAAAATACCAATGACAGACAAACTCCCTTCATCATTTGGCTACGAATCACGTTCTTTTGTGGACAAAAAAAAACGAAGGGGGGAAGGATTTAAAAAATATATTTTTGACTATTTTCAAAAGAATTTTCTGAGAGCCTATTGTAAATACCTAATAATACTAGTAAAACAGAAAACTAATGTCTGCTTTTTTTTAGGTTGTACCCAAGGTTTGTTGTCATGGCAAGTTATGCTGCATCTCTAACCTGCTTTATGAACCGGTTATATATGTGGTTAATTCGATTCGATTTAACAAATTCGATTTACTTGTAGATTTACTTTCTCTGGGATTATTACCCGACTCCCTCGCTCCATAATTTTTTATTACAGTGGACCTAATATAGAGTTGTGTAGCTTTATATCTTAATCATATTACACATTAAAGAAGAGTCCATAAAATACTAAGAAGATAGAGAATTACAACAAGAACACTATTGGCCTCAGGTGAAGATATCAATGGTCGTTCAGTCTTGGCCACCGGTAGTCCTAACGTCATTACAGCAACCAGGAACACTAACAAACCAGCAGTATCGATGACCCTGGCAAACGACCCCACTGAGGTTAAATAGCTGAGTTTCCCTGCCAGTCAGTCAGAACTGAAGAAGTCCTTTGGATGAGGGACGAAACGTCTTCCAGTATCTTCAACCAAGTCCAGTTGCCCTTTACTTTAACCTTCGTTGGATAACTATGACCTGGATGACTGAGAATCTTCATAGACAACAAGAACACTGTGTGTGTAATTACAAATTTACTATCAACAAGCCTCCTCAGCTTTGTTGGCTACCCCGGTATTAGATTTAGCCGTTAACATGGCTTTTGTCAACCCTGACTTTCCTTGATAAACCCGGGTTAAAGAGGTCATATTATGCTCATCTTCAGGTTCAAAATCTTATTTAGGAGTTGTACCAAAACAGGTTTACATGGTTTAATTTAAAAAAAACACCTTTTTTTTTTTCTTCATACTGCACATTGCTACAGCTCCTCTTTTCACCCTGTGTGTGAAGGCTTTGTTTTAAGTATGGAGTAATACATCTTGCCTCTTCATGATCTTTGTAGGGAGTTGCACATGTGCAGTTCCTAGTTAAGGACTACTAGCCAATCAGAAGCAGAGAAGGGCCGGTCAGTGAGAAGCCGGCTTCGGTTAAGCTATGTATCCCCTTACCAGTTTAGCAACATGGACTGGAGCAAGAGTTTCAGAGTGGTGAGTTATTAATCTGTAACAAAAGTATCTTTCATCCATAAAGTTATAACTGAGCTCTGTCTCTACATCACAGTAACAACTTTATGTCCATTGAATGCCTGGAGGGTAGCTAGTGTTTGGAAGGAAGAGGTGGTGTGTCCACTTGGCGAGCATTATATGGAGGCGCATTTTGCTGTGACTCACAGGGATGAAAGGGACGCTGATGTTTAAACTCCCTTCATAGTACAGGCCTCATCTGCATATGATCACAATGAAGTAATAATCCTCATTCGAAGTAATAAGGAATGATACAGCCACAAAGACGACAGAGATTTTGTTTACCTTTGCAGAGCCTCAGCTGCTCTGCAAGTTTCCCATTGGCTGTCAGGCACTCCATCTCCACATAGGGAACAAACACAAACTCCTCCAGGGTAGGGGGATTCTGCTGCTGCTGCCGACGGGGTGCCACAGTGGCATGCAGACCGGAGATCTGGACTCCACCAGCAACAATGTTGTCAAGGCAACGGTTTACGTGGACATCCACAGCTACAGGAATGAGAGAAATATTCGATGTGGAGTTCAAGACTTACAGAAGCTCAACATGTTGCTAATCATATCCAGCATAAAAAATCTTTACCCCAGCTGTGGCTGTGCTAAAAATAGTGATAAACAGGAAAGTGCCTGTGCAAATACAGATTACAGAAAATTAATTTTGAATAGAATGACAATGTTGGGATGCGTGACAACAGCAGTAACGGCAAATGAAACTAATTACTTTCTCAAATTAAATAACACAATTATAATTACTGAAATTTAAATGGACTCAACTACAACTGTTTTGATGGCAGACAAACACAGACTTGTATTTTGTGGTTTATGATCCATTGTCACCCGACTTTATGGCAGGCAATGAATAATGTCAATGCTGCCCTGGAAAAACGGACATTATTTTTCCATCGTTGAGATCAAGGACAAAAATATGGTGAGTAGTGCAGGTGTGAAAACTGTATCTACATCAATGACAAGTCATTCTAATCTTCTGAAACAACACACTTGCACAAAACTAATCGCCAGTATATCCACATTTTGCTACATATCCAACAGTTGCTACATCAACTACTTACATTTCATCATTGTGATAATGGGTACAATGGCTCATGAAATAGAAATTGTGACAGTTGTCTTTCCCCACTGCAACACTAACACTTATACAAGAACTGAAGCAAAGAGTAATGCAAAGGTTACTTTCCCTACTTACTGTTTATTTTTATATGCATTAGTTGGTAAAAAAAATTCAATTACTTTTAAGAGAAGTAATGAGTAACTTCAACTATTTACTAATTTTCACCAACTTGCACAAAACTGTTGATACCACACACCTTCCTTTCCGTCAGTGTACTTGCAGACATTCGCCAGATGGACAACTGGATCAACACACACTGAGCGGATCCTGGTTGGCAAACGCAGACTACGACCCGACAGGCCAACCACGATCATCTGTAGCATGGTGTCCAAAAAGGTCACCCAGTTTCCTGTCCACTGCAGTTTCCCACTGTCTCCTGGAAACAGCCAATCACATGACATGACCAGAGTGCTACTAAGGTCTGGGGGATACAGAGGTCTTTTAACTACTGCCGTTTGTACTGTCTTCTGGGTTTCATATTTGCATTTTAATAAAATTAAATATAAAAAAACAATCGCAACTAAACTTCAAAGAAGGTTTCAAAGACAACACAAACACACACCACTGTTACCTGCATTGTTGGACTCCAAGATGCCTTGGAAAGCATTCCCATAGTCATAACCACGCAGTCGCAGCTCTTTGTAGACATCATGTGCCGTAAGCCTCATTTTAGGGTCACCTTCATCGTAGGCAGCTTGTTGACTTATCCTACTACGGAATGAGTCAAGGGCTGCATCCTCCAGAATGCTCACCTTACCTGAAAATCACTCATATGAGTAAGACCAGGACCAACCACAACAGAGAATATAGTGCTTGTAAAGGTACTGAATGACACAGATCAAAAGTAAAGTGAAGATGAATAATGTAAAATACTACTAATACTAATATAAAAGATACATGAAACAGTACTGAAACAGCACTATTTATTTGAATTTTCAAACAATATTTGTACAAAAACGACCTACCACTGACAGCCAGGTTTCCATTCTCTGAAACCTCAAACTTGTTGGTGGCAGGCATGAGACGCACCTCCAACTGGACTGAGCCTGGCAGGAAGAAAATGGTGAAGAGAGAAGACAGACAGAGAGGCTAAATCAGATGAATATCGAACAGGAAGTCAAACAGCTCATCAGTCCATCCCAATCAAAGATCTCCGATCTCCCCCTCCAAGCCCCTGTGATCACACCCTTCTGCTCTGCTCTCACCGGTCTTTGGCAGGATCGTGGCCCTGTGAATAGTGACGTCCTCAAAGGTTACAGGGGTGATTTCCATGACAACCCCCAGACTTCTTAGCAAGGTACGCCAGGCTAGCACCAGGTAACCCGTCGCCGGATACAGGACACGACCATCAATGCAGTGTCCAGTCAGGTAGTAGTCTGTAGACTCTGGGTTTATGTCTGTTGTTTGTCAAAGAAGAGTTGGACACCAGGTACACCAAGTGTCAAATGAAATAAGAGAGTACTGTTTTCTTAACATGAGCCAAAAGAGCAGATGCAGAACTGTGTTTATTCATTCATTCATTCAGATGTATATTTCTTACCAATCTTATAAACTGTGGCAGAACTGGTTCCTCCAGAGCCAGAGGAAAAATCCTCTACCTTGGGGACATCCCAGGTCTGGGCATGGTCCCACTGCACCAAGGGGGCAATCAGAGGGGTACCAACTGGGACAGGGTACTGCACCACTGGGCAGAGGCCGTTCCCATGTACGTTGACCCTAAAGAGGTGCATTAAAAATAATTGCAAAATAAAACTATATGAAACCGCTTCCAAGACTGCTAAAAGTAGAGAAGCCCTAATGCACTAAAGTCAGTAAATGCAGACAGAGAGGCATTTACTGACCCGTTCATGTAGATTTTGCCTATGTTTGAGAGGAAGAACTCAAGGTTGTTGGTGTGGCCTCTCTTCATCAAGGGGAGGATGGAACACGTGTGCTTCAGGCTACGCTTCAGGATGGCCTGTGCACAAAACAGACAAGTTGAGCAATGGATGAGAAGATAAATTTCGTGTTCTTGGTGATGCAATCTGCACAACACAAGATGCAGTGCTAATACAGGAAGTGTAAAACGATGTGGTCGGACTAGGCTCAGTTTAATGCAAATTGAATGAGAAAATGTTTCTACAGTATGAAATACTATATTTTATTTGCCTTTCCTAATGGATACTATCGCAGGCACGCACGACACACAGTTCACCCTCCTCTAGGGATGGGTATCGCTACTCAATAACTTTAAGGCATCGACCGAAACAGCACAGTATCGGGTAGTATCAGAACGTCTCCAGTCAAACCAGTACCTTCATTCCATACCTTTTATAACCAGATCGCGCTAAATGTATGATATTGCTTGTAGCCAAACATGCAAGCAACACACCAAAAGAAAGGGAAGGGCACGTCTCGTTTTTCCATATGTGCGTGCAGCATAGACTGTATCGGAAAAAGTCTAGTGGACGGCAATAGGTGGCCCGCAGGCCAGAAATGGTCACCAGCAATAATATCTGGCCCACAGCCAGATTGCTTTGATAGCAGAAAAATAAAAAATAAATAAATTGATAGCGGCTGGTGCTGAAATAGATCAACAGTTACTCACACAATCACTTCCTCTGTGCTGTAGAGTGTGTGTGTCCCAGCGTTGGATCCGCATTCATAAACGTATGGACGCTTATTTTCATTTCCCTGAGGAAATTCAGGGGAATCCAATCACACATTTACTAGTTTTAGACAGTTTTTTCAGCGGTGTATCAAGCAGTCTTTCAAATGTCCTTCAGAACTCTTCAAAGAAAAAGCTCTCAATAAACTCGACAAAGCATTTCTGCAAAGAAAACGTCCTCGCGGTTTATTTTTTTGGAGACACAATCCTTTATTGTGAGCATGTGTAAAAAGTGTCCTTATAATCAATTTGTTTAACAAGAGAGAAAAAAAATAGCCACAATTATTTGGAATCAATCTTACAACCTTCCCAACGGGAGTCTCACACAGTACTGACTGTGCTAAACGTGCACACAAGCATTTGAAATAATTTGTCTGTTGTTTAAATGTAGCCTATGTCATCATGGACATGCTACACATACAGTGCCTTGCGAAAGTATTCGGCCCCCTTGAACTTTGACCTTTTGCCACATTTCAGGCTTCAAACAAAGATATAAAACTGTAATTTTTTGTGAAGAATCAACAACAAGTGGGACACAATTATGAAGTGGAACAAAATTTATTGGATATTTCAAACCTTTTTAACAAATAAAAAACTGAAAAATTGGGCGTGCAAAATTATTCAGCCCCCTTAAGTTAATACTTTGTAGCGCCACCTTTTGCTGCAATTACAGCTTTAAGTCGCTTGGGGTACGTCTCTATCAGTTTTGCACATCGAGAGACTGAAATTTTTGCCCATTCCTCCTTGCAAAACAGCTCGAGCTCAGTGAGGTTGGATGGAGAGAGTTTGTAAACAGGAGTTTTCAGTTCTTTCCACAGATTCTCGATTGGATTCAGGTCTGGACTTTGACTTGGCCATTCTAACACCTGGATATGTTTATTTGTGAACCATTCCAGTGTAGATTTAGCTTTATGTTTTGGATCATTGTCTTGTTGGAAGACAAATCTCCGTCCCAGTCTCAGGTCTTTTGCAGACTCCATCAGGTTTTCTTCCAGAATGGTCCTATATTTGGCTCCATCCATCTTCCCATCAATTTTAACCATCTTCCCTGTCCCTGCTGAAGAAAAGCAGGCCTAGACCATGATGCTGCCACCACCATGTTTGACAGTGGGGATGGTGTGTTCAGGGTGATGAGCTGTGTTGCCTTTACGCCAAACATAACATTTTGCATTGTTGCCAAAAAGTTCGATTTTGTTTTCATCTGACCAGAGCACCTTCTTCCACATGTTTGGTGTGTCTCCCAGGTGGCTTGTGGCAAACTTAAAACAAGACTTTTTATGGATATCTTTAAGGAATGGCTTTCTTCTTGCCACTCTTCCATAAAGGCCAGATTTGTGCAGTATACGACTGATTGTTGTCCTATGGACAGAGTCTCCCACCTCAGCTGTAGATCTCTGCAGTTCATCCAGAGTGATCATGGGCCTCTTGGCTGCATCTCTGATCAGTCTTCTCCTTGTATGAGCTGATTTGCAGTGGTCTGATACTCCTTCCATTTCAATATTATCGCTTGCACAGTGCTCCTTGGGATGTTTAAAGCTTGGGAAATCTTTTTGTATCCAAATCCGGCTTTAAACTTCTCCACAACAGTATCTCGGACCTGCCTAGTGTGTTCCTTGTTCTTCATGATGTTCTCTGCGCTTTAAACGGACCTCTGAGACTATCACAGAGCAGTTGCATTTATACGGACACTTGATTTCACACAGGTGGATTCTATTTATCATCATTAGTCATTTAGGTCAACATTGGATCATTCAGAGATCCTCACTGAACTTCTGGAGAGAGTTTGCTGCACTGAAAGTAAAGGGGCTGAATAATTTTGCACGCCCAATTTTTCAGTTTTTTATTTGTTAAAAAGGTTTGAAATATCCAATAAATTTCGTTCCACTTCATAATTGTGTCCCACTTGTTGTTGATTCTTCACAAAAAATTACAGTTTTATATCTTTATGTTTAAAGCCTGAAATGTGGCAAAAGGTCGAAAAGTTCAAGGGGGCTGAATACTTTCGCAAGGCACTGTAGATTGGTTAGATTCTCGAGATAAAATCGTTCAGTTCATTTAACGGAAACAACGAGCCCCACAGTCTAATTCTTTCAGATTTACAGGTGTAACCTGCATGGTAAAACAACAACACAAAAAAAAGGGCCAACTCGCATTACATTTGGAGTGCTTGTTAAGTCAAGGCCGCTCCTTAAGTCCGAATGGGTTTGTTCCTTGATTATTTATATTCCTTTAGTCTGTAAGGGTCCATCGATCAAAAGAATCAAAACAGCAAGTTGTGAATCCTGTCATGTGAAGTCCATCGCTCTGTCTGCTAACTTCTCTCATCCTGCACCCTGTTGTTGTCTGTTGGAGCTAGATCAAATGAATGACGTATATTTGATATTATTAGATAATTTTTATACAAGTAATATACTGTGTTAAATAAATGAACTGTTTCATAGTAGCCTATTTCAGTTTTGAGCAAGAGGAATTAAAGGCCTGTCCCAAATAAAGGCAGGGTCAATTCAGTGATTTTAGTAAATAAAACCCCGGGCTATTAATCAAAGTTTTAGGGTAGTAATTTGAAAAAAGTAATTACAACAATAAAAATAATAATACCAATCAACTACTATGGCCTCAACAGGTGGCATTTTATGCAAGGTATCAAATGAAGTACTCTATTGGTATCGGTATCACTTTAAGGATAATGGTTTTGCTACTGGCATCTTAAAATTTTAAACAATACCCAACCCTACATTCCTCTTACCAATTCAAGAAGTGGAGTGTAAAAAGAAGAACCAATGGATAACTCCATTAGAAGCTGGTCAAGTTCTCAAATAATGATGTTTGCTAAACTGGTGATACACTGTTTGTGTGTGCAAAAAGTGCTCAAACAGCTTCTTTTCAAGAGTGTTGCAGTCCATCAACAACATGCTGAGCATACCTGCAGTAGAGCATGAGGTGCTATCTCTACCACCACAGCGTTTTCAGGCACCAGACTGAGGCCTTCCTGGAACAGCACAGGGCTCACCAGGTTGTTGACATGGTAGTCAGCTGAGCTGTACAGAGCCAGAGGAGAGTCCCATTCAGACTGAGGAATGCTGGTGCTCACCCAACGGGCTGAACGCTGCCGCGGCATCTTGATCACCTACACAAAAGATGACATTTTATATTATTTATTAGTAATCAATTATATGCCAAAAAGCATGAAACATAACTGATCTGGACTAGACAACTTGGTTCCTACAGTTAGAATAATGGTGTTAATAATCTGACGTGCCTAGTAGCCTGGTACTGTAGGACAGCAACAGAGTGCAGAGAAGAAAGACAACATTTCTAGATATATAGCAGCCAAAACTTTCATTATGCTGAATTTGCAGGATATAAAACAGTTCTCATGAAAACATTTAATTAATAAACAAGCTAATTAAATGCATGACAACATACCAAAAATGTAATATATTACTACACTAAAGACAAGTGGGAATGTCTTCCCTGTAGCTGTCACTGTAACAGCAGCAGTCAGAGCTTCACTGTTGCATAATGCTGAAACACAGCACAGATATTACCTTCTTCAGAGCAGCCAGGAGGGTTGGGGCGATGGAGGCCATGTAATAGGAATGGAAAGCGACTCCAGCGCTGCGCACCTCCTTTGCAAACACTCCCTGCTCTTTCAGCTTGGAAACATATTTACTAATCGCTTCCTGATGACACAAACACACCACATCTGTCAAGATACATCCCCCTGCACCTTGTAAAAAAACAAGATGAGTAAAAGCCAATGTAACCTTGATTACATTAGATACTAGAGAATATGTTGTACCTGTACTACCTTACATTGGTTTTACTTTGTTTAAAGCATCGAGGCACATTTTGTGTTGTTATGTTATGCTAGTTAACAACTACTACTGGTTCCTTCTTCTCCTCCTGTTTGTCAGAAAAAGTTACGATGTCACGCTAAAAGTGAAGGTCGTGTAAGTTTGTTGACCAGTTTGATTAGCTGTGTGCATCATTTTCCACAGTAGTTTTCCAACCTGTAGTATAAAGCACTTGTAATATTTAAAGCAATATTTAAATTACAAACAAAGGTTTACCTAACTTTGCAATTTCTAGGATACAAGGTAACTAATCCTGCAACAAAAAAACATTTACAAAATCAACACAATGTGAGAAAATGGAAATTAAAACTTCCCAGACTTAAAGAAAGTTAAGTTATCAGACTGTGTAAAATTCAGGTTCTCAGTGTGTTAGTGGGGCTATAAAAGACGGACCTGCGGACCGGAGATGGTGACGGTGTCCTCAGCATTGTGGCAAGCTGGGACCACTCCTTGAGGACACTGAGCAAGACATTCTTCCCAGGTCAACCCTGGAACACAGAAAGCAAGCACAAAGGAAAAAAAATGTGCAAAAAATAAAAAACAACAAAAACCAAACAAAAATAATATAAATATAACCACTGTTGTCTGTCAGTGTCTGGTACACAAACAGTTAACAGTCATCCTCAAATTAGCAAGACAATAAGATAAACCAAAAGGCATCATCATTGCTTTGCATTATAACTATCAAATGTAACTCATTGCATTGTGGTTTCAACCTAAACTAATAAACCTATAGACAAACATATGCAGTGTCTACAGAGTCTTGGTGACAGAATGATCGCTTATGTATAGAGGACAGTGGGATTGATGCAAAACTTTGTGTCCAGGCATGTACAAGACTTTCTGCAACTCAGTAAAGCACATCTTGATTAGTTACAAGTCTGAAGCCACACAAAATTGAGGCCAGTGAGTCTTCTCAATAAATGATAGAATGAAAGTTTTTAAGTTTTTAAAAAGTCGCACTACTTCTCTAAGGATAAGGCTCGTGATTTATTTTTGGTTTTTATAGTCTTTCACAGAAAAATACCTTGATTATAATGATAAAATGAGTCTGTCTATTAAAGTAGATTTTGAATCAGATTTTCGGTTTCAATCTAAGAATTGTTTAAGTTGTAAGCAGACATTTATCATCGCAGTTTACAGTAAATGAGGAAAGTGAAGAGGAGAAAATTTAAAATGAGCTGCTGATTATGCATCACACTCCCTATGGTCTGATTTTCAATCAAAATAAACAGATTCAATATTTTTTAATGAAACCCTAAGTACTTGTTAAACAGTAAAAGTAAAAGCAGCTCAGTCTGTTAAGACTTGGCTTGGAAACCAGTGGGTTGCCACCTGAGCAAGGCCCTGAACCCAGAGCTGCAAGATGGCAGCCCACTGCTCTTAAAAAGGATAGGTTAAATGCAGAGAACAAATATCCCCTTCCCCTTCCCTTTTTAGGGCATTCAAGTCCAAGTCCAGCTCGGACCACAGATATGTGTGGACTGGTAGCTGGAGAGGTGCTAGTTCACCTCCTGGGCACTGCCAAAGACGGCCTTGAGCAAGCCCCTGAACCCCCATGTGCTCGGGACGCCGCACCACGTGGCAGCCCCCTCACTCTGACATCTCTCCATGTGTTGCTATAGGTCCTGTTTGTGCATGTGTGTGTATTTCAGACCTGTGTAAAATACTAAAATTAACAACAGAGAGAAAACATTGAGTTTCCCCTTGTGGGATTATTAAAATATATCTTCTTCTTCTTCTTCTTCTTCTTCTATCTTCTTCGTAAAACCCGACTTACAGAAAAAGAAAAATAGCCTGATTAATAAAGCCAGCCAGGCTGAAATGACCTTCATTTTTAGTGGTTAATGTCAGTGATGAAACTAAACAGTAAATGCTAGAAATTGTCTTTCTGTTGCTTAAAACCCTGGTGTTCAGAGAAATTTTAAAATATTGAACCCACCTTCCCAGGCCATTAAGAACTTCACACGTTGAATTTACCCTAACTACTGGATTTAAGTTCATCCAAATCGTCCGTAGCATTTCAGAAGAAATCATCTGAATTACAGACATACAGTTGACATACTTCTGAAATCTGAAGGTTTTCATTCCAAACAAGCACATTCCACAATTATTTCCTTCTCTCTAGACAGTGTGCTTTATTCATAAAACCAGCTGCTGAAATAAGGTAAAGAATGCTCTCTCTCTTACCGACTGCAGCCATGCCTCCTGGGGGAAGGTTGGCCTCCTTGATGCAGCGGCCTCTCCAGTAGGCAGCCAGGATGGCCTCACTGTGAGTGAGGGAGCCATCAGCGTAGCCACAAGCCAGCTCTCCTACGGAGTGTCCTACGATGCCATCAGGCTGCAGACCCAGCTTAGTGAGTAGGTCGATCTGAGCTATCTGTAAAGAGATGCGCCACAGCACACATGGGCTTACTTCCAAGATTTGTGTTTAATCTTTTTACATAACATTATATAATACAAGCTAGGGTTAAGCAATGTCTACAATGAAACATCGAGATGGATGATGACATGGGGCGGGGGTGGGGTCATCTTTTAAGCCTCGAGCAGACGCACACATGGACAGCTGTGGACCGCACGGATGCGAACTACTTCTGTTATGTGCATGTGTTCACTCACTGTCACTCACACAAATTGGTAGCCTATTGCCTTGCAAGTCACGGACACAGTGGATATTTTACAAGCAGCGAGCAGGTGCCTCATTTATAAACAGTGCGTACGTACAAGACAGTGCTGGAAATGTGTGTATGCCACTTCCCAAGCAAGGGTTGTGATCTATAAAAAAAACAAACTTGTTGGGAGAATGTGCGGTCCTGTAAGTAAACTCTGAACCATGCGTACGCACATAAACTGGAGAAATGAGAAACAGCAACTCACATGGCAGAAGGAGTTAATGAATAGGCCTACTATTATGTAAAATAATTTGAAATATTACCTCTGAGCATTATAGGCTTAAAGCCATTCTGAATAAACAAACACTGTTCGATTGATTTTCGCTTAAGTGCACAAAAGTAACATAATTTAAGATCATTTGCAGCACACATGAAAAATAACCAGATAAACACAAACAGATATCTGTTTCTGCACAAGAACACCTCAAATATGTTGTACAGTTTAATAAGGAATCATATTAATTTAATCAATTTATTCTCATAAATAAGGTGAACAGGAGGACATATTACATTTAAATTGATACCGTTTTCAATGCGTCAGTCGAGCAAATACTAGTGAATGGCTTCATATAGCCTAACATGCCTCATTGAGCCAAACGCTGTTCGCCAGCAACAGGATGCCCCTTCCTACAGATCGGTTATAAAGGAGTCGAGCTCTGTTGCCCCAATTACTCCGGTGCAAAAGCTGCATGAAAGTGCGTTTTTTACTCACCAAACAACATGCTTCAGCTTCACCAAAAGGAACGTAACAGTCAAATGGAGTTAAATTTCATTTTGTAGCTTCTCTGTCAGAATTTGCCTCCTTTTCTTCCTGCAGTCAGTCCGTATTAATATTAATGAGGGGCGTTTCACTCACCATTTACAGGCAACCATGGCCGTTTGAAGGGGCGGACATGGAGCTCCCTCACATGCGCCACATTTCAAGTTGATGCAATGCTCCATATTTGTATAGCACCTTTCTAGTCTTTTCGACCACTCAAAGCGCTTTTACACTACATCTGCATTCACCATTCACACACATTCATACACTGGCGCCAGGGGCAATTCGGGGTTCAGTATCTTGCCCAAGGACACTTCGACACGCAACCAGGGGGAGCCAGGGATTGAACCGCTTACCTTTAGATTAACGGCCAACCCGCTTTATCTCCTGAGCCGCAAGCCGCCCCAACATTGTGATTTATAAAGGGAACTTGCTTACAAGTGGGCGTACGCGCGGTTTTTCAAGTCTGAATATTTTTGGCGTACGCCATTTTTGGCTTTTGGCCGCACGTACACTTTTGGTGAGGATTCTGTGCAGTTTTATAAATGAGGCCCCAACAAGTCAATATCTATCTGTGTAGATATTGTGTTGGTTGCTCCCACTACCTCTCAGCCCTATCTCTCTTGCTCTCTCACTCTCAACCCCAAACTGGTTGAAGCAGATGGCCACCAACCCCGAGCCATGGCTCTGCTTGAGGTTTCTGCCTCTCAGGAAGGAAGTTTTTAAAAGGAAGTTTTTCCGTGCCTGTGTCGCCTAGTGCTTGCTCCTGGTGGGATTTGTTGAGTTTCTGTCAATAATATCAAGGAGTATGCTCTAGACCTGCTCTATATGAAAAGCTCTATGAGATAACTGTTGTTGTGATTTGGCACTAAAATTGAATTGAGTTGGATACAGATTTAAATTTATTAGAGCAGATCAACTAAAATGTTTATTGCACATAATATGTAATCTAGAGGCCAACTGGTGCCAAACTTTGCACAGAGCCTCAGTGTGGCATGGGACACAACTGGTCCAAATTTTGTGGTGATGAGAAAGACCGACGTGAAGATATGACGTCACTTTTAATCATGAGAGTCCACAGATTCCATGTGCAAAGTTTCGTGCAGATCTGATTCTTAGCCTAGGAGGAGTCTGAAAAAGTAGGTTTCACACATTTTAAGGAAAAAAAAATATATCACAAGATGCAACTCAATTTAGGGAACACTTGCGAGCAGCAAAGCTGCTGGAGTCCTATTGTTTTTGTTCTCGTTCTCATTGTTACGGGTTGGGGGCCTCATACAAAGCAGCATAAAACTTATTGAAATCGCTCAGATTTTTATTATTCTTTGGTAAGTAAAATTCATACTGCAGTAAAGTAAGTAAAAATCATTCTGTAAGTGAAATTCACAGAGCTTATATTTAGCTGCACCCACCTCAGACACAAAAAATGACACGTTAACCAGTAGGTGGTGCTAAATCACGGCAAACACCTTATCGGTGTTCCTTGAATTGAGCTGCATCTCAGTATTCAGGCCACACCCATTACTGCAAATATTTTTTTCCCCACAAAATCATGAAATATGCATAATGTATTTTTTTGAGATACCTCCTAGGAGGAGAGTCCGATCTTCACAAAACCTTTCATGTAGAATCTATGAACCTCCTGATCAAAGGCTATTAAAGAATCAATCATCCAAATCATCCAAAAATGCCTTGTAGTACATTTCTGAATGGTCCATTAGAGGCTACTTGCAGGTCTTGCATTTTGAATGTTTTGTTACTACTACTCTTTTCCACCGTCAAACAACTTAATCACAATCAACACCCAGATATCACAAACAACTCTAACACGTCGGATTGACATCGTACATTGGCAATAGAGTTATAGCTCAGAAAATACAGCCAGTGTGGAGGTAGTCCTGCAGTGTGTGTACAGCTAACAGCTGACGGAGTTAAGCTAAATACTGGGTCCGGAGTTATTGTTTTAAGTTTTCATCAGTCAGGAGGTTTTACACAGAGCTGAAGTAGGTCTCCTCCTCTACAAAACAAACGGACCAGCTGATTACAACAGGTAATAAATCTTATGTTTGTGTTTCTTTCTCTGTGCTGGAGTTCTTTTAACAACTTGATGGCTTTATCCAGTTTGTTATTAAATTTGTAATGAACTAGAATCGTGTGTCTCTTCATTATACCGGCAAATCTGTGTTCAGATATGCATTTTGCTCATGGATAGTGGTTTCTAAATAATGATGCCTGTCTGTCTCTTTGTATGCCGTACGTCAGAGTAACATGTCAGCTGGTTACTAAAGGTCCAGGGTAAATGCGGCTAAAGTCAAGAACTTTTGGGATCTTGGAACTATGGCTACTGAACTAAATTTAGATCCTGGTTCCTCTGGTTGAAAGACAGAGAAGATTCATCGACTTCATGACATAGAACATGACAAAACACAAGTGAATTCAAGATATATGGTTGTTGTGTCAAATGCATTATATCAGGATAAACTCCTTAAGCTAAGCTATATCACATATCAAAGCACAGATGTACAGGTGGAGGTTTTTAAGTTCTAAATCTGTAACTTTGGAAAACAACATAAAATAACCAATATACACAAGTAAAAATATTTACAGCAGCACTTTACGTGAACAATGATACCTCCACTCTACCTGTATGGCGGCCAGTCCAACAAAAGCATGAACAGTGTCTTCAAAAGTGGCATCGTCAGCCTCCATGAGTAGGCGAGACACAACCAGCCCGGTGTCCTTCAGAGCTGCATCGGACCGCAAGATGGACTCTCTAAAGTCTGGCAGTTGCATAAGACTGCGGCCCATACCTGCCCATTGTGTTCCCATACCTGTTAATACATTTAACAGTCATTAATCCAGCAATACATCTGTTACTTAAAAGACCATGAGGCGATCTAGTCCCATTCCAACATTAAAGAGGTGGTATTATGCTCATTTTCAGGTTCAAAATCCCATTTAGAGGTTGTACCAAAACAGGTTTACATGGTTTAATTTTCAAAAAAAAAAAACACCATATTTTTGTCACACTGCACATTGCTGCAGCTCCTCTTTTCACCCTGTGTTGAAGGCTCTGTTTTAGCTATGGAGTGATACATCTTGTCTCTTCATGATCTTTGTAGGGAGTTGCACATGCGCAGTTTCTGATTGGCTAGTAGTTTTACTAGCCAATCAGAAGCAGAGAAAGGCGGGTCAGCCAAAAACAAGGTAAACAGCTTCGATTCAGCTGTAGGCTACATGTTGCCGACCAGCTTGGTAATTTGAACTGGAGCAAGAGTTTCAGAGTGGTGAGTTATTAATCTGTAGCAAAAGTGTCTTTCGTTCATAAAGATTTAACTGAGCTCTGTCTCTACATCACAGTAACAACTTTATGTTCACTGAACATAGTGTTTGGAAGGAAGAGGAGAGGTATGTGCTGCAGCTCAGTGTTTTTCCACCAGTGTTTTTGAGGGTGTGTCAGACTAGTTGCTCGGCGAGCATTGTGACACGTATTTTCTTGTTCCATCACAAGAAAGCGGAAGTAAAGGCAGTTCAGAGCAGAGTTTTCTGTGGGAGATGGAAACTCCCTTTGGGCTGGACTTTGGACTTTTTCACTTTGCAAACCTGTTACATGCACAAAAAAGGTATAAAACTCAATAAAAGAGAGGGAAAAAGCCTAAAAGCAGAATACCACCTCTTTAATACATATTATTTGAGTGGGTAATATCTGTAGTGGTGTTTAAGCATTGATACCATTTGAGTGTTAATGTTAAAGATTTTTAAGATTGAAAATTTTAAAAATCCAATATTGATAAGTTAACATAAAATGACAGTTCTACAAAAATATTTAATGGGTTGGTTCACCCAAATCCTCACTTATCACTGGTGGCGGATAATTTTGACGTTGTTTAACTAGGATTTGAGATGCGTCTGAGGTTTCTGCTTCCCCCAATACAATGGAAGCAAATTAAATTTAATTTGTGTTACTAAAAGAAAAAACGTAGACATCTTGCTTTATAGATAATAAATAGCAAACTGAAATCTGTTGTATTATATGTACCTGTGTATTTCTTTGATGACTCACCTGAAAAAATGTACCAAAGAGGCCTGGTAGCGGCCTGCACCTGCTGCACCTCCATGATGTCACTCTCAGTGCCAATCAGTGCGTAGCCTCGATAGGGCATGCTGGCAGTAGGAACTCCTGACACTTGATTCAGCAAAGACAGGAAGCTATCATCCGCAGCATGTTCCTTGCCTTTTTGGAGTATGGTGTTCACGGCAGCCTCTGTACGGCCACAGGCCTGTAGCACCCTGGGAAACGTCCTGGGCGGTGCAGTCTCGTCAGCTGGTTTCTCAGCTGGACGAAGGATCACATGAACGTTTGAACCTCCAAATCCAAAGGAGTTGATGCCTACGATGCCGCCTCGAATGGGTATAGGCCGGTCAACAACAACAACTCGACCATCAGTGAGGGCGGGAATGTCAGGGTTAGGACTGTTGAAGTGCAGGTTGGGAGCCCATACACCTTGCTCCAAAGAAAGCAACACCTGTGTGTGCAATGAAAAACCACCAATAAAATAAAAACTATTACAAAATAAAGAGCAGATTAGTTATTAGGAATCCGTTTAATAAACTGTATGCAACATTGTGAATGAGAAGATTTTACATTGTTTTGCAGGCTCTTCTTGTCTAATCAGCCTACAAAAATATTTTCCCCTACAGTGCAAAGCAAAAATCCCTCGCAGAACCACAATATCAGCCCACCTAACTCTGCTCTTAATTTTATCATTAATGCCAACCTGCATGAATGATTATATAAATATCTAACAAAACACTTTACATACAGCATGCAAGCAAAACTCTTTTTCATTCCTCACACAACTACTTCTGTCATGTTTTGTGTTAACACCATGACTGTCTTCCAGGAGAGAGTTATTCATTTTTTTACCCTTAGTCAGCACTTCTATACTAGATATGATCAATCTATCTTTATCAACAGGCTATGTACCACAGTACTTTAAAGTAGCTGTAATTAAACCTCTTCTGAAAAAGCCCAAACTTGATCCGGATGTTTTAGCCAACTATAGACCTATATCTAACCTTCCATTTCTCTCTAAGATCCTGGAGAAAGCAGTTGCTAAACAGCTGTGTGACTTTTTACAGAGCAATAGTTTATTTGAGGATTTTCAGTCAGGATTTAGAGCTCATCATAGCACAGAGACAGCACTGGTGAAAATTACTAACGACCTCCTTATTGCATCAGACAAAGGACTTGTCTCTGTACTGGTTTTATTAGATCTTAGTGCTGCATTTGATACCATTGACCATCAGATCCTATTGCAGAGACTGGAACATTTCATTGGCATTAAAGGAACCGCTCTAAGCTGGTTTAAGTCCTATTTATCAGATCAATTTCAGTTTGTACATGTTAACGATGAGTCCTCCATGCATACCAAAGTTAGTCATGGAGTTCCTCAAGGATCTGTCCTCGGTCCAATCCTCTTCTCTTTATATATGCTTCCTTTAGGCAATATTATCAGGAAATATTCCATAAGCTTTCATTGTTATGCAGATGATACTCAGTTATATCTATCGATCAAACCAGATGAAACTCATCAGTTAGCTAAACTTCAAATGTGCCTTCAGGATGTTAAAACCTGGATGACCTGTAATTTCCTAATGTTAAACTCAGATAAAACAGAAGTTATTGTTCTGGGGCCTAAGCACCTCCGTGACGCATTATCTAAAGATATAGTTTCCCTTGATGGCATCGCCCTGGCCTCCAGCAACACTGTGAGGAATCTTGGAGTTATCTTTGATCAGGACATGTCGTTTAAGTCTCACATTAAGCAAATTTCAAGGACCTCCTTTTTTCACCTACGTAATATTGCGAAAATCAGGAACATCCAGTCTAAAAATGATGCAGAAAAACTAGTCCATGCATTTGTTACTTCTAGGCTGGATTACTGCAATTCTTTATTATCAGGCTGCTCGAAAAAGTCCATTAAGTTAGAAAGTGTGTGTAGACAATTGTTCTTATCAAGACAAAAACATGAAGAATGAAGAAGAGTTCTTGCAGAGATTGGAAATGCCATAGGCTGCAGCCAGGAAGAGGCCATAACAGCAGGTCTCTTGTCGGTAGAAACACCTTCGTTTTGATCATTCAGAGCAACCAATATCAGGAGTGATGTCATCCTCACCTTTGCCAGAGCAGCCAGACCAGAGGCCGGTTCTGGATGGCCCATGTTAGACTTGGTGGAACCAATAAGGAGAGGTTCTCGCTTTGATTGACAGAACACACCAACAATGCCATTCACTTCCTGTGGGTCGCCAACCTGCATTGCACAGAGATGTGACAGAGCTAAGGCACTCCTGGTGAGTGACATCAGATGTGTGTAGGTGACTTTTTCATTTTTAGATTTTATGACTGTTTTCTGTCTTCAACAAGACCAGCATTAAAAACAAGCTAAAAGTGTGATTAAGAAACGAGATGGTCGTGTGCACTGACCTTTGTTCCGGTGCCGTGGGCTTCGATGTACTCCACCTGCTCAGGAGCTATATTAGCCTCCTGGTAGAGAGAACGAACCAGCCTCTGCTGCATCTCACCTGAAGGAAACGTTACACCTGAGGGACCAAGAAAAGAACATGAGGAAGAGTACGGCAGACGATACCACAACTGCTGGGTAACTACTGTACTCACACATTCACATCACAGACCTTCATAATTTGATATTTCTGCTCAAATCTGAAATTAGACTGTTGTTTGAGATGTTACTCATTTATAGACCTTACTATAATGAAAAAGATGCTATTTGAGTTTCTTTCAACTTTTAGTACAAAACTAGGGTTTTTTTTACAATGCAGTGATATCCAAGAACCATGAGCAGTCAGGCGTCCGAACAGGTTGTAACAACAGGTTGTGTGTTGCCATCTGTGTTTGATTGACAGAAGCTGAAGGGGTGTGTTGTTGTGCGTCGCCAGGGGAACAACAGGCAAAGTAAACAAACTTGCACTATAGCTGACAAGCCACGGCTTAACAGTGTGTTGCTGCAGTGGTATTGAACAGTAAGGACCACACCAACCAATGGGCATTTTTCACAATTTTCAGACTTTTTATAGACCATAAAATTCACTGTTTAACTGAGAAAATAATCCGATTCATTTTAATTTAAGCATTACATAATTTAGCATTTAAACCAGAATGTCACAAAGGAATAAGGCATGAGATAAAAGTGTGCTTCCTCACCCTGCTCTTTGTATCCATCTGTGTTGTTGCCAGCGTTGACCACTGTGGCGTAGACTCTTTTAGCCACCGACCGCTTGGTCAGAAGCACTACCACTGCTGCCTCAGAACGGCAATATCCATTTCCTGGCAATATTACAGAATACACACTTTAATATGTAAATGTAAATGCTCCATACTTGTATAGCGCCTTTCTAGTCTTTTCGACCACTCAAAAGCGCTTTTACACTACATCTGCATTCACCAGTCACACACATTCAAGTGCTCAAACGGAAACTAACATTCACACTCACTCATACATACTACAATTTGGGGTTCAGTATCTTGCCCAAGGACACTTTGACACGCAACCAGGGGGAGCCAGGGATTGAACCGCCGACCTTCCGATTAACAGCCAACCCGCTCTACCTCCTGAGCCACAGCCGCCCCATATTCACACTAATATGTCAAGACTGTAAGCCAATAGTGATGAGAAACAAGCTTTAAGATGACAGGTGTGCAGATGACAAACACTGCTGCTGACAATAAATATACTGATGTTTGATAAGAGGTCTGTACAATATGTCACTCCATTTTCCTTGTAGTGCAAAAACAAAACAAGCAAATTATTCTTTGACAGTTTTATATGTAAATAACATGTTTAATAAAAATTTTTAATTTTCATTATAAAAATCAGCGAACCACTCAAGGTCCCCTACTTTAAGTAATATATAATTATATAATACACACACACACACAATATTGTGACAATGAATGTACCTACCTAATACATATAACTTAACTATACTAAACATTACTTACCACAGATTCACTTGCCACAGATTACAAAACAAAATCCTGCCTGAAACCTTTTTCTTTACTAGATAACGAGAGATGGTGGAGTAAACAGAAAACAAGGGAGCGCAAGATGCAACAAAAGAAACTTTCTTTTACCTGATGAATCAAAGGACTTGCAGGTCCCCTCAGGACTGAGCATGCCCAGTTTCATGAACTGCACAGAGGTGTTTGGCTTGAGCAGGAGGTTGACTCCCCCCACCACAGCTGCATCACACTGGCCCTGGCGAATAGCGTGGAAGGCATTTTCTAAAGCCAGCAAGCTGGAGGAGCAGGCTGTGTCGATGGCGGTACTAGGGCCTGGAGGAGGAGAGGGAAGTAGGATGGATTAGCATTAGAAACATCTGCAGAAAACGATACCCAGGGATACAGAAGGACTACTTAAGAGCATTCAAAAGGTGAAATGGTTCAAAAGTTAGACTCACTAGAAAGCACTCAGGTAGTGCATGCCTCTGTTATGGTTGAAAAATCTTCTAAATGATTTAACAGCAGCAAATATTTCAATTTGCAGCTACATCCAGGTCTGCTTGAAAATGTGATAGACAACCATACTGGTGTCAGCAATCATTTTAGTGTAATTCTGTTGGCTGTGCAGAATGATCAAGTACAAAAATGTACAAAAGCCTCATTACCAGTAAGTTATGGCCATTGAGACTGTTCCTTTAGTACCATAAAAAGGTCAAATGCAGGATCTGTCAGTTACTGTACGTCTATGTGTGTGTGATAAGAGATCTGTGTACAGTACAGTGCAGTAAATGGTGTAAGATTCAGTGGGAGTGAAGCAACACAAAGTGCAAGAGTAAAAACAAGATATACAAAAAGATAGAAACATGTAGTGAAATTCGTAGGACAAAACCTTTTAAAGACTGTTAAAAAATAGACAAAGTATGAATATAAATAACAGTCTAAAAATATAATGAATATAGAATAAATCTGAGGTGTAAATAGTGCAATAGTTTGGGGGTCTCTGAGGATATTTATGTATACAGGATAAGAATATATTCGGGTGAAGCGTCATTGGGAGGTATGGGAGGGGGTCTTATGATCCTGGAGGTCCTGTTTGTGCAGCGTTTAGTGTAAATGCCGTGGAAGGAGAGGAGAGAGGTCCCACTAATGGATTTGGCTGACTTCACTATCCCCTGTAGGGACTTGTGGTCTGAGTTGTTGCAGTTCCCATACCAGACAGTGATGCAGCTGGTCAGGACACTCTTGATTGTTCACATGTAGAAGGTGGAAAGGATGGGTTGGGGGGAGACTGGCTCTCTGCAGACAGCAGAAGCAGTGGAGACACTGTTGGGCCTTCTTGGTCAGGGAGGTGCAGTTGCATGACAAGCTAAGTCTTCAGTCATCAAGGTGACTAGTAGCGCAGGACATCCTAAGTACATTTTCATATCCTTCGTCTTATATAGACACTGAGACAGATTGTTTTCTGGACACCAGTGTGTCAGCCACTCCACCTCGCCTCTGTATGCTGTATCATTATGACATGTGACACAGGCCGATTTGGTTCTCACCATCATGCATTTGTCAGTGAATCCGAGTCATTCTAAATAGACAGGCCAAGTCCACTATTTGCAAATTAGCATACATCCACCCCGATTTCTCTATATAAGAAAACACATTTGCCAAGAGGTCTATCATGGAGAAGGTAGTGAAGTTGTTGTAAGAGAGAAGCACAGCCAAGCCAAGAAAAAACAAAAATGTTACTACGGACATTCTCATATACTCCATTCTAAGACAACAGGTATATATATTCATGAATCACAGATTTGCGTGTAAAACATTCAAACTCAAAGTTTAAGCACGGATTTGTGCGTATGCACTGTTTGTGAATGACGCCCAATGTGTTGAGTTATTACTCAAAAAAAGGCCATGACTATAAGTCGTTGGAAATAAATTACAGGACAACAATATGGCATGTAAAAAACTGTCTCATCCAAATATGTTCTGTACTAAATATGGTGATGATATGGAAAAGGAGAATGAATGATCATCTTAAGCCAAGAAATCAAGGAACATTTTGTAGTATTCAATACAGTGATTCGGAGCTGGATCTCTGTATGCAGATGTACACTGATGCAGAAGGCAGTTCAATTCAGTTAAATTTTATTTATATAGCACCTAATGACAACAACAGTTATATCATAGAGCAGCTCTAGACCGTACTCTGTGATATTATTTACAGTTCACCTGAGCATTCTCTTTTACCATCCTTTGGCTGATCATCCAGTGACAACTGCAGTGTTTTCCATAAGGCCACACACAGAATCAGAAATAAGAACATTTTATGATGTATTCTTCAATCAATATAAAGCTGCACCAAGTGGTTACATCCCGTTCTTAGTCTGCTTGTGTGTGTCTTTATGCTGTCAATGCCAGGGCGTTATCAGACCGGCATCAAACTAGCCAAAGAATGTGTGTGCGTACCCCTGAAGTCAAAAAAGTAGGAGAGTCTGTTGGCCAACATAGCGCGCTGGCAGCCGGTCATGCTGTAGCCCAGCAGCTCCTCTGGGTCTCTGCTGAACGCCTCGCCAGCCTCTGAGCCACTCACCCCAATGTAGACGCCCGTCTTACTGCCGCGCATTGTGGCCGGGTTCACTCCTGCATGACAAGAGTTCATCGTTTTTAAACCATTTACTCTAACTCAACTACTAAATGGTAAACAGACTGTACTTGCCGGTTAATTTTTAAATAGCGACGGACACTGCCAAAAAAACACTCGAATGACCAATTGTGTAATTTCATCACTCATTCAATAAGTCACGGAAAGATCTTTTCATTTATACTAGGACTGGTCCCCGCTTTGCTGTGGTCCAGTCAATAACAGGGTATTCATCCGCTTAGTACTTCCTTTCTAGTCTTCTGACCACTCAAAGCACTTTACACGATGTCACATTCAGTCCTTTCACACACATTCACACAGTGATCAAGAGTAATTTTGGGTTCAGTACCTTCCCACAGCTGTCACTTTCCACTAAACATTTACTGTATTCCTTTCTCACCAGTTTTACTACCAGTTTTACTAACTTTCACTTATCCTGTCCTCTACTGATCTGCAGTACAGAAGCTTTTTACCCCAATTCCTCACCTCCATCTACAATTGCCTCGTAGGCAATCTCTAGCATGAGACGGAGCTGAGGGTCCATGGTGTTGGCCTGTTTGGGGTGGACTCCAAAGAAGGCTGCATCGAAGTGGCTGATGTCCTTCAGTTTACCATTCCTCTTTGGAAGACCGTACAGACCTAGAAAAGAGCATGGAGAAAAGTAATTTTCGAAAGAATTCCTCAAACAAGTACAGAGTTTCTATCACATACAACAAAACATCACAAAATTATTTAAACACAAGTTCCTGAGATTTGGAGCTGGCAGGTTTGATGGTGATGAATTAGAAAGTAACTTATGAAGTTCAGCTCAAATTATGACTCAAGATTTCACAGTAACAAAACAAATCACTTGCAAGTATTATTTCTACTTCCACTCATGGATGAAAACTATTAATGCTCTGACTTCTGACCCCATTTAAACAGGGCTCATTTGATACACTCATAAGACTCAACCACAAACGCTACAATGAGAAAGTCTAAGGAGATTAGCATAGATCTAAAAAACCAAAGTGAAAGTCACTTGGAGACATTTAAAGCAGCTACTGTTCCTAAGATCCACTGTGCAAACAATTGTTCTAACTGTAAGTAGAAAGTATATGCACAGTTGTTCAAGCTATCAACTGTTGCTGACAGTCAGAATGGTCACTAGTCAACCAAGAACCACCAAAAAGCAGGTCTGCCATGAATAAGAAGCTGGAGCCAGCATCCACTGTTACGTCACCATGGGCTGAAAGGCTGCCGTGCAAGAAGGAAGCTTCAAAATGGCTCTTCAGAAACCAACGGGTGACATCATGGACACTACGTCCACTGTTTTATACAGTCTATGGTATCAACGGGACAATGACCCTGAAACACACCTCAAAAATGGCAAAAGAATGGCTAAACCAGGCTAGAATTGAGGTTTTGACTTAAACATCAAAAATAACATGTGGACTTGTGAAGCAAGTCGGTTTCAAAAAGTAAACAAATTTTGCTGAACTGCACCAAATCTATCAAGAGTAGTGGTCAAATATTCAACCATAAGCTTGTGCAACCAAATGAGTCTAACTGAGTTGAAAATGGCCAAAATATTTAACCAAATATTAAAATTGCTGTATGTATATTTCTGACCCAGTAGTTTTAGTCACATTTTCAGAAGACCCATAATAAATTCATAAAAGAGACACAATTTTATGACAGTATTTGCTCAAGTCATTCCATCAGAGAAAAATAAGAGTTTCAGTAATTATTGGAAACTCAAACTGCCATGACATGCATGTTTTTTACAAATGTGTGTAAAGTATCTGCGGGATCTATCTGGGTTTTGCCATGACACACTCTGTTAGCCCTGAGGTGGCGTCCCACGTAAAGTGGGGGTAGTAAAAGTCTTCAGTGCTGCATGAGCAAGGGATGAACCCATTAGCAATTGCCTAGCATAGAGGGCTGCGCCTGTACTCATAAGCTGTGTTTCATTAGTTGGTCAGCATGCCCTGATTGACTTGAATCCTGAGGGTGGCAGCAGAGGACCATTTATAACTGAATTATTCCCTTAAAACTACATTTAGAGCATGAGATTACATGACACCTCCTGTATTGTTTCTGCCACCACCTATAATCAGTGCTTGATGTGGAAAAAGTAGGTGCTGTTCATTTGATATCGATAATTATCAGCATTAATGTCAAATAATTTTTTCTTTCAAGTTTAAAGGCTGATTTTTTTGCTCCTGAGTGAAGGTTGAAGAAACCAGATGGTTAATTGTGGTTTTGGTCATTTGATGCCAAACAGTGGCTCACTTAACAAATCTGAGGTAGACATTCAAAACTATTATGACAAAATCTTTTTTCAACAAATATGCATTAGTAAAATTAATCAAAACTTTCTTCAGTCCCTTTTCCTCAACAAAATAAATATCTTAATAGAAAAAACATTTTCTACCATTTTCAACCATTGTTGAGTGAGCGAGATAGAGAGCTCTCCATGTCAAGTCAGACATTTGTTGACAGGTCTAGGCACCAAGGCTATGAAAGATTTTATTGGACTTTAATATTTGTAATACTATAACGCACAAATATTTCACTATCTACAAATATATATTTTTACATTTGTGATGTGTAAAATCATATCCACAAAAATACAGAGCGACTTCTACACACACAGTTTTGCACATACTGCAGATTACATTCAGTCAATTTGTGGGTCATATTACATTTGTAATTTCCTTTTTACACATTTGTGGAATTTTGTCCAATGTGTACTGCAGAGATCTGTAAAAGACAAATATACATAAATATATCACTACCCAAAACATGTATTTTTACATTAGTGTTGTGTAAAATCATATCCACAAAAATACAGTATAATTTGCAAATATGTACAATTTACTCTGTACACACGTGGTTTAATTTCACATACAGAGTGTTATTTACGCATTTGTGGATCTATTTTTGCACACAAAACAGATTTAGCACATTTGCAGATCATTTCCTGTCAATTTGCAGGTCACGTTATGTTTGTGACTTCCTTTTTACGCATTTGTGGAATTTTGTCCACTCTGTACCACAGAGATCTGTAAACGGAGATCTGTAAATGTGAGAGCAGTTTATTAGCTACACCAGCAGGTGGCAGTAGCAACATTGCCTCTCATGAGTTGTAAGAATATCAAATGCAGTACCCAGGATTGGGAGACAACTTCTGCTTCTGCTGGACCACTGGACTCTATACTGATTGATTATCACTGTATGAAAAAAATATATATTTGTGGATAGTGAAATATTTGCGCATCATAGTACACATTTGTGGATTGTTTTCTGTGAGTTACAAATATTAAAAGTCCAATAAAATCTTCCATACAAGGCACAGCCTAAACTAAATTATTTCATGATATTTATTATATTTGCTATATTCTGACCAACTTAACTTTCTGCATTTATTGGCTGTAATAAATTAAATAAATACGTAGATGTTGCCTAAATGGCTAGGCTATACAGGAGCATATACCCACAGATATACACACAGGAAAATATGATTAAATATTAAAGCTGCAAGCAGCGTTGGGCACTCGTAGCGCGTCCGCGTGTGAGCCAGCCGAGTTGCATATTCTCGAGCTCTGCCAGTGCGGCTGTGAATTTGCAACGCGGTTCCGACGCCGCATGAAGGTGTTATATGTCTATGTCTACTATATGTCACTTCCTGTGTCCCCTATGTGGAGCTACATAGCACTCACCGCTATGAATATAAATCGGTATTGGTGTGTAGATGTCTGCAGGGTGGGACAGTTATCAAGCACGTAAAGTTTGGTGCAGATGTGAGCATGTACACCGAACAATAATGTACCCAAACAATAAAATAAATTCCTTTTATATTTCCCTGCCTTGTTGTTTATGTGTACATACAGAGGAAGAATGTGAGAACAGCACACATTTCATCGTTACTGTGTGTTAGAGCATTGGAGAACAGTGGATACTTTTAATACAGCCCACACCCCTAATACTGTGTAACTATAACAAGTAGAGAACTGAAGAAAAAGATGTTCTTTCTCTACAACTGTCTGCATAGCTTATTCATATTGTGTAATGAATGAAAATAAATAGGCCTACTAGGCTCCTCTCTACTTTGACATTTAAGATTAGCTTGTTTGATCCACCTTCATACACATGTGACATTACTGTACAACTTGAGAAAGGTGAGTTGTTTTCTGCTCCAGCCTGCCTAAAAGAAAAGCGTTATTGGGATTAAATGGACTTTATTAGCTGCTGCACTGCAGGATGAACTCAGAACAGACCCATTTCTCACCTTATTATTCTAAATCATGCAACGAAGAAGAAGAAATACATAATAAATCCTGGGACAACATCTGTCCACAAATACTGTATAGCATGTAGTCTGATGAACAAGACTTGTGTTATAGCTGACTTGGGCAGTGAAATGTTTTTTTAATTCATGTGGTCATAGTTGTCCACAACTCAAATCAGAATGTAAGAAGAAATGTTTTATACCACCTCAAGAAGGCTTCCTATCAGAAAGGTAGGAAGGTATTTCAAATGTACAACTGCAGTACTTAAATCTAGTAAGTAAAGTAATTTCTGACATTACTGTGTTACGCATGTAACAGGTTTTATACTTCCTGTGAGTATAATCCAATCAATCTTATTTTCATACTGTATATCCGTTGTGTAATTTGATAAATTGTGTTGTATGTCATGCTCGCATCTCAGAGAAGACTGACTGCAACATGCGTCTTTGTAAAGAGAGAAACGGACAGAAAAAGTCTCTAACTCTGCCTGTCAGCTCGCTCTGCTCCGTTAAAACTGAATTTACCATACAGAATTGAATACGAGTGCACTCCAGATTTAGCTGCAGCCAGCTGACCGTGTGCTTCTCCCTATACCTCAGTTCTGTGTCCATGCATGCAGCAAACTGAAAGCACTGTCTGTCGGAGCGTCTACGTGAAAAGAGAAGGAAGACATGGCTGGTAGTGTCTTCAGAGTTGTTAAACACCTCAATGCACTGAAGGAAGCCATCTGACTGTGTGAGGGGCAAGATCGTTGATGTCTGCAGGCAGAGTAGGCCTAGAGCTCTCCTGTCTGACTGGTCCACCAATAGCAGAGAAGATGACCCCTTGAGACACAGCACCTCCTCATTTGCATAATGAGGCAGAAATGCATACAGAAATTTAAAAAGGACAGGAAGAAATAAAAGAAAAAGAAAATAAATAAGGTAAATAAATACAAAGGAAGAATAAAACAGACAAAAATATTAAAACACACACGTAAATAAATACATTAAAAAATTAGTAATAAATAAAGTTGAAGATTATAACGGAGAATAAATAAATAAGGTAATTATAACAAAGGTGAATAAGTAAAGGCACTAATTAAAATATATACATTTATGTCTCCTTGTATAATTTAATTAATACCTACATTTATTTATTTACTTTATTTTTTTGTGTATTTAATTGGATGCTTATTTATTTATTGAGCATTTATTAGGGCCCGAGCACGACCGTGCGAGGTCCCTATTGAATTTGCTCGGATTATTTTTAGGGCCCGAGCACGACCGTGCGAGGTCCCTATTGAATTTGCTCGGATTATTAGGGCCCGAGCACGACCGTGCGAGCTCCCTATTGAATTTGCTCGGATATATATATATTTTTTTT